ACAGAAATGCGAATTCAATTGTCGGACGTAAAACCTAATTTTAGGTAAAACGATACTGAACAATAAAAAATTGAATTCCTTTTTTTAAAATATTTTCAAAATAAATGTCTTTAATTGGTTTATACCTTCACATTTGTTTTTCTTATACTCTATTTATAAAGTCAAGATTCCGTAAGAGAAGGTTGATCATTTAGGGTTCCGTAGCGAAAAGATGAATGAAGAAAAAATGGGAACCAATGGCCTAGAAAGTAAAATGCTTAAATCGAATTTCTGCATTTTTATTTAGTTTCTCTTTTTTTTTCGATTGGCAAAGCTCCAACTATTTTTTAATATACATTTTTTCTTTTTAAAGAAAAGATCAGTTTTGAGATTTATATATACTACTACTAGATTGCACCGTTGCTCACTTCACCTCTTAAACCCCTTAATTGGCTCAGAGTCATTCTTGTTCGTTGTGAAACAGAAATTGTATTGATAAACAAAATTAATTCTTTATATAATTTACGGACTACTGCTACCCTCAAAACACATTAATTTTCATATCCTTATTTTTTGAAAAATTTTAAGAATGGACAATAATTTTTGATATTTTTGACATAAATTTGACAAAGAAACGATCTCGTCTACGAGGAATAATCGGGGTAAATTAACACGTCAGATAATTATAAACAAGAGAAAGAGCACGAAAATTTTAACAACGGCAATAAGACTCTAATTTGCGATCCAAATATCACAGATGATTGTTGCCACCATTGTGGTTAAAAAATAAAAATTTACTGTCAGCACTTGCTTCATTTTTAAGGCTTCATTCGTTGCTCGTTTCACTCACTAACCCCGTCTTTGTTTAGCAACTTCTTTTTCTCTCGATTTCTACAAATATTATACAATTTATTTTATATTACTGTCGATAAACAATTTTTTTTATTAGCATAACAGGTCCCATTTGTGAGAACCAGAGATGAACAAAAATGCAATCCAATAAAAATTTTCAATTACATGTAGGTGTGTATTTTATTTACGTTGCACTAGAACTGCACAATGGACTACTGGTGACCGTCTGGGAAACATCCCAGAGGATGATCCGAAGACATGTCATCAAATTTTTTATCCTCTGCAGAGAGGATGGCTCCTCCGCTTTGGTAGCCCGACGACCTACGCGCGAGGTCGATCACTTTACGGTAGAACAGTTTAACGAGGACCAATACCGAGCACTCTCGGTCCCTACGCAAACTAATCCAAACTGTCACCCACCCGCACACTGACCGCAGCCAGTGATGCCTTACTTCGGTGTTCTATTGGGACGATCTATATCAGTTACTCTAAACTGACTATACTATATCAGTTTCTCTAAATCATGATTACAGCATATCATAATGGGTCCTCCCTGGCCGAGCAGTATCGCCCGCCAAACACTCTGTTAAGCGTGGAGGTGGCGAGTTCGAATCCCGCCGTAACCCTGGATGTATTCTTTGTGATGTCCTTCTCTATATTGTGCTATCTGTTCTTCTACTTTACAAAGGTTTATAAGGTAATTAGTTACGGCGACCCAGGCCAATGGGCCCATACGCCAAGAATCATGATGTCTCGCCGCCACGAAAGAACCCGCAAAGTATTTGAGGCCATGCAGAAGGTGGACTCAACGGCACAAGGCCTCGAGCCACGCACGAAAAAAAGCACCACAAGTCGTGTCGGCTGGCAAAGGAGGCAAGGAAGAGTACTGTAAATGATGTGGCCGGAGTGAACGCGGAGACGTCGAGTCTCGGCACCAGCCTGGATCGACAGCAGTTGAGCAACCACCAAGGTTCCTCCGGCCCGCGAAACCTCTCGCTCCAAAACCATACTTTATTAAAACAATAAAAATCACTTAAAAATTTACAATAAAATCGAGCAAAGGCTCGCAAAACAGATGTTACAAGAGTCGTAGGTGGATGCCCTAAGGCTTACAAATCCGGAATGAATCGGCGGCTCAGGATCGATATCTAGTTTTTTTTTTTGGATCAATCCTTTTGCTCACGGGATCGAGGGACAGCTTTGCTGGAAAGTGCTGTGATTAATTTTGTGTGACAAAGGTTTATAAGCCTTAATTGAGCACACAAGCCTGCAAATGTATGTTGTACATCAATAAACATATAATTTAAATTACAACTGTCATCGTGTTTGCAATAATCAATTGCTTATAATTGTGATTACAACTTCACATAATTTGGATTACTACTCTAATCGTTATTATAAGTAATCAGAATATGTAATAACATGATTACAAGTAAATACTATGGTAAACTATAATCATATTATACTATACAGATCGGGTAATGTATTGCATGACACATTTTGTACTTATTTACATACAACGTGTGTAATTACGTCTGTAACGAAAATGTACGTACTTAAGCATTTACCTAAACACATTGTAAAGTATGAACATACAGATTTTAACATATTTTACGTTTGTATGCACATACAAAATATGCACGCTATGTACGTCCTCTCCCCTCCCCGAAAAAAGTTTACCACTCTGAATAACTTTTGACATGATAGGATCGTTACGTTTTAGGATTCAAACTTAATGGTTGGAAGAGGTGACCTTCAATATGCTATTTAATGAGTGCAGGCGATATTTTACAATACGAAATCGGACACAAAAATCGTGCTTTTTCTGCATAAACATTTCTTTTTCCAAGATGAATTCAGATTTTCTCCCTCCCAAATACATTGGGGTATGGTCCTTATAGTTTGGTCAATTGAGCGATCCAAAGTTTTACACTTTAATGCTTTGCATTATCTCAAGAATTTGTTAAGCAAATTGAAACATTTTTGTAAATAGTAATTATAAAATTCGTTTATCCAAAGATAATTCCCTGCACAAAATGACTTAAAAGTAAATATTTATTTTTATTTATTGATAATTTAAAAAATTTTGAAATATTAAATTTTTTACATTTTAAAGAATACAAAATTTGAGCGAAATCTGTCAAATAGTTCCTGAGAAATCAAATTTTTAAAAAAAATTATTTTTACAGTAATTGATTATATAGCAGTAATTACCTGTAATCAATGATGTGATCGAAGCCAAAATCAGGTGAGAAAGCCAGGAAGGAAAAAATTTTAAACAATAAAAAAGCTTTGAATTGCCCTTAATTCTAATTTTTTGTGGGATCTTTGCACTCTTCTTCCTTTTTATCCATCCAATACTTGCTGTTATTTTTTTCGGAGCATGTTCTGTGACTTCCACACCAGCTGCATTTTCCATTGAATCTTTCAACTACCATACTTACTAACGTTAGTCTTTCACAAGTAATTATTTGCTTGTTGACAGAAAAGTCTAGTATCACTACACAAGTTTGACCATAAGTAAAAGCAACGACCGTCTTCACAAGTTCAGTTAAGAGGATATCTCACATATTTCACTTCTGAGACCAAATGCACTGTTGTAATAATTTCTGTAGCAATATTTTCAGTTTGTTCAAGAACTTATTATCATTGGTAATATATAGGTATAATCAACAAGGACTTATGCGTGTACAGCAATGAGTGGAGAAATATAGGATGTCTTATATCTCAGTAATACATGATAATTTATGAGTTTATTATAACTATTTTCAAAATAGGCAACACTTCGTTTACTACATACTCGTATATATTTACAGAATGTTCTAATGAAGAAAAAAAAATATCCAGAGAATATTTGTTCAACTGAAAGACTACTAAGTGAAAAGTCAACAATTTTTCAACAAAAAAAACTTCCTTTAAACATTTTTTATGAAATTCAGATTTCCTGAAAACCATAGTATGAGAAAAATGGAAACTCTTGTTGAATACAATTATTTACACTAAAAACTGAAATTTTTATATTGAATGATCACCAATTATAAATAAACCTAAGATAATCAGACGTCCTAAAAATCTTGAGGACAGTTCTCGAATTTCAATAGCTGTTCCTCAAAAACACACAATTCTTTTGGTTTTGAGACCATTTGTTCCCAAATCATCTAGAATTTGTCCAAAAACATTTCATCATTTTTTACATGCTTTGAAATAACAAAACAATTACAAATCAGCATGTTTTTTTTAAACAAGTTAATTTTGTCTAACATAAAATACCAAAAAAAAAAACATGCTAAAACTTATAGAAATTCCCCACTTGCAGGGGTGATTGTGAGCCCAAGCCAAAATTCCGGAAAATTTCTCGAGTTAAGTTTAATTTGAAAAAAATTTAAACAAGTTTATTTTTCCTTTTTCTCAATATTTCTTAGTTTACTTAAAATATATTTACAATTTTACACATACCTATGATGACCTGGAGAAGTAATTAAAATTTACAAATATGTCTTTTTTTCTTGAGTTTAAGATTATAACAACTATTTACTGTTAAAAAATGAATATTAATCATGATTATAAGCTTATAAAGTATCGCTCAGGCTCTCCCTTACAAACAAATAAAATAAACTGTGTTTTTAAGTTCCACCTATGAAAATTTGATTTCCGGAAACTTCTGTGATCAATGATCCTTTTAAACGTCTGGACCTTCAATCTCTGGATCACTGTTAGCGAAAAATCCGGAAATCCGGATTTTTTCCGGAGCACAATCAGCCCTGTCCACTCGTCTGAAAATAATTTCAGCAAAGAAATTAATTAATAATCATGTACTCTTTCATTTTACAAGTGTTAACCAAATGCAGATCATATGATAAATAACAGCTGCTTGGTAATGAAAGCAAGTTTGATGAGAAAGATTCTGCTAGTAGTTATTAATTTAAAAATTAGTAATCTGATAGTAGTTATTAATTTTTTTAAAAAACATATAAATTAGTATTTTTCATAAATATATAGGTATCCACAAAATGAAAAATTCTTTGAGGATGCTCCATTGAATTGTTCTTAAATAATGGTTAAAAAATCTAGTGACCTTAGGTAAAACCAGATAGAAGATATAAAAAATTATGAATGTGGGTTATTTGAATTGTGACAAAATTGCATTTAGTTATTAAAGAAAACACAAGTCAAAGTGAAAAACCTATTTATTTACATTACATCAACAAATAATGTATATTTGTCAAACACACATAAATGTAGGCTAAAATATGAATGAATGCAGATTAAGTTAAATGCCATTAACAGCTAGCTGTATCCAACTGCAAAAACATAAAACACTTTTTTTTTTTTAAATTGAACCATTATCTAGGATGTCCGAATTGGGGAAGACGAAACATCAAATTACAATTATGAAATATGGAGTGTTTGAAATGAAAGACTTGATGGAGAAAACAAAAACAGCAGCAGCGGAATCTCTTCATCGCATCCGATAGTTAAAAGAGCTAGAAAGCTCAGAAAGCTCTCCTTTGAAATCAATATCAACGGAGAAATCAAGATCTCTCTGGAAAAAAAATTACAAACTGTAAATATCTTGCAATACAAAAAAAAAAAAAAAACTACAACAGAAATAGCGTTCAATGCTTTTGAAATAATTTGATTTTTATTTTAATTATTTTAAGAAATCTTATTTTTGCCATATTTTTTTATCAATATCATACTTAGCTTTTATAGAATAGTAACAATGATTAAGTCAGTTTTAAGTGTGTCAAATATAACATTTTAATATATACTGTGACTGATTTAATTGGTAATAGGACAGTCAAGTTTAATGTATTAAGTACTTTAGAAAAATAGTTAAAAATAAATATGATGAAATGTTTCAAATTTTCAGAATAAAAAAAAATGTCAAGTTGGTGTGCCGTAATGGTCAAACTAACTTATTAAAGCAATAATTCAACAACAAATTTAAAAAAAAAAAAAAAGGTAATACCTTGTTTTTAGGATTTGGTTGCATACTAAATACACCATATACCTCTTCACCCCGTTTCACAGTCAAGTATTCATCAAAATAAAAAACAGTTTGTTTCCAATGAGTGTATGGTGCTCCTGGAGCTATAAACACAAGTAAAATGAGTTTTAAAAATTAGCAAAGCACATTTAGAAATCATATTGTATGAAATCAACATTAAGAGAAATTATAACTTAATATTTTTTGATAAAGCTTTACATACACAACTTTTGCAGAATAAATTGATTCAAAAAAAATTTTCAAAACAGTTGAAAAAATGAAGGTGTAACAAATAGGACAATCACTGATATCACTCAGTTCTAAATAAAACATCTAAGATTTTTTTTAAATAATGAACCATATTACTGCTTAATATACTAGCACATTTTTAATAGGAGGAAAATTAAGGAAGTATATGGGAAAAAAATTTCAAAAACTCTAATTCAAAATTTTTAACAGAAATTACACATTTTAGGATTAAGTTTATGACTTGCTCACTATAATTAAGTGCAAAAAAATAGAAAAACTATGTAAAACTCAATAATACTACTGTTAATTAATACAGTAGAACCTTGATCAATCATTTGTCTATGGACAATTTATTATGAATGATAAATGCAGGAAAACAACGAATGCAGACCAACTTAAAAGTATCAAACAATGAATTAAAAAAATTTGTGAAAAATAATCAAGAAATAATGGATTTAAAAATTATTAATTTAATAATGAATCTAAAAAATTTCAATTAGCGAAATTGTGGTATTTAATGCAAAAATTTTGATGATACAAAAAAAGATGAAGGGAGCACATTTACTTTTGCAACCATTTCTCGTACCGAGAATTCAAGTTTCCACATTTTCATCAACTGTTGCGTGAACATCAAATGTGATGTTTGAGTCAATTTCCCCTTACTGTAAAAAATCCCATTAACTTCCTCATAAGTATCAGGAGTTACTGTATTACAATTAAAATCCAATATTTTCGGAAAAAAGTCAGTGGAATTTCAAAACAAAAAAGGTGGGAATCTGCTGGTTAAAAAAAAATAATTCAAACTAGTATCATTAATATTATAAGAATAGTATTTGTATCAGGACCATTAAAACAATATTTAATGAGGAAAAGAAAAGACGCAGGATTTGGATTGAACGATGGATCAAGGTTCGAATGTATACAGAGTAGTTTTGACACTTTCAAAAAAAAAAAAAACTAAAGTACATGCAGACGTGCCAACCTAGCAAAATTAACATTCAGGAGTTTCCCTAACAAGAATTCAGGAGATTTCAGGAGGGGTAAAAAAAGGAGCATGGTATGCAACATTTGGCACTTCTAAGGAATTTTAAGTAAAAAATTTATTAAATATAAGAATGCAAGAAATTTTACACACTAATAGAGCAATAATTGTTTAAAAATATTAAATGGAAATAAAATAATTAAACACAGATTTAGCAACACAAAACTATATTAGGTAGATACTCTTTAAATAAATACCATTTCCTTAATAAAACATTATTCAAAAACCCGACACTGTAATAAAAATACACAAAAACTTTTAAAAAATAAACAAATTGAATAAGTATTTTATTTTAAAAAACCAATTCAATACTAATGTCTGTACAATAAAGAACCAATTATCCGGGATGCTCGGGACCATCGCTATCCCGGATGTCTTAATTTCCCGGTTTCCTGGATCGACAAAAAAGTGTCGTTAATCGATGTTTTATCAAACCCAAATTACAAGGAAAAAATGTAAACACATTTTAAAGTAAGAGAAAAAAGAAAAGCACTCCTAAATCTAAAAAGGAAAAAAATTGTAGAAAAATAAAATTTAAAAGAATAAAAAAATTTGCAAGTTTAGACAAGAAAAACAAGTTTAAAAAATAATTACGATTCCTAAATCAACTAATAAACAAAACCAATGATTAAATAACGCAATATATTTCATGGGGGGGGGGGCGAAAATAAAAGGAAAACCTATTAATCTAAATAAAAACAACACTTGAAAATTATCGAACCGAAACGATAGTTAAAAAACGGCACTAGCATAAATATTAAAACCTAGAACAAGGCAAGATCAACGGACTTAAAAAAAAAAAAAAACTAATGAAAAAATTTGGTAATACAAATAATTTTATTGAGTGCAAAATTTATCATGAAAAAGAAAAAAAAAACGTAGTGGAATCAGAAAAACGAAACTGCAATCTGCTTCATAAAATAATTGTATGCTTAAATTAATAAACAATTCTCCTTTTTTTTTTTTTTTATAAAAACGCGATTTTTAATTAAAGCAGGTGTGATTCCACATCAAGAAAAACTTGCGAATGATACCGCACTTCCAAAGAATCAGAATTTATTCAAAAGAAAAACATTTTATTTTTATTAATCGATGTCAAATAGATAAATATATTTTTCTCTTTCATCTTCTGTTCACTGATATGCATGTGCAATGCATTTTCCCCACCCCCTCGTAAATCAAACTAGCAAACGAAATCATCATGCCACTCCTTTGAGTTTAACGACCTAAAAGAGAATAAAGATCTAAAATCTTCAAGGTCGCGGAAGAAATGACGTTTCTCTGGGTAAACGGGGAAAAAAATTCTTCCCTTCCTCACATTTTCCTCTACTCAACTTCAAGGATTAGTCCAGTTTCCGCTTTTTTTTTCATATCGTTTTAGTTCAAAATGGCGGGAGAACCGAGCAAATTTTTTTTCCGGATTATCTGGATACCAGATAAATGGTTCTCTACTGTATGCATGAAAAAAAGAGTTGCAGACTTAGCTCTCCGCAATTAAGTCTTGCTAAAGTCATTGGTACATGATTTGTTGAAATTGATCCATACTTCCGTTTCGACTTAAGACATCCTTGAAATTTTTTTTTTTTAAATATACGAAGACTAAACGAATAATTGATATCACGTTGCTAGTTTACGAGCTTGTTGCCAACCGTGGAAAAATACGCATTAAAAACTATAAAAACAGCAAGATACAATATCAATTCCAACTATCGAGAGTACGAGTTTCCCCACTCCTGAACGGACGTCACTCGATAACGACATGTGACGTCATTGCATTCAACTCCACACGAAAGAAGAGGAAGATTTCACCCGCCCCCAGTGTAAGGGGGCGGGTGAAATAGGAGTGTTTTTAGAGGTAACGTTGAAGAGGGGGGAAAATAAAGCATGTTCAGCTACGCTTCAGGCAGATGGTAGTTTGATAAGAGGGGATGGAATTCAAGCTGAAAGAAAAACTTACCTTCGCACTCGCGGAAAAATTAGGTAATTTTGAGTTTGGCCGTCGATCGCAGTAAAATTCGGGAGTTTTTCAAATCAATTCCGGAGGGCGGGAGAATAACTCAAAATTCGGGAGACTCCCGCAAAATGCGGGAGAGTTGGCACGTCTGTACATGCTTAAAAAAAATTAACATGCTTTTCTCCTTAACTGCTTAACTGAATCTCACCAAAGGTTCAAAAGTAATAAAATTTCTTTTATAACATATATATATAGCCCAGCAATTAACAGCGTTATCAAGTTTTGATGAAAAAATAAGAGTAATATGTATACACATTCAAATTATTTAAAAACAAAGTTTAACATTCTCCAAAAAAAAAAATTACAAGACTTCTTGCCCAGGGGAAAATTAATAATGTTTCCGGGTGCAGACAAAATTAAAAAATAAGAATATGCTTATAAAATTTACCTGTTGAGAATCCAATACGCTTATGGCATTTTGTAAATTCTACATTGAAAAATGTGACAAAAGCTTGAATATAATCATCCCTTTGAACAGATAAGAGAAAAGGAGATTTAAATGACAAGTCTTCTTTTTTCACTGTGTACAGATCAATTTCCTAAAATTTAAATTAACATTTTTTTAAAATTACATGTCACACAATTTGGTTTTAACAGTTAGAAACTTGAAAAAAAAATGCAAACTTAAAGAAAAAACTGAGTACAAAAAATCATGCATTTTAAAATAAAAATAATGAACATTTTTATTGTATGTAATTTGCCGTAAGCTTTTTTTTAAAATGATGCACAAATAGTATCATTAAAATCCTACTACTATAAGCATTACAGAATTAGATATTTAAACTAGAGATTTAACAAAATTCAAACAATTATATTATATTTATGTTTAAACAATTCCTTTTTTTCCCTTTTTTATAGAAGCCACAAAACTAAAAAACTACCAAATTTTAAAATTTTTCATTCTCAAGTTTTACGTTGCATAAACAATCACGAAAAATATATGAAGAAAATAAATTATCAAAAGAACAATTTTATTTTGAATATTAATGTCACATACAGTGTAATATTTATACGAAGTGTACCTGCTAACATATTGCAAGCTTGATCTCAAGCATCATTAAAACTGGAAGGGGAAAAAAATTGTCCCATAAAACAAACTGAAGTAATGGAACATTTTTACTCAGTAATAAAAAATTTCTTCAAATTAAACATGCACTGAACTGATCAAATGACTAAAATTTAATAATTTTTCGAAACAGATTTTAATTTACACTAATAAACATGGTATGAAATTCAATAAAAGTGTTTATGGTATAAAAGTTTTATTTGTATTTTGTCTAAGCTTTATTATGAGTTTTATCTACTTGAAAACTTTTAATGCAGAAACAAAACAAAAATGTTAGAGGAATATACTTCAGAGAAGAGAGCTAGAAACCTAGCTGCCTATTGCTCTTCCAATGTAGTAACATTGATATTACATTTTTGTCTTTACTATGCTCTCAACTATATATATATTTTGATAATGGTGCTCTAAAAATTATTCACTTAAAATGTCCTTTTGTACAATTAGGATTTTATACATGTGGATATTATATTGTGTGGCTTTTATTATGTTCACTGATATAAAAAGCTTTTTCGACCTTAGTATTCTAAAAATCAGGGGTGATTGTGGGTTCAACTCAAAAATCGTGAAAATTTCTTGAGTAAAATCATACAAAAAATTTATATCTTTATAAATTTAAATCACTAAAATTTTCAAATGAATTATATGCAGCATAATTTAAATGAATAATTACATGTAAGTTTACTTTTATCTCTCATCACATTATTATTCTACCAGAAAAAATAATTGCAAATGAAAGAGATGCCAAGTACAAATTCTAGTTCTAATATTTTTAAATAAAATATACACGAATTTTTATTTATAAATATGATCAATGATTTCTTGATACTTCTGGACTTAGGACTTCCGGAAACTTTCGGATTGCAGTTAGCGAAAAATCCGGAAATCAGGATTTTTTCTGGTGAACAATCAATCACCCCTGAAAAATAATACCCTAAAATTGAATCTAACAAAAAAATTACATAAAGCCTTGAATTAATATCTCTACATTACGGAATTTCATTGCTATAATTTCAGTCTTCATCATTGAAAGTTTAGTTCAAAATTACACTAAACAGATAAATTTTTTGAGCTAGTCATGTAGCTTTCCCACTAAACTTTTGACTTTTGACAAATTAACCATTCAAGGGCTATATTTAAATCCTGGGTTATAGGCACTTCTAATTACATATGATTAAGTGAAAAATATCAGCCTCTTAAAACCGATCAATTTCTTTGGAAATTACATTGAAAATATTTATACCTTTAATAAACAACTAGAAGTCACAACTTGCTTAGGATCCACACAATCAACTAAAGGTTCAGTAATGGCAACTTTACGAATACAGCTCATATTAAAGCCATACACACTGTCCCACCCTGCAATAGACATTTTCAATAGATACACATTTATTTATTTTACTAAGTACAAACTTTTACCAAATACATGACAGTTTTACATACATGATATTTTTTCATCTTTATATTGTCTATCTTCAATCCCTAAGACAAAAAGCGTTGCTCGATCAGGAAACAGCATACCATCTGATTTCTGCAATTAATTTGCAAAAAATTACATAAATTTCACTGACTACATCATAAAAAATATGTTAAAATATCAGCAGCTTATGAATTTTGAAATTACCAGGGTATACAATTACAGTCAAATTCATTGACTGTGGTCCATTATTTAACAAGGAAGTGCAACCAAGAAATTTTTAACAATTTATAGTTTAAAACAGTGTTCCCCAACCTTTTTATCACCGCGGACCTGTCAACGTTTGATAATTTTCCCGTGGNAAGGGAGGAGGAATTGATTGTTTATATTTCTGATTTATTAATTTTAATTTAATTGAATTTGAACATGCCTTCAAAATAAAATACAGTAACACCAAAAAATAAATAGAAAGTGATTTAACATTTTAACTTACTAGAACTTTAAATCAATGAGAACCCTGAGCTTCTTTCTTTGCAATGAGACAGTTCCATCTGGGGGTAATCGGAGACAATGATACATTACAAACATTTAAAAATTATGTCACTACCTTCAGGGGCCCCTTTTTTTCAAATAAATAAAATTTAATGGAACACAGATATATTCGGCCCGGTACCATTTGATCCACGGACCGGTACCGGTCCGCGAAAAAACCTACTAAAAATTATTACAGAATATTTCTTTTTTCTTTCCTTTTTTTTTTTCAATTATCAAAAAAAATTTGCTTATTGTAACTTTCAAAAAAAAAGTTTGTAGCTTCAGGGTTCATACTCTTTCTAAGAAAGTAAATTTCAGGAGTTTCTAAGGAGTTTTTCAGGAGTACAATACAATAAATTCAGGAGGTGCGAGGGAAAATTATATACTTTGTATAATTTTAATATAGCTATTTATAAAATTAAATTTACAACATTACAAAAAAAACCACAAAATAGTAAATTAATAAAAAAAGGATCTTAAAATATTATTTATTTTAAACACTTTTTAAAGACATATATGTCTTATTCAGTTCTTCACATATTTTAAGCTTAGATATTTTTTCTTTAGCATGACGCCTTAAGGCATTTGCTTTTGAAATTAATGAGAGATCACATTTTTTTCTGCCTGATCAGAATAATCATCAGAAGTTTTATTAAGTTCTTGTATATCATCCTCCAAATGTTTCTTTTTTCACCCTTAGCTTTATTATTTGTAATTACTTTCTCTTTTTCCAAATGTGCAAGATATCTTTGAAGTGCAACTGTAGCTGAAACAATGAGTTCTTTTGAAATAATGACTTTTTCAAGTCCACCAACAAATCGTAGATGGTCATCAATTATTCTTTTAGCCACAATTGTTTGGTTTGCCAGATTTTCAACCGATTGACCGAAAACCCTCTCTCACCAGTTGCCTGGCCATGAGAAAGCAGAAGTAGAGGTTTAATTACGTTCCACAAATTGGGATATTGTGAACTTGACAAGAACTCACAGTATAACACATCTAGTCGATCTACGCTAGGATCAAAATTATCGCCAATGCAGTGCCTAAATTTTGTCCTAGTATCCATGCTGTTAAAATCTTCAACAAATTGAACATATTCCTTCAGAATGCTATCACAATCTTCTTCTTTTACTCTACCTGCACTGGTCAAATGAAATAATATTTTTCAAAGCTTGTTTAAATTTGCTTCTTTATTAACATGCACTGTACAAGGATCAATGCTCGATACATTTCGCACTAAAGAGAAATTCAGTGGTCACTTTTCAATTAGCTTTTTTGACAACTTCAATAAAAATTGCCTGCAATTCAAATAAAATTCCATTGTTTTCTCTTCATCCTTCAAAATTTTCGTCTTTATCAACTCTTTTCTGGCAACAAAGCCAACATCAATTTTGGTTGCCTCTTTACAAATTTCTTTATCTTCGAGATTTATACTTAACACATTGTATTAAGTATAAATCTATTATGATGCTGGAAGCTTTTCTTCTTTTATAAATCTGTTCAGCACATCTTTTAATAGCAAGTAGAGATCACCATTTAAAAATGGTAACGCGGGCTTATCAGTTTGATACAATTTTAAGAAAGATTCAACATCTTTCACAACAGGTAAAATGAAATTACATTTGGCAATAAATAGTTCATCTTTAACCACGTTCTGTAAGATTGTATACGATTTAATGTTTGGCCGAGAAAACTTTTTGTTTTCTATCTCCTTCAAATAAGTTTTAACATCAGGCAAAATTTCTAAAAGTCGAACTAAAACTTTTTTATTCTCCACCCACCTGTGCTTGCAAAATTTTGAAGGGAACTTTACAAATTCAGGATTTACAGATTCAAAATCTTCTCTTCGAGCAGGAGAGTCTTTAAAAAATTGGTAAACAGATGATGCAGCATGCTCTACTTTTGGAAAAGCAATAGAGCAACCACCCTTAAAGGTATTATGCACTATGTGCAGTCCACATGAACTTACATTCAAGAGACTCACATTGTGTTCATTCTTCATTTTTTCTATCATTATGCCTAGCACTTTTAGGTTGACATTCGGGCCATCCATAGATAATAGTAAACTTTTAGTATTTATGCACAAGCATTTCTCAGTTATTTTTTCAAATAAAAGTTCAGATGTAACATGTCCTAGAAAGTCTGAAGAATAGTAGCATGTATTTATTTGGTTACCATCCCAAAATCTTACATGACAATCCAGTTTTTGAATTGATTAACATCATTTAGACTTTCATCAAAAAGCAGTACATAATTGGTTTCCTCTTTCACTCTTGACTTAAGTAGAGACAAAAAATATGGCGCAATACCAAAAACTGAGAGGTGGCAGTTTTTCTTTCCACCACAACTGAAATTGCTTGCTATCTGGCTATCAGAAAACATAGCTTTAAAAAGAAAATTTGCATTTTCACAAGATTTGTAGGAATAATGTGAGCTTAAAACCTTTAAAGTTCATAAAATTTCAGCTTTTGTAGTGAGGCTATTCAAATGAATTGCTCGATTCAAATTATAAACCGGCACAGGAACAACACTTAGCAGCCAATCTTTATACAGTTCATTTGCTAGCCAGGGACGAAAGGGATGGGAAGACGGAAGGAATGATTAATTATTTTCTCCGTTTAAGAAAAGTTTCTTATTTTTGTTAAAAAATTTTCAGGAGATAAAATTTAATTTTCAGGAGTTAAAATGCCAATTTCAGGAGTTATAAGGGCCCTTAGAAAAAAAAAGCTAATTTCAGGAGTTTTTCAGGATTTTCAGGAGGAGTATGAACCCTGTAGCTTTCGGTGAACCACATTAGTTAATGGAAAATCTTTCAGGGTATAAAAAAAAATTTACTCTAATTAAATTCGAGAAAAAATAGTATGAAGAAAACTAATAGTATAAGAGAGTAAGAATCCCTCATTCATTTTTGTAATGAATCACACAACTTCTTGAACTATGCATCTATAGCACAGGAAGGAATGCATAATAAATTATGGCCATTGCAATGACTGACAGAAAAAGCTGTTATATAAACTACTGAAAAGATACTTCATGCTGCTCAGGTCTCAGTCAGGATAAAAACCTGCCCCATTGTTTGTTAATCACATGCTCTTAATTTTTAGAATTTAATATATTTTATCCGCTCTCATCATTGAAAATGTAAAAAATTGAAATTCAAACAATTACCAAAGAAAATTAAGTGAAAATAAAATCAAATTATAGATATTTATCCCTTCAGACTAAATAAAGAACACTAAAAATGTTTTTTAATTTTTGTGCATTAAAATTCTAATTTAATAATTTTGACTCACTTTAATACGACAAATGAGCACCCTGAATAGAATTGAACACTTTGTTTTCATTATAAACAGATTTAATTATAACATACCACAGGACTAAATAAGTTTATCTGCAATGACTGTAATAAAGCATGCCACATAATTTAGAAGGACTAATTTTTACACATTTTTATTAACATACTCACTTTTAAAAATGCCTGATTTAAAAAAAAGCTATTTAAACAGTTTCAATTATTATCATCATTTTAAATATTAACAGACCAACAAACTGTATATAATATAGATTTTGTAAGAAGTAATAAAAAAAAGGAAGAAGGTAGAAATTTAAGCAGGTTGAGTCACTTTTCACAACTACAGTAATACCTTGAAAATCCAGAATTTTAAAATCCGAAACTTCTGAAACTTGAACTTATGAGAAAAAGTTTGTTTAATCGATTCTTAAAAAAAGTTCAATTTAAAAATAAAATCATAAAACTCTGGCTGTGAAGCATTAAAAGGTGAGGATTATGATTTATTGAAAGGTTTTTATTTTCTGTATTTTGTAATTGTATGAATTTTTGTAAGATTTATTTTACGGATTTCAGCTGTTATATGATAATCTTAATTTTTTTTGAATCAAAATGCATGTGGTTAATATTTATGCAACATTGTAGTCTTTATAAAAACTATATTTAAGCTCATAATATATTTTTTAAAGAATAAAAATCAATTAATGTAGTCATCTCGCAATTCCTTCATAAACAGAAAAGTCTGACTTTCTTTTGAAAAATCCTATATTCCTAATTTACTTGATAAAACTAAACTTGAGATATAAACTTAAAATCTCTTTTAGTATTTTCTCACACAGAGAAGTTACTTTTTCCATAATGATTAAATTAGTCACTAACTTTAAGCCTAGAATATATAACATCTGAAAGAATATCTGAATGCATAACATTCATTAATGGAGATATAACATAATACATTTTATAAAATAACTAGCAAATTAATAACTAAATTAACAAAGCAAAACCTATTGGAAAATAAGAAATATAATACAAACCAGCCATTTATCTCTAGCATACAACACAGTATCTAACATTGATTCGTAAAACAAACAATAGCCCATCCACTCTGAAATTATGATATCAACTTTTTCTACCGGTAGTTCAACTTCTTCCACCTTGCCTTTTACAATAGTTATAACTAAAAATAATAAGTTTTCAAATTGATTACAATGATTTATATAAAATTAAAATAGTAAATAATTTAAATGAGTATTTAACATTTGATGTTAAAAAAATATATATATAATATAGTTAAATAATTTTAATAATAGTTACCATTATCCAAATGATTATCTTTCACAATTTGTTCAGCATGTTCAACAATACTTGAACATTCAATCTGTTATAAAAGAAAAGAAAAAATTCATGAGACACTCTTTGCAGTTATTTATTTAAAAAAAAAAATCTATTAGAAAAAGAAAGGAGCACTCTCTAATCACGCTGAAATTTTGTACATTGATTTTCCAAAAAGTGGTAAAATGATTTCAACTACAATTTTAACCTCAGATATGATAAAAAGGCAGACTGATGACCATAAAAGGTTGCTTTAACTCAAGCGTATCTTTCATTGAAGTAGCTCGATTAAAAGATAAATAAGTTTTCAAAACTAGCAATAGTAATTGAAGAACAAGAGAAAAAAAATGGCTCATGTCCATTTCCACAAAAATGACAATTGGATTACCATCACATTCTGAAGATTACTAAGTTTGGACTAATCAATAACATGGAAATTTTTCAATCCCTGTGAGTTAGTAAACACAGTAATGATGGGTCATGCTGTAGAAAAACTGTCCCTGTCCACATTAAAATTAGTGTTTTCTCAGAATTAATTTCAATGGATATAAATAGTTCTCTCTCCTTTGATCTTCAATTATAATAAAAAAATTTACCGAAAAAAATGCTTTTGCGCATCATGTTTTACATTTTGCCATCTACACTTTATAAGATACTCATTTTTAACAGTAATTTTCAGCAAATGATTACAGATACATATTTAGCAATTGTTTTTAAATAGAAACAAACTTTAATTCTGTCATGAAAAAATCATTCATACATGATTCATAATTTGCTTTTAGAAAACTAAAAAGGTTTCTATTTTCAATGGAAGTAAATAATTTTTTCTCTATATTTATTATGCATTCTTCAACAACCTTAAATATAATACCAAATGAATTTGATGGAGTCACTAATTAAACATAGTTTATCATCTCATATTTATCAAAAACTTGGTCTTTTTTCAACTTTTTTCTCAAAACTTATATTTTAAAAAATTTATATTTCTTCAACCATATAGACACAGATAATAAAAAAATCTCAAGTCCTAATCCTTCCCTAAACTTAAAAGTATTTTTGTGCATTAAGACCTAGCTCAATTAATAAGCTAATATTTCATGAGAACAGCTGTCTTCCCAATTTTTAGAGAAACCACAATTATTCCTTCTCTTAGTATTGCAGGAAGTAAACAAACAATAAAATAATCAAAGCAAAAAAACACTGAAAAAAATGGACATACTATAGTTTCATTTCTATAAACAAGAACATTCCTCAGTGTCTAATAACCTAAATGGTGCGTCGAAACCAAATGGTGAACTTCAATGTCTTAACAACAAATGCTATTTAGACACTGAGAAAGGTTATTCTATAACTAAAACTATAATATGCTCATTTCGATAATGTGATTGATTAAAGTTTTTTTTTTCTTACTTTGCTTTGAACTACTAGTCTAGATATAGATAGCACATATCCTATCCTTTTTTAACTATAAGATGATAATAATAATTAGTTTAGATATTAATCTACTGGAAACTGGAATTACCAATAAAATAATTATTTCTTTCAAAATTTTAAGACTTTTGAAAATAAAAATTAAACAAAAACAGAATTAAAATTGCAGGAGAAAAAAAAATTAAACTAATCTAAAAATGTGCTAAGGAGTGTGGCAAATTATATAACACCAAATATGTTTAAAAAATGTTTTCAAAATCACAACACTGCAAAATGTAAAATTTTGAAGAATTTTTTAGTCAAAGAATGGTTAACAAAATTAAAAAAAAAACACAGCATTTCAACAATTTATTACAAACACATGTATTTAAACTTGCAAAATGAGGACACTGGGTTAAGGAAGAATAATTTAAAGCACATTGAAAAAGTAATCATTAGAATTATATCTGAAGTAAAAATAAACTACATAAATTGTTACTAACACCAAATACTTTAGCTGCTCCGGCCCTAGCAGCAAACATGCAAAGTATACCAGTTCCACATCCTATATCTAAAACAGTTTTTCCACGGAATAAATGTTTATTGTGGTACATAGCATTTCTGTATGTCATTGTTCTAACTTCATCTTTCAACATTTCCTAGGGAGCAGAAGAAAAAAAAATCTTGTAATAAACAAATATAATTTTAAACAAATAGCAAACGAATATAATTAGAAATTGTCAGTGTAAAATCGTTTAACATATACCTAGATTAGACCATATTTTTACAAAAGAAAGCAAAATTATTTTTTTTTTTTAAAAAAAAAGCTTAAATATGTTGGAAAATGTCTAAGAAAATTAGTTAAATTAAGTCATTGGATAGTCAAACGGTTAGAATATTATATTTACATTAATTAATCACTTCAAATTCCAGTGGTTACTCTTTATTTAGTATGGGAGCATAAGCTAGGTGTAGTTTACAACTAAATTACATTCTTTATTTGAGCTGAGGACTTTTGATGCTAAAACACCTGATGTTAAAACTTAACATTTAAAATCAGTCTCATTTACTGAATTCAAAAATAAAATAAATGAGGCTAAATTTCAAAAACTATTTTTGATAAATCTTAGATAAGTAATTCAAATCAGGAATGCAGAAAATTCTTAAAATTCTACTCTTTCTTTCCTTTTTTTGGAGAGTGGGTTTGAAATTTTCCCCAAAATTTTAGCTTCAGGTTGCAAATTTATTAAAACATTTAAAGAAATTTAATGTCAAAATTTTTGACTACCTTACTATTACATTAACCTTACTATTTTTCTTATGCCTTTATTTGTTAAAATACTACATTTTTAATTTAACAAAATTTAAATCAGAAAATCAGTAGTCAAATCAAGTTTAAAGAAAAAAAAATTTCTAAAGCTACTAGAATTTCCCCTGAACCTTGTTTGCACAATCAGATATATTATGCACCTCGGATTCTACTAAAGGCCAATATTTACATGGAAATTGTGCATATTTTAACAAAAACACTAACTGAATAATTTAATAATGTGGCCTATTATATTGACCTAAACACGACTTCAATTAAACTGTTAAAAGAGCAAAAAAGAAAAAGTGCATATGAACTTTGTATACAAGATCAAAAGTTTCATCGAATTGAGAGTTTAGTTTGAAAGTGCTAGAGAAGGACATGGCTATTTTATGCCGAACTAAAATGCAAAAAGAAAATTTACAATTATGCACACTAAAGGCAAAATACTCTTAAACAATGCCTCAGAAAATAAAAGCTTTCCCACACATAATGAAAACCAAAAAATATAACAAAACGTCTAAGATAACCAAACACACAAGCATACCTCGTGTATACCAAAATGAGCATATGAATCAAAGTAGTAATCTTTAGAAGTCATTTCTTCAGGTTTATAAGTAGTGAGACCATTCATTTCTTTCTTGCATCTATAACAGTATTTGCCAGAGCAATCATCACTGGGAGTTTCTCCATTTACTTGTACTTCAGCAGAACTAGAATTATTTCCTTCAGTTGGGCTGACCTATAGTGAATAACAAAAGTTTGAATAATATAAAATTGCAGACATAATTGTAATTCCCCAAACCAAAGTTACTGATTTTGTAGATTTTGAATCATAATTCAAGTACTGAAGAACTAATGCAGGTGCAATATTAAAAATTTAATTGTCTTTTGCGACATCATTTCACTTTCATAGCGAGTTTTATGGAAAATAACTTTTATTGTGCTATGCTATTTCTAGTTTTTTAAAAATATCCCTTAGTATTTTGCAACAGGAACAATATTTTTAGTAAAGAATTTACAATACTTTTAGTAAAGTAAAGAACAATATTTTTAGTAGAGTAAAGAATTCAGCAAAAAGCAAATTGAGTTTAACATAACTAATCCAAACGATTGGCTCATACAAAATTCAGAAATCAATGCAAATATAAATAAAATAAAAATTCAAATTATAAAAATCAGGTTGCATTCTCGCTGATAAATGCTGTTCCTCTCAAATTAGTGTGTTCTGACGTCAATAAAGAACACTGTTACTAGATAGGGAACAATCAGAAAAACAGAAATAGAAACCACCAAGCTCTCTTCATCTCCTCTGCTTAAACTTAGCTATTGCTTTTAGCAAGGATTATGGGCATATAGTGCGGTTTTAAGGAGAACCCCTCCAGACTTTAAGTCTTGGGCTGTCTGCTATGGTAATAAGTGAGAGCACATTCCTAATGGGGGAGAATTTTTTTTTTTTAATGGGGAGCTTGATGTTAATATTTATATAAACTAATAAAAATTGCTTTTCATCTGCTTTCTATGAAAAAGTTCCTTATTCTCATCTTAAAAAAGTGATACATATTCATTATAGTTTTCCTTTTCTATTTTTTAATATGAACTTAGGCAATTTTTTATTTCATTTTCTTTGAGGAAGTATTTAATACTTAAAATTTAGTTAATGCATAAGAAAAATTAAAAGAATAAATACATGACAAAAAATCACAACGCTATTTTAATGCAAAATTCCCATTTTTGGTTTGGAGTAACAAACAAAAGGGGGTGCATTGTAAAGACGTCGATAAAACACAAGAAGTTTTGGTATTGGCCAGCAACAGCAAGCAGAAGAGCAGCCTTTAAAATTATTTTTAAAAAAAATTTAAAAAACACTTTTTAAGTTTAGTCCCATTTTTTTTATCACTGTGAATTTAGTTTATCAAAAACTACAAGCAGCAGAATTAAAATTTTTGCAGTCACATTTAGTTTAAATTTTTAATTATTATTGTTGCAATTAAATTGCAGTATTTTTTCGTTACTTAGTTTAACATCTGATAAACATGGACAATGTGTCTTTGTTTAAATTTAAATTTCTTTTGGAAAAATTATATTGGAGAATTGATATTCTATTGATATTTGAGTTTGATATTCTATTTGTAAACTATACAATAAAAGGCTGGACAGGTTTAAAGAAAAAAAAAATGAGCAAAGCAAAATAAGGACTGGTTGCATTTAGAGTCACTCACTTCTAAGATGACTTCCTTAATCTTAGGGAAAACAGTAATGCATTTAAAAACACAGAAAGATATTTCATGGATGATTAGGGTCATAATTTTGGAGCGAAATAAAATTAAATTACATAATAACAATAGTTCTTTAAGAAAAAAATTCTTAAATGTACTAAATGCTTACAAGAAAATTACTTTTATTTATTTATTTATTTTTAACTTAAAGGAACTTTACATCAATGAAAATTCATTAAAAATGTCTTTATTTGTCTGAAATATTGGGGGGGACTTTTAGAGACTTCTCATTATTGAGGGAGACATGTACCCCTCCTGCCAATGGTTCCCATGAGATGTTTATAAAGCATACCTACCAAGCATGTGGCATTGCATTATATAGAATTGTGTGTTATACAGATCATTTCACATTATCATTAAACTAACCTACTAAATATGACAATATACAGGGTGATTCTAAAAAGATGGGGAAAATTTTAGGAAGTGATAGTACATACCCAGACAAACAATTTTTATCAAAGAATGCATGGTCGAAAACAAAACCCAAAAACGCTAGAGGGCGTCAAAGTTTATGTTCTTATATGAGGCAAAAACACACAAAGAACGATGAAGTTAAGTTATAAAAGCAAATTTAATGGCATGTGATTACAATTTCCCTGCAGCGGCCGAAAGCTTGGTGACAAATAACGTAGCGCAGTGACTCGCAATAGGAATGGAGCTTTCTCGTTTGCATGAAAAAACTTTCCAAATGCGCCAGCACCTTTGCGTTTTGTTTTCGACCATGCATTCTTTGATAAAAATTGTTTGTCTGGGTGTGTACTATCACTTCCTAAAATTTTTCCCATTTTTTTCAGAATCACCCTGTATAGGTACTTGGAACAGATTAATATAAATGCTTTAAAGTAATTTTTAAATACAAAAAATTTAAAATATAAAAACGTGCTTATGTATTTATTATTTACAGAAAAAAAAATTCTTAATAGCATTAGAACTAAAAACTAACAAATTCATCAAGTTGAGTTTGTTTTAGAGATTCATTCTTGCTGGGTACAATATATGTTGATCCAAAACACTGAATTTCATTTGAGGAGGAACAAATTAAAAAGGCAAAGAGAAACTATCTATAAAATTTCTCTGAATAAAATTTTCAGAACAATTGGAGAAATAAGTCAGGACAGTCAGACTGCAGCTCAGGATTGAAAAAAACTGGGGATTTTAGTTTTTTTTCTTTGGTTTAAACCATGTTTTTTTGGCATAAACTGGTTTTCTTTTTAAATATATCAAATATTATTCCACGCCCTTAATTGAAATTAACCAAACAATTCCAAAGTATTTCCTAGCAATTAACTATTAAAGTTTTCAAAAAACTATTCAAAATTAACCACTTTTGTTTCTTAAAGTTGCTAACAAAATTGTAAAAAAAGGAGAACAGAAACTAAATACTTTAAATATACATTTAAAAGAGTGATTCCTCCCTGCTTGTATGCAATTTAAAAATGCTATACTTAAAAATAATATTATTTAACTCCATACAATTTATAAAATTTTATTTCATTAAGTTTTATAAAACATACATTTATTTTTTTAATCCATTGAATCAATACAAATTTTAATATATTTAAAGCAATACATCATATTTTACATAAATAATTAAAAAAGGCTTGATAATAATGAATTGAGGAAAAGGTACAAACATGACACGGGTTGCACGTAAAATAGTAAGTCTTAGCACTATTGATTTAATAATAAATAAAGCATCAACTACTTTTTTTTCTTAATTTTCAACATAATTGAACTATAAGCTTAATTGTAGTTGTCTTGATATTTCTGATTATATTTTCTGTAAAATTATTTGCTACAAAATTTGCTTTTATTGTATTCAAGTAGAGCAGAGCAAATTAACTTTTTCTTTAATTTTTAATTTGCTTTTTTAAAAAGTAAACTGGTACATGTAAATTGGACCAATAAATGTTCAGGTTTTTCCTTCAGTCCCCTAAGATATGATGCTTTTTATATAAACGTTAAATTATAAACATAAACAAAAATTTAGCATATTTTCAGACAAAAAAATATTTATTAAAAAAAACATACTCTGTCTAAAAACTTTTCCCTTTTATCAATAATTGATTCAGCAAATATATATATATTGAAAAGTGATGACTCAAATTTGAAATTCTCGTATCGTAATATTGTATTAAAAATTGGGTTAAAATCAAGCAGAATTTCATAGCAATAACCGTTGAAAAGTAATTGAGAAAAGAAAATAAATTTACAATGGAATCTGTGCAAATTGAGAACATTAAAAAGTGATGACTAAATTTTTCAACGTCTTATATTTTTTTTGCCGCAGGTTGTGAGCCGCAGGTTGGAATCCAAAGTTACGCTAAAAAACACCGCTAGGAGTGCAGAAAAGTCTTTTAAAAGAAAAGACTTTTTAATACTTTTCAGGGAAGAAAAGTTGCTATAGTTGCCCGCGGCAACTCTGCATCAAACATGTAAATTGATTAGTGCTTTCATGCTATGGACCAACGGTACATGAAATAGATTGTGGTTGAATGAATTGTGAAAACGTTGAACAGAATAAGGTGAAAAGCATGCTGGTGCATAATAAGTGGCGAAAATCAATACGGTAAAGAAAAAAAATTGCATTTTAAAAAAGGAAAAATTAAGCAACTTCTTAAAAACCCATGAAAAAAGCACCTTTAAGCACATTTTAAAAACGCTATGTGCCATGTTAAATTAATTAACATTTGTTACCAAGAAGGATAAAATTATTAAAAACTAATCACTGAATAAATAAATTCATAGTTACATATTTCTAGCTCAACTTGCTAATGAATGTTAAAGATTGGGATACTATTAGTCAATTAAATAGCTAATGAAGATAAAATTAGTTTAGATCAGAAAACATTGAAAGAAAAACTTTTTTAAGTTACTTTGTGTAGATTAAGCCTTCATATATGTGAGGCTACATATATGAACTGCATTTAAATAAGTATAAAACAAAATGGATATAATTGAAATATGTTTTTTGCCCCCAAGCTATTTTGAATACATTTAGTAAATAAATCTTACACTAGCACTTCATTTCCTTTTTAGCTTTTGATTGTAATAATCATTATGTATTTTTAACAAAATAAAAAATAAAAAAAAGTTTCTCGAACCTTTTATTTAAATTGTTCAATAACTACATTATTTAACTGATTACAGCTTTAGTGCTCAGAAAATTAATTTAGGGATGCTGTTTATTTTTGTTATATAAGCACTTTTAGATAATTTTGCTCATATCAAATAACTTGTCTATGTATATTTGTTAAACAGCTAAAAACTAAATATTTATATTCTAACAGAAACTATTCATATAATCAAAAATTAGTTTTAGAAAAATATTAAAAAAAAAAACAGGTTTTGTTTCATAGAAAAACCATTTGGTTTACTTTACACCAGGGTTTAAACCAGCCAGTCCTGCTGCAGACATTGCTGAGTCTCCATCATTCTCTTCCAATGATGAATTAAATTTTGAGAAATATTTGGATAATATTGAAAAGGCTAAAGCAAAGCAATGAAAATAAAGAAGCAAGAGCCTTTAGGAAAGGAAAAAATACAAACAAGAGTTTTACACAGCCTTTTCTTGAAGAAATAGACTAGTAGAGAAATATGATCAATCCTGTAAGACACCTCTTTTGATCTCATAGAAATAAATCCTGAAAGTTGAAAGAAGTAGACATACTAATAGTAACTGCTCTTCCTTCTATTCAGGTTAGAGCTGAAAGACTATTCTAAGCTTTGAAGATTATACAAAATCGGATCTACACCCTTCTTTTAAAGATGTAAGAAAGAAGCATATAAAAAAGCAAAACCCTTTAAACACAAAATTGAAAAAACACAAACAAGATTTTTACATAGCCTAAAAGAAATAGATTAATAGAGAAATATAGTAATTTTTGCAAGACACTTAGTTTAGAACTTATAAAAATAAATCTATCCTAAAAAGTTAAAAGAAGTAGCTCTTGCAGTATCAACTTTCCCTCCTAATTAAGTTAATGAAGAAAAACTATTCTCAGCTCTCAAGGTTTATATCAAATCAGATTTACAGTCTATCAAAGACCTTGAAAAGGTATACTGTTTTTTAGAAATTACTAAGGCCAGTTTTTTCATTTTATAATAATTGCTTACTAATATAAATAATCTGCTATGTCATCAAATTTTGTTTCTGTTGCAACTATTATTCCTTTAAGTTAAAAAAAAAAAAAATTGTAACATAACATATGTTCACATACATATGCGGGAGTCAGTCTTTATGGTTTAAAAATCAAGGAATCAGAGTCTGCCATTTTCCCCACCAACTTCACAGCCCTACACTTATCAGCCATTTTAACTCGTAAAGACTTATAAGCCAGCATATTTTGGGTTCCTATTTGTCTTAAAATAAGTAAAAAACTGTGACAGACTTGATGCAGTTTTCCTGAGAAATGTTTCTTTATCAATCTTGCTAAAAATTCTAACTACTGGAATTGTAATTGCCCTAGTCACTAAATAAGAAACCCATGTGTCAAATGTTAAGATATATACAATACATATATATCAGAAAACTAAAATAAATTTTTACTTTTGTCTTATCATATCACATGAAATATCTAATGAAACAACTCAATCTAATAGATATTTTGAAACAGTTATTAGAATGCCAAGTAAACTTTTAATTTCCTGCTGCTCTTTTAAAATCATTGGAATTAAATGGCCAAGTAATATCACAAAATGGCTTGAACATAAAAATTTTATACGATAAATACCATACACGAAGACCAAAGTGTCTAAGAATTGTTTCATTACACATTTTTTTATATTAAAAAAATAAAGAAAAATAAAAAGTGAAGAAAAAACTAAAAAGCAATAAAGCGGAAAACAGGCGAAGTACCGGCATTGATCTTCTAACTTACATAGGCAGTTTCAGCCCGGAATCTTTTATTAGGCAAGAGAGCAGCAGATCTTCTTTTTGATCCTGCCTAAAACATTTATTTAAAACCAAAAATCAGGTTAGGAAGCAGTTGGCAATTCATAATTAATTGCCACTAACTAGAAATTTAGATGATAAACATACATGCCATTGTCATAACAGTATGTAATGCTGACTTCTAGACGCAAAGTGAAAAATGAAAACTACTGTTTTAACTCCATTTAGTCTTACAACTCACCATAATCTTTTCAATGTTCACCTTTACCATATAGTAAAGCATTTCCGCAACAGTTTGCTGCGGGCTAGGAGAGTCATATAAACTAAGGCTCCACAATTTTGTGATTATTGGTATGATTGTGGTAATGTGGTCAGCATTGCCACAATCAACAGCTTCACAACAATGTGGAGATTTATTATAAGCTTGTAAAAAGTTGAAGTTACAGAAAACTTCAAACAATACATTTTAACAGCTAAACATTTTTAGTGTTGTAAATTCTACTTTTTAACTATATAACTAGAATATTAAAAAAAAGAAACAAACAAAATAGAAGTATTTTTGATCAAATTAAATGTAGGTTAAATATGGAAAAAGAAAAAAATTCAAACAAAAGTGAAAAAAGAAATGTAACAAATGAAAATTCAAATAAAAACAAAATATTTAACAAAGTTAAAATTATGAATGAAAAAACTTCCATGACTTCACACTTACGCATTCCTTTTCTTTTAGTACATGAATGAAAATAGTATTTAGTTAAGAATAATTTAATTAAGACAAAATATTATTGATTGAAATATTAAGACAAAATATAATTGATGTACCAATTAATTTTTTTTAGCAGCAACATCCAAATAAAATTAAATTTTACAAAACCTCTGAAATGAGAAAATTTATTTTTTCTATTATAAATTGAATTGAGCTGTCATACAAAAACTTCAGATAGAAGTAAATATAACAAAGTAAATTTATAAGGATCTCAAAATTTAAACCAGTCAATTTCCCATTAGAAAGACACTGTTAAGTTATTGAAACATGGTCAATCATACTTCTCTTCCTACTCAGGGACGGACAAGACAATTAATATGAGCCCAAGTAGGCTCTATAAATTTTCCAAACCTGAATATTTTGAAATTAACCTTTTTTAATAAACAAACTTTATTTAACTTAGAAAACTCTTAACTTTAGAAAACTCTTCTTGACATACAAAAACTACATTTTTATATATTAAAGCTACATAAAAGGGAACAATGCTTTTAGCAAATAAAAATATTTTATAAGTTAGAGTAAAATTTTACGGAAAAAGTATAATTTATTGTATATTTTAAATTTAAAAAAATTATAACTGTTAAACTGAATTGTGAGGTTCCTCCGAAATTATAGGTTATAGCCCCAAGTAATAATAAGGCTCTGCTCTTTTTAAGTGATACTTACTTCCTATAAACATTACCTACAATTTGTAATTACTTTTCATAAATACAGGGTAGGCAGGTTTTTGACATGTGACAGTTTTTGACCGTTTAAACCGTCGCGTCAAAAACCTCACTGTCAAAAGTGTCAAAAACCTATATTCATATGTGAAATTTAATTAATACATAAAATTTATATATTTTTTATGAAGGATAGTGTTTCTAAATATGTTCTAGAAAAAATAAATTTAAAATTTTGAAGAAACACTTATATTTTGAATAGTAACCAAAATCTTGTACTTTTGAAAACTCAAATCTTTTGTAATATTATGTATTCATTTTCATTATTATTGAAAATCTGCAGTGATATCATTAAGAAATTTATTTTCAAATTAACATACTGGATAATAAAGATATTCACTATTACATTTAAAAAAAATTTTATACACTTGTATCAAGTTTGTATTTATACAATATAACTTGTAAGTTCCTTATAAATATCAGTTATATGTTTCTTATATGTCAAAAATGCATAGTAATAAACTTTTAATTTTCTTAAATATCAACAAACAAAAAAATTTCTTTCAAAATATAAATATTTAAACAATTTTTGTGCAAAATATTTCTGCACATGCATTTGAATATAAATTTCTGAGATTTTAAATCTGTTATTTTACCTTAATTTTAATTAANAAGTGGACGTTAGTGCCCGCTTTTCAAACTTTTAACTTACTAAGCTAATGGCAACTGTTCGAAGTTTTGAAGTTTATATATTTTCTTGGCAAACTTCAGTTTTTGCCAAGAAAGTTTGTTCAGTATTATACCCTTGCCATGTCAAAAACCACTTTTTGACGTCAAAAACCCAACCCTGCAAGTAATAATATGGCTCTACTATTTTTAAGTGATACTTACTTCCTATAAACATAACCCACAATTTGTAATTACTTTTCATAAATATTGCTATATACAGACAACTGAGGCTATATTTCCTGAATCATAATGAAATTAATATATATTAATGTTTCATAGAATCATTTATTTCTTGAATGAAATTTTTTTTACAATAACAAATAACTGTGTATCATTGAAGGGTGTTTTTTCACGTTGGCGCCAAAATGTTTAATAAACAATCCAAAGTATATCTGTACAATAATTAAATATAATTTTAACTAGAATAAGAAAACCTTATAGGAAAGAACTTTATTATTAATAAAATATCTTACCAGAAATAGAAATAATTGCGTTAACAATTTATTAACTGTATAAACTAGTTTCCACAACCATTTGACAGAGAATTAATATCACACAATAAAATTAACGTAATAGTAATAGAAAACGCCTTTACACTACTTAGTAAAAGAAATCTGTACAAATGCTACATAAAGTAATAATCCGATAGAAATAGTATGCTATAGCATACCGACCAACTTCATCATGCCGCGTTTTACCGGGTTTATAGTTAAGTTGATTCTAGCAAGCAAAGATTTTAGTCAAGAAGCTCGACATTTCATTACAGAATCAGAATTACTAATTCAGGTTAGTAAATCGCAGCTAAAATTTTAAAAACTGTAAAAACACTGCCGAAAAATAGGCTTACAATACTTAACTATATAATAAATTATCAAAATGAAAGATAAAAAGCCATAATAATACACTAATCCTTAAATAAGAAAATCTAAATACTTCTAAATAAATTTACCTCCATTTGATCAGACATTTTTGATGAAATAATAATTAAAATGGTACAATTATTTTTCTTCCCAAATTTTTTTAAGAGGACATGAAGAAAGTAGAAAATAAAAGAAAGTTTACATTCAGGACGGTTGCAGTTAAGAGAAAAATCCCTTTCCATTGGATATTAGAATTTTTTAGGTTATATTATTACTGCAGTTAATTTTGAGTATTTACGATCGAGACGCTCAAATGCGACATCTGGGGAGAAAAGAGGAATGCACTACGATATTTTCCATTTTCTTAATATTTTTCGTCCCGCAGTGGACTCATCGTTAAGACACGGTTCCCAGCAGATTACCGAAGTCAAGCCTCACTGACTGCGGTCAGTGTGCGGGTGGGTGACCACTTGGATTAGTCTGCGTAGGGACTGAGGGTGTGTGGTATTGGTCCTCGTTAAACTATTCTACCGTAAAGTGCTCGACTTCGTGTGCAGGTCATCGGATCATCCTCAGGGATGTTTCCCAGACCGTCGCCAATAGCCCATTGTGCAGCTCAGGTGCGACGTAAATTAACTTCAACTACAACAACTTAATATTTTTCATGTTAAACTGTCGAAAACATTTCTCTAAAATTTCAATGAAACTTTCTTTTAGAACTATGTTCAACGTAGTTTTCAGTTTCAGATAGTTTCCTATAATCTATTTGAAAATCATGACAGAAACTAACATAGTTCCTTCTTATATGACTCTCCACACGCAATTGGTGAAAGCACACAGCATGCGATGTGAAGCGTTGCTATAGTTAGTGAGTTCTGCTCTACACTATAGAGTTGAAATACCTACTATCTCTACACCACCTGTAAGTCATTTCCATCGCCAATCTCTGCACAGGAGGCCATTTTGCTCACAAATACTTGACCACCTTAATCATCCGTAAACAGACAGGTCTTTATCGATCAATCTCGAACCAAAGGTAAGAAAATAAATAAATAAAAACTAGGTATCGATAGATAACTGAAAAAGAAAGCGTAATAAGCAATAAAATCTTATTAGGTAGCTAGGTACTTTATTTACGTCATACCAGAGCTGGGAAACATCCCTGAGAATGATCCTCTGCAGAGGGCATGGCACCTTCGCTTTGGTAGCCCAATGCCCTGCGCGTGAAGTCGAGCACTTTATATTAGAACAGTTCAACGAAGACCGACACCGCGCACCTTTGATCCCTACGCAGGCTGATCAAAAATGGTCACCTATTTACTGACAGCAGTCAGTGATGCTTGACTTCAGTGTTCTACTGGGAATCGTGTCTATACAAACAGTCCACTGCGGGACAAATTCTTACTAGGAATTAGATATAAACAAAATCAGGGTTTGTCTCTTTAAACAAGCGCTTTTTCTTGTTGTGAGGTAATTACCAATGGGGATGTTGTGGGTTTCAAAAATAGTCAGACATTTTACTTCTATGCTAATATTTATTTAAAACTCGTTAGTTTCGTTTAATAACTTCTAAATTTGAACCAAAAAAAAAAAAAAAACTTCGAAAGTGCTGATTGCAAAATAAACTCTAGTCATCTTCATTTGAACACAATGGATATTTTTTTTATTTCTGAATTATAAAAAAAATTTCTATTTCGAGCGAGTTTAGTGAAAACTGCTACCAAATCATCCCATTGCAGAGGAAATATACGTCCCTGTTGTTGACTGATGGAGAAAAATCATGGTTTCAATTGGCATAGCGAACAAAATGATAACAAAAAGTGAAACGGAATAAAAATAAAAAAAATTACCGTTACCGTTGTTACAAGTAAACAATATCCTTTATTAATTTTAATTAAAACAAATTCGAATCATGAAGTTAATCTTCACTTTCGAATTCTTGATTGTCCTTTTTTGAGGTTCACATAATTCGGACCCGGTTGGTGTACGTATATATAATACACCGAAGAGCCATTACATTATGACCACCCTCCATCTATAACAATGGGCTCGCCCAGGTTTTCATGGTTTCTCGCCCAGGAACAATGTTTTCATGGGGCACATTAGGACCCATAATCCTCATAGAACAATCCCTGACGTCTGTAAGCTACTTGAACATAGTTGCAGACCAGGTTCACCCATTCATGGCAACAGTTTTTCCTGCGGGGGATGGTGTTTACCAACAGGATAATGCACCATGTCATAAGGGTCGAATCGTCATGGATTGGTTCGAGGAACATTCCAGTGACTTTCAAGTCATGTCTTGGCCCCCAAATTCACCTGACCTTAATCCAATAGAGCATTTGTGGTCCTACTTGGAAAACCAAATTCGTGCTGCCACGCTACCCCCTCACAATGTGAGGGAATTGCAAGATCAGTTGGTGAGCGCTTGGTACCAGATACCTCAGACTACCTATTAGCACCTTGTGGAATCAATGCTATAGCGGCTGCTAGCAGTTTTGAGGGCTAAAGGTGGTACTACATGTTATTAGCAGGATGGTCATAATGTAATGGCTCTTCGGTGTATATACATGAACAGGAAAGGAGAGAGCCCCTTCATTCTTGCGAATTTCCGCGGACACTGGTTCGTTAATATTACATTAAATGACCATTAATAATTTACATTAAATAAACATTATTTTAAAGTCGTAATTTTTAATTTTTTTTTCTAAATAACATTGTTTTATCGTACTTATAAATATGCGTTCAAATTTTAAGAAAATAGAAGTCTCAAATTTGTAAATTTTATTAATAATAAATAATTTTATTCAAATTTTCGCTACGAAAAGGTAGATAAATTAGATGAAAATATTGACTGATTCTTATTTAACTCAAAAATAGGCACATAACTGACAGATGTATAAAGCAATTTCAATGTGACTTGGTAAGACGGTTTTATACGCTTTCACATTAAATTCAGAGGTTTGATATAAACCTAATGTTTTTCATTGAATAATTCTTTTTAAAATTTTTTTACACAATTCAAACATTTTAAATGTGACAAATACATGTAAAAATTTTTATAACTAGCGGAGTACTTATTTCATCTTAAAATAATGTAACAGTCTTACACCTCCCACAAAAGATATAGGCTTATTTATAGTCATGAAACAATGAGGAATAAAAGGAGCTTCCAGTTAAAAGTGGACGTTAGTGCCCGCTTTTCAAACTTTTAACTTACTAAGCTAAATTCATACTAAAATTATTTTTTCACTTGATAGTTAACTATATAAAATACCATAACCAACAGTGTACACATCCCATTTCAGAGTAATATATTAAAAGAATATTTCCTACGAAAGATAAAAGCAGTTAACAGTTAAGGGATAAAGGATGCTTACAGTTAACTTCACAATTTTAACTCCTAACTTTTCAGAATTAGTATACACTACATTTTTTTTACACCTACCAATAACATTATAATATTAGCAGTTTCATAAATTTGTTGCAACTCATATTATAAATTATAAACTGTAATTAGTAATAACAGTTTGCTGGACTTATCTGTCATGCCTCTCTTTTCTCATAATTTTGTTAACTTAACAAATGAAAGAATTAAAGAATTTTCATAAACTGACACTTGTGTTCCGTAAATTATAATTTCATTTTCAAATTAGATTTCATGAGAAAGTAAATTTGGTCATTAGTTGACAGTGGCTGATGATAAATGATTCACAGGACATGATGTAATATTGCAAATTACCTTGAGTATTTAAATTTACAACACCCTTAAAAACACTCAGCCTAATAAAATTCAGCACTACAAATTATAGACAACTTAGTAATAACCAACCGTATCTGATAACCCACTCACTCCACACTTGCTTTTGTGGTAATCCTATGAAATTTTCAAGTTTTTAAAGTTTAAATATAACATGGTGCGTAGCCAAATCTTTCAACAAAAAATAAGCACCTTTTAAGTACTTTCTAAGCACTCACAAAATATTTTTAAGCACTATATACATTAACAAGATGCAAAATAATTTTCAAAGACTTCAGATGATCATGAGAAAATAACTAGTTTCTGACAAAGAACTCTTTTCTCGATTATATTAGCTGCATAAAATGATCGAGATTTTTTGTTTCAATATCAGAGGGTGGAAAATGAAGTCTGAAATTGAGAATATGTTGCAAAATGAAGCAGAGTTGCACATGAGAATGCAATAACCTCACCGAACCCAGCTCATTAAACGCACATACAGACTCGCAAGTATTTCATCAAACATGTAAAATGATTGGCACTTTTATACGCTATGGACCGACGGTATGCCGAAATGAATTGTAAAAATGTTGAATAGAACAATGTGAAAAGCACGCTTTTACATAATACGTAACAAAAATAGACATGGTAACGAAAAAAAATTTCTGAAAAGGGACAATTAATTTTTTTTTAAAAACGCTACACACCATGTATAAGAAGTGCAATGGATTCCATACGGTAAAAAATAAAATATACTTTACGTTGCATAATTTTTTTTTATCAAAATCAGATACAATTAAATTTTATTAAAAAAGTAGCTTCCCATTTCTATGAAAAGTTTTCAAGAATACTTCAACGATAAAAAAGCCTATATATAAAATTCTCTTTTCAAGCCATATATATATGTTCGAAATATGCAAGATGAAAATAATAAGCAATAACAGCTTACTTAACTTTATTAAACAACTTATTTGTTTTAACTTTTAAATTGCAGTAAAATACAAACAACATTCATACAAAACATATGTACAATTTCTAAGAATTTTTATTGTTTATTTCTCATAACTGTATGTAAAATATACAAATTTTTAATATGTAAATTTTTTTTATTTTTACAAAAAATGTACAATAACGAGCGAAATGCATAGATTTTTAATACAAATTTGTCATTAATGTAATAAGTTAATCTCTTAGTGCTAAAAATAACTTATTAGTTAAGATATGTCTATTAATATGAACATAATGCCCCAGGTCATCATGTTAGAGAGAAAAATAATAAAAAGTATTTTAAAACATCATTTTTAAAAAATACTTTTCTGAAAAGTTTAATATAATAATGCTGTACACAATTGAAACAATAACAATCTATATCACATCACATAAGTTGATATTAACACTTGAAAGATCATAATAATTTTTAACAGGAACATCAAAGCAATAGCATTTTACTTCTGAAAATAATAAACACAATAAAATAATTTTAGTTTTCAACATTTATACAGAAAAAGCAACAAATAAGAATATTTAGCATAATAAAAGTTTATTTTAACAAATACTAAATATTATAATTAACATATAATTTCAGTAGATATTTTAAAGCATCGGATTTTTTATTATTATTATTATTTTTTTAGATAATACAAGTGAGTAGCATAAATTGTTGGAATTTAACTTATAAAGTACTATTTTGAAGATATAATATTCATATATTTTCTCAGATTGAATTATAAAACTATATATATATATATATNTTTTTTTTACAGAGTGGCCCAACAGTTAAAGGGTTAAGCCGATTGCTTTGCTTTTATGCATTACAAATTGTTTTTTCCTACATTATTTAGACGGAAATAGTGCATAAGAAAGAAAATACCAAAATTTCTGACCTTTAGTTTAATAAGAATAACACAAATATTATGTATTATAAAAACTGAAAATATGTTGCAAGTTCTGCTTTGTAAAATACATACAGTTTAAACTTATTAAATATATCTCTATATTTAACTTTTTATTATCAAACTTAATTTTAAAAAAAAAGTTGGGCAAGGGCAATGCCACAAATAAAAATGGTAATCCTTCATAATTCCAAATTTGTTTATAACAAAAGTTACAATGACATTTTAATGAAATTGATATTCTTTATGAAATAAAATTGCAAAACAAAATTTAAAGATATTATTTTATTTCTACTAAATACATTTTAAAAGTAAAATAGGGAGAAATGAATGAAATCAAAAGATAATAATGAGAATTTTTTTTTACTCAAGTTAACTTCTAATTCAATAACATGATGATTCAGAATATTATCATTTTTGGCATGCTCTAATACTTAAGATAATCGAATAAAACACATAGAACTGTACTATCAACAATTTAAAAGCACTTGTCTTCAAATATTAAAAAAAAAATTGACAATCTGCCTATGAATTATTCACGTAAATAATAAAAATGTTTACAAATAGTGTAATAAAAATTGGTGCTAAAATTTAAAATCAAGGATGAAAAGGAATAGAAACATTTAAAATAGTTGAATATTTGTTGGTGATGGATTCAAAATATAATCAGATTTTAATAATTTATTAAAATAGCTTTTTCATTATAGTTGTAATAAATTTTTTTGTGCAAGAGATATTGCACAATTCTATGTCAAACATTCACATAATCAAAAATATACCTATTCTATATTGATATTAATTTTAAAGAATAGTTTTTCTAAGCTAAAATATTTCTTTCAGATGGTAGATCTGATTTTAATTTTATATTTTATCAATTATTTTTTACAATAAAGCTTAAAGCAAGTTTATTATGCTCCTTCCTTCTTAGCAATTTTTGTTAACTGTTAGAGTAGTCATGCTAATTTTAACGGATTTTTATTTTATTTCACTTCATTTTGGTGAGTTTGTTATCTGTTTTTCTTACATCATTTTAAACTCATTTACAATTACATTAATGTTTTCAAGAGACATAGACATATTATAAAAGAATATTTTTTTTTATCTTAGGACAATTATTTTTAATTTTGAATAAATTTTTAAAAGAATGAGTCTTGAAGATGGATGCAAAATATAATCAGGTTTTAAAAATTTATAAGAATGATTTTGCTATTTAAGTTTTAATAAATTCATTTGTTATGCTTATTTCCTCAAAATGTATTACATTTCTAATTATATTTCTCTTTCTCTTTATATATATATATATAGCCCTAAATATTGATGAGTTAAAGCAACATGAGTTGTAAACATATAGCAGCTATTTAAAATTACTTTCAACTTAGCTAATATGTTTTTTCAGTTATCTAAATCAGCAAGAAACTATCATGTTATTTGCGCATAAAATACCTTAAATAGTTAGAAATGAATAATATACTTAAAATCATCAAGTTAGTGTGATTGTAAAAAACAACACTTTGTTCTTTAAAGTAGTTATTTCAAAAAGATGTTTCATATAGGAAAAAAAAGCATGTATAATTTTGTTAAATTTTTTTGTAATAATTTATATTCACTTTCAGTTAAAATGAGTTTACATTCATAAATCACTTCTTGTAAGAGATAAAAAAATTTTTTGTTTCTCTAAAACATGCACCATAACACCACTTTTTTCTTCTTCAAGTTATAAAAGTCTAATAATGTAATTAATATAAAAGAATAAAGAGGCATAAACACAAAAATTTCCATTTCAATAATATTTAAAATTTACTTTATTTCAGAGAATAGGAATTAGGGTACATGTTTTCTAAGAATACAAAGGAGAAAAAATAATAAAATAGAAAAATCCTAGAACTACTATAAAAAAAAACTATAAACTTGATAAACACTTTTAAAAATAAAATATAAATAGCAAATTGAAATTTTAAATGTTCAAAATAAAAAATTCTTTATATAAAAAAACCCTACATGATCTTGTAGCGTACTTGAGCTTAATAAACACTATACATTTTAAAATTGCTCACTTAGAAAAAACAACTATATATAGAAAGCCTATGGTGAAAATACAACAAAAAGTAATTTATTCTTTAAAACAAATAAATATACTTTGACAAAAATCAGTGCAACAACTGTACAATTGAAGTTAAATTAGATATGTTTTTAATGCTTAAGAACATGAATGTTTTAACAGATGAATGACACCACTATGCAAAAAAGGAAAATAACACACAGGGGATAGAACCATGGCACAGCGCAAGTTGAGCATACCTCACAAGTTCATACGTAATGAGAGAATATTTTTTTATTATTGTTCATTGCATAGTTTAGACAGGCAATATAAGAAGATGCATTTGGCCTAGGTCACGTCTTCACTGTTGATTTGATACAAATAGAGGCACAACGAAGCATATTTCACATTTATAACAATTTATGTGCTAACTTCAGCAGTAGCATTCAAATTTCAGTATTGTAATTAGAGTTTTGGGCTTAAAAAACCCTAAAAATATAAGATTAGAAAATACCCATTTTTCACTGTAAGCAAGCTTGAATTTTTTCAATCCATTCTTGGGCTGCCACACAATCGGCTGCCATGAAATTATATGTCCTCCTTTTAGTTATCAACTAAAATTGGAAATAGATATGTGAATTTATATATAACAATATTATATTATTTTACGTAGTTTTTAAAAAAGTAAATAGAAAGCCAACAATTTGAATTGCATGTCATCCCCCTCTTTTAGAAAACCTCAAAAATAAAAGTACAGTGTCTGCCGCTAATAAAATCACCGGATAATAAAATCAGCCGCTAATAAAATCACCGGATAATAAAATCAGCCGCTTTATAAAATCAAATCGGCACGAACCGAATCGTTACAATATTAATACATGTTAAAAACATCCTTTAATAAAATCAATGCCGTCGCCTCTTAAGATCAAAATTTTGACTGCATAATAAAATCAAAAGTGCAATATTTCAGCTTTTTTTGCTCTTATTTATAAAATTTTATTTTTTCAAAGTTTAAAGATTTTTTTAGAAGAAGCAACAGTCACTCACAAACCTGTGAAATAGGTGTGGTTAGCACTTTCCTGCAATATACATAGTGTAAACTCAGCGGCGCGACAGCCCATGAGGGCCAAGGCCTACTGTGCCCATCTCAGTTTTCTTGACCTTGGGCTCTGGGGTGCAGGAGCAGATGTTCCGGTCAGGTGGTCAGCCGAACGCGGAACCCCCAGTGTTTAGTTCCCAAGCATGCTTGGTACTCATTTATCGACCCACTGAAGGGATGAAAGGCTGAGTCAACCTTGCCCGGCCCGAGGATCGAACCAGGGACCTGTGGCAAGACAGCGCGAAGCGCTACCGCTCAGCCACTGGGCGTCATACATAGTGTAAAAGTTAAGGAAAAATGTGGGTGGTAAGCGGCGAGTTCATAGAAATCAACTTATCAATGTCAATTCCTTGACTTGAATGAACTTTGGAGAAACCTATCTCACTCAACAGGGGGTCGAATTCTTATCTTATCTTTTATTGAATGAACCATAGAAGGGAGAGAAGTTTGTGTTATCTATCTTAACAGAGAGCATGAATAGATTTCCAAAAACTGTCAGTGCTAATGCTCCATATTATTTAAGCCGTTTGAGTAAATTATAGTTAGAGCACAGATCGTTTTTAAGTTTGTTTGGTGTTCAATTTTATCAGCATGCCGAAAAGGAAGGATTTGAGTCTTAATAAGATAAATTCGAAGTGTTGCAAAACTATGATAAGCTTTCTAAATGTAGTCAACGTGAAGCTTCGATTAAATTAGGGATTTCCCAAACTGCTCTTTTCAACATTCTGAAACAAAAAATAAATATTTCCGAGGAAACAAAAAAGGATGGAAATCTGTCAAGAAAGCATAAGCGTGAGGGAAAATTGGAGGAAATTGAAATGGCTCTGTTAGAATGGTTCAAAAATGCACACTAACGAAGAATTCCAATTTCCCGTGGAATTTTATTTCACAAAGCACAGGACTTTGCAAACCTATTTGGTGATTCTGATTTTAAAGCTACAGATGGGTGGCTAACCCGATGGAAAGACCTCAACAACATTGTCTATCGTAAATTGCATGGTGAAAAGCAAGATGCTGATTTTAGCTCTGCCGCCGATTGGGTAAATGATGTGTGGCCAACACTCATTAAATACTATAAACCAGAGCAAATTTTCAACACAAATGAAACAGGATTATTTTTCCGAGCACTTCCTGAACACACACTGCTGTTTAAAAATTAATAGACTGGTTGATGTACAAAAATAAAGGAAAGACTAACCACGCTGCTAACATGCAACATGACAGGAACTGTGAGGAAAAAAAACTTTAGTGATAGGAAAGAGTTTAAATCCTCGATGTTTTAAAGGAGTAAAGCACCTGCCCACCAGTTATGCCAACAGCTATAACGCATGGATGACATCTAGCATCTTCACATAATTTCTTCTTGAATAGGACAAAGAGCTGAAAAATGAAAAGGTCGCCTTACTTTTAGACAATTGTTCTGCGCACACTGCTGATGAGAACTTGCATTTGAAAAACATTAAATTAGTGTTTTTGTCAAACATTAAATTAGTGACAGTTATTATTCAATCCCTTGATCAGGGAATCATAAGATCATTCAAGTTTCATTACAGAAAAATGGTTGTTCAAAAAATCATTAGTGACATAGACTGTGACAGCTCTTCGGAACTCTTAACTGCAAACAAACTATCGAAATCCCTTACTATTTTGGAATCAATGCATTTGATTTGTAACTCATGGGACATTGTTTCAACCCAAATAATTTCAAATTGCTTTAAAAAGTGTGGTTTAAGCACTGGCGATGGAGCTGATAACTGTTTCGAAGAAATGCTCAGCAGTGAAGAAAATGAAATGGACGAGAATTTTTCATGTTACGTAGCTATTGACGATAACTTGCAAACATCAGGAGAAAAATCTGATTCCGAAATTGTTACAGACATCAAAAATTGCAAAGTTATTTTCAATCAAGAAATGGAGGAATCAGACTCAGAAGAGGAAATAAACTCATCAGTGCCATCTTCAATGGAAGTCAGAAAAGCACTTAATGTATTGCGACAAGCTTTAGAACAAAGAGGAGGAAATATCGAAAACTATAAAAACTTCCATTAACTCTCAAATGATGTTGAAAAGTTAATTTGAAATACTGCAACTCAAGCAATCCTTCATCGGTTTTTTGCAAAAATTTTGTAAATTTAATCTTATGTAGGGTTTTACTTTAATAAAATAATTAAATTAGTTAAAATAAAGCATTAATGTTGTCATTATTTCAGCTTTTAAAGTGTGTGCATTTAGAATAAATATATCGTAAAAATTTGATTTTTATTTTCAAATGTTGAATCGCCTTTTAATAAAATCAAAAGAGCATAAAACGAAAGTGATTTTAATAAACGGCAGACACTGTACTATGAAAAACTAAACAAAAGTAATTATTTTTCATAATAGCCAACATTTAAAGGGTTTTACCAATTTTAAATAACAAGTCCTGAATTACATGTTTTAATAAAATACAGAAGACCTATATAATGCAATTCTATAAACCACAATTTTCCATAAACCATAGTAGCTTTATCGGAGTAAACAATGAAATTTGCAGTAACGAAATTTTGATGACCGAGGAAGAACTATATACATTTGATATTATTTGCTAAGAAATTAAAATTTCAAAAATTAAACAAATTGAAATAGATTAATCTGTTTGCTCCTAGTTCAAATGATGCAGAGAATTTTTCTTTTCTTTTTTGTAAATAGTTAATACTTAAGTGCATATTTTGTACTTTTAAGTATTTGTACCTAAATATTATTTAAAATAATTTTACTAATGATCTGTTCCAGACTAATAACGACATATTTAGTAAGGTAAGTTTAATGATAAGTGAAATGATCTATATAACACAAAATTTCATAAAACACAAAGCTACACGTTTCAAGGATTGTGTTATAAAGATCTTCAACTGCATATCAATTTTTAATGCACAATTCTTAAAGTTTATGCAATTTATTTATAACTGAAACTAAAAAACATAAAATATTTGAAATGTATGCAAAAGAAAATGTTATAACTTACTTAATACCTTTAACAACAACAGCAAAAAATTGTGTTGAACAATGTGAAATAAATATGTTAAATAAATAAATAATACCTTTTAATAATAAATAATACCAATGTGAAATAAATAAATAATACCTTTGGCATTCTACAGACAACTAAGTATTGTAAAAACAGAAAAATTTGATACCCATAAGATTTAACTATTAATGGAAAACTGGATTGCAAATCAAAATACACAACTCTCTAGAGAAAGTAAAATTCTCGATAACATAAATACCACGTGCTCATTTTTAAAAGTCATCATAAAGCACACAAATCAGAAACATCTTCCCTCATGTTTATAAAATCAAAAACCTCATGAATCTGAGTCATGTCTCTTATTACAAGTAGATGTTCATATCTACCTGCTTCTCAAATCCTATGAACATATGCCCTCTCTTGTGCCATAAATTATAGTTTTTAAAACATTCTAGAACTCTAGAACATTGTAACATATATGTGACAACCAGGAGAGAATGAGATAGTGCTCTGACATGCCAGCTGGGAAATTGAAGCATTACATGCAGGCACATTTATGTGACGGTCAGCATCATAAGGTTAATTGAAATATAAAAGATTAACATCTAAATTTTTAATTCCTAGAAAATGAATTATTCTATACATAGAGAGGAAATCATTTGGGCATGGGAATAATAGATTTGGCTTTGCCAAATATATGATAGGTATATCCCTATCAATAATTGACTTTTTATAAGAAATTCTTATTATGTGCTATCACAAGAATAAAATAAATCACAAGAATAAAATAATATCTATCATAACAATTAAAAAATTAGGTTCTCTCAACATATAGTGATTCAGAAAAATGGAACTCACATCAAAAAATGCTTTTTCATCCGATTTTTTTGGTGCTCCTTGTATAGTAGTAGCCGGTGTTACTGATACAACTTCTGCTAAATCTATCAAACCTTTGTTATGTGAATCTTCCATAGCATCATAGTATCTCAACTGAAAATGTAAAATAATATGTGAAACACGTAAATACAAAATGTGAGGAAATAATTATGTTGTGTTTTTTTAAATAAGGTATATACTATGTGTAAAAACCCTACTTCAGTAAAGTATAATAATACGACATTTTTCTTGTATAATTAAATTATACATTTTTTTCTTCAAAACTGTTTGTTTAGGGTTAAGTGAAAAACAGTTTTGCACTAATTTGTTTTGAATGTTTTAAGAATATAATCTATAAATACAGGAAATTTGAAATTGCTATCTGTAACTTATAAGTGACAAAAGTAAATGAAGCCTGTAATGCTAAAATTGCCTCCATTCAATAAAGTCATATCTTACCTGATGCTTAATAGAATCCAGAACAAACCATCGTTGCTTCCAGCCCTTGAGCAGAGCTCCTCGTTTGTAAAGATACCCTTCATGGGTTCTATTCTCAGCAACATTTGATGAAAATTGATCATAATATTGGCTGTTAGACTGAAGACCTGGAACACCTAAAATAATTTTTTTTTCATTTAGAAACTAATGAAAATATTCTGCACACATGAAATCAAGCTACTTAATACAGTTTGTCCAGTAAATGTTAACATACACCAAAACCTACAACCTATACACTGAAAAGCTTCCTAATTTAGTAGAACAAAAAAATATATACATATTATTAGTGAAAACATTTTGAAATGTGCAATACTTATTGAATGATAGCACATTTTCTTTTCACTTCACAAAATCAGCTAAAGCGTCGTTCAGTTGATAAAGCGTTTCGTTTGGTTTCATTTTTAGTTAAAGAAAGCTCTGATAAGCAGGGTTTTGCAATATATGGCTTTAATTTAAAACACTTATACTGAACATAATAAACAATTTGAATATTATGTTAAAACTGAGATAAAAAAAATATATAACGAATAGAAATCGCGTGAAACTGATTTATTCATATCATAAGGAATTGACAAAAATATTCTTCCATATAAAAACATAAAGCCACATGAATGTATGCAATGTGCTGCTATTTATGAAATGATTGTACAAATAAATTGTGATGAAATTTGAATATTTTAATTCTTATATGTGTAAAACAAACTGTCAAGTCACATTGATGTGACCACCAACTACTTTTGATGACAATGTGAAATAACAAATCACAAAAGACAGGTGGCAGCACATTGCAGTAGAACAAATATGAAGGGTGCCCGAAGAAATCGGAAAACATTGCAATTGTTGTTGCAATGCAGAAACGGGGTGATTTATGGGACAGCCAAAAAGGCATGACCATTGGTTTTTAAGCCAAGGGTAGAAGCATTATTGAAACAGTCAAATTTGTAAACTGTTCACATCATGGTTAAAGTATATAATGCATTGCAAAATGGCACTATCAAAAGTCAGCGATGTGGCTAATGTGGTGCACCACAGGTCATGACATTGGCCATAGATGGCTTCAGGTGAATAGATGTACAACTGACCATCTAGATCAGGGGTTTCCAACTTACATGAGGCTGGGAACCGTAATTGACAGTCAAATGGCAGGCCGTAACTTTATCAAAATTTTATATAGGATTCTTTTATGTTTGAAGGAACATTAAATATTACTGTCAGATTTTTATCATGTTGTACAAAACATAAGTATTGAATTACAAATTAAGATAAGAAGTAGATTTTTAAAAATATTTAATTGCATATTAAAAAATTCTGGCTACTATAACTTTAATTGTGCAGCTATGTATTAAACAATTAATGTGCAACATATATTAGATTGTTAAGATATAAAACTTGAAAATATTTAAAACCCAAATAGACTTTTTACAAAAATTTTCCGCATAAAAAATGACAACTAATATATTTTAGTTTGCGGGCCACAAAAAAGGCTTCGCGGGCTGCCAGTTGGAAACCACTGACCTAGATGAACCAAGGGCCTATTAAAAGTGCCTTCTAAATAATGGTTCAGCAAAAGTTACTGTATCTTTCTTTCAGTGGTATGCTCTATGAAAGCTGGTTATTCTGGCTTTTGACAGGTGGTTTCCATTAATGCGACTGGACTGAATATATATAGTATAAGAAAAATATATAAACATTATGTAATAAGATATATAACCAATACGTTAAATAGCCTTACTTGATGGACCAGAGGAGCTCTCTACGCTACCACCTTTGGAAACAGATGTAGAAGCAGCACCAGAATCACTTACAGTTTTATATTTAGTACAATTCTTGGGTACCTGATCCAAACATTTTTCATGACAGTTGTAACCACAATCCATACATCGCATTCCTATGGATATCAAATATGACAATAATTTAAGTAAACTTTGAAGGTGTACTTTTCGTATTAGATATACAAAAAAACATTAATAATATATGTTTTCAAGACATGCAAAAATTTCAATTTCGTCAAACTTGAAAAATGTAGGGCATATTACTTCCATGCTTAACTTTTATTATCACAGAAATTCCCCCCTCCCTTCTTTCGAAAGGGACAAAAATAAAATCATTTTCTTCTTTTCAGACCACTTGAAAAACATAGTTCTTAAAATTTTTACACTTTCTTTCATGTAATTTTGTTTGTACAGAACTGAATGGAGAGTGTGTGTGTTTGCTGAATAGATAAGGCCAACATGAAGAGACACTTTGAATTATCAGAAACAAATGGTATTAACTTGGAATCTGCAACAAGAATAATTGCGTCAGAAGTGAAAATGTATTTACAGGTTATCTCCGAAAGCTGATATTGGCACCATATCCTTAAAATGAGGAATTTTGACTGATAATAAATTCTTGTGATAATCTGCTTTGAAACAATTAAGAGATCATTGAAATTTGTTTTGTTATCTCAGGCATAGAGGTGTATTTGAAATTTAAGCCATCTAGGTATTTGAAAAATTCCTAAGTTTTCCATTTTTTGGAAATAACATGACAATAAATGCTGTTTGCAGTTGTCTGGAGTTGATTAAGCCTTGTATTGTTAACAGACGTATAGATACAGTTGAAATTTGAGCCCTCTCACTATGCTGAAATGTCAGAAATTGAGCTGGCAATGAACTCTTTTTGGAGATAAAAACTTGATAAATTCTGTCAGAAAAATGACTATAACTTGTATTGTGTTTTGAAACCAGCTTTGGGAACCAGGACTTAAATTTAATGGCTTAAAGGAATGACCTCAAATATGCTAATTATAATGCAGATGATATTTTAAGTTACGAAGTCAGTCACAAAAACATATTTTCACTACACAAGCATGCCTTTTTTTTTCTTACTCTCAAAACATAGGAAGTAGCAGCAATCAGGGAAACATGGTCTCATTAGTTAGGTCACGAGAGCAAACAAAAAACTTGGACCTCTTAATAACGTTACTTTTTGTGTACTTCGCCATATCTTGAGAATATCTTAAGAGAATTAAAAAAATTTGCACATAATTACAAAATTCATTTATTCAAAGATAATTCCATGCCAAAAATAATTTTCAACCATTATTTATTATTTTATTTAATAATACTTGAAAGAAGTTTGAATTGTAAGGCTTACAAATTTTTGCATCAATTAAAAAATACAATAACGGGCAAAATACAAAATTTATACTAAACCAGTCAAATACTTCCTTAGAAATTGAATTTTAATTAAACTTAGAATTCCTCCATAAAGTAGTTTTTTTATGTCTGATTTCGTATTTTAAAATATTGCATACACTAATGAACTAGAACATTTGAGGTAAATCTTTAAACCATTAAGAATGAGTCCTAGAGCGTGTAAATCGGATCAAATGTAATTCAAGGAATACCTTTTCTTTGCACACTCTAGAAAAGGACTTAGTTGAAGACTAATGTTAGTTTTTTTGGAAATAAACTATGAAACAGTCTACTCAACTGTATGAAACTGTCTATGTATGAAACAGTCTAGTATAACAAAAATAATTAAATATTTAAAAATGTAAGACTTACCAGTTTTTACTAGACCCCATAAGACATGAGAGCAAAAGTCACAGTAAGTTGGAGTGGTATAATTATATTTCTCAAAACGATGTGGATGAGAGTAAACTTGAGGTTGAGTAGCTTCACCAACCATTTTGCCCCTGACGAGAATTTCAATAGTTGAGCGTTTATGAATGGATCTTCCGTGTGAACGGACCATCTGTGTGCTAAAAGACGATTGACGCTAAGAGAAAAAAAACAACAATGAGGGAACAATATATATATATACATATATATATATATACAGGGTGATTCTAAAAAGATGGGCAAAATTTTAGAAAGTGATAGTACACACCCAAGCAAACAATTTTTATCAAAGAATGCATGGTCGAAAACAAAACGCAAAGGTGCTGGCGGATTTGGAAAGTTGTTTGATGCAAACGTGAAAGCTCCATTCCTGTTGCGAGTTTCTGCGCTGCGTTACTTGTCGCCAAGCTTTCGGCTGCTGCAGGGAAAGTTCATGATATGCCTGGTGTGTTTCAGAATGTCCGCCTATCTTTTCTTTGTCGTTGTACTGCGTGCATAGCCGCTGCCAGCCACTGTTTTGAAGACTTATTGTAATCACATGCCATTAAATTTGCTTGAATAACTTAATCGTTCTTTGTGTGTTTTTGCCTCATATAAGAACATAAACTTTGACGCCCTCTAGCGGTTTTGCGTTTTGTTTTCGATCATGCATTCTTTGATAAAAATTGTTTGCTTGGGTGCGTACTATCACTTCCTAAAATTTTGCAAATCTTTTTAGAATCACCCTGCATAAATATAATTTTGAATAAATATAATTTTGAAAGTAAAATTTGAGTATATTATTTAGTTCACAATAATTTACCAAAATAACAATGCTTACCATGAGAGAATCACTTCCAGGAATATCCACTTTTTCCCAAAGCATTTGCCATTTTTGTGGTAACAAACCAAGTTCACTCTCCAGATTATGCAAAGTCTGAAATAAAATAAATTTTTGAAAAATTAATAAATAAAATTCGCATTCATTACGTAACATTCAATACCATTTGTTTTTAACTAAGGGAGATGAGTGCTGATAATTTGGTTTTCAAACACTAATCCTTAGTTTAATGAGAAAAAAAATAAACACAAATATTTGAGAAAGTGTTTAATAAACAAATGAATACGTTAGAGTGTACTTTTCTGCTTCTCAAAAAAGTTATTTTAAATCTAAAATCACAAAATTAAATTTTAAAATTCTCTAGAAGTAACATTAAGACCATGTTTTTAAATTTTTTTTAAAAGTAAATAATGTATTGATCAAATTAAATACAGCCAATTGTTGGCTATGAGTGTAAAGAACATAAGAGCCAAAAGGAAGTATAAAGAGCCTTCTTCACCCATTATTGTTTAAGACAATGCTTCTTTTCTAGAGTCAAATTTTGCCCCAGTATCATGCACGAAAATGCATTCTGTTGTGACTTCCTTTTGTCAGCCACTGTTGTTTCATCCATTTATATTCCAAATTCATTTTTTAATTGACAGCAGGGTATTTTCTTACCTCTAGCACTCTTATCATTTATGTGACACCCTGATGATAAGGTTGCATTTTGGATACCCAAGACACAGCAAATTTTATCCCCATTTCTATTAAAAAGCAAAAAAATGTTACGTAATTTTTCTTTATTTGAGACAAATTAGTTTCATAAACAAAGCTAATATATGTACTTAGTGCAATGAAATCGATAAGTGCTTTAAACTAAGTCTGGCAGAAAAATATATATTAAAAAAAAGAAAGAAAGATGAGAGTACTTGAAGATCCTGCAACCCTCATTTAAGAAAAAATAACATTGCTAGGGGATGGTGGGCTGTTAAAATAGACTGTTTATAAATGATGTCACCTAGAAGGGGAGGAAGGGGGGGGGTTATGAAATTGTACTAGTTTGTGACACAGGGAAGAAAGGGGTAATTTTGGTAAAAATAAAAAATACTTAAAATCAGCAGATTAAATATTTTATGTCATTTGTTTTACATTTTTTCCCTAACTTTTTCATCAAAATAAGTACACATCTAATCATTATTATTATTATTATGCTCACATATTTCATTAAAAAACATAGTTAAAGTTTAAACATAAAGTTTGAAAAATAGTCCATATCACGTGTTTTTCTTAACTGCTTTAACAAGTTCATGTGCACATAGCATGAAATGTGACATGTGGTAGAGGGTACAGTGTCTTTCTGACGAAATGGGGAAAGGAGGTTCAGAAAAAAAGTGTGACATATTTATGGGTGCTACTAAATTGCCTGGTAAAATAATATGTAAGGATATTTTTGGCAACTTTAGACTTTCTCTCCCCTTGTCTGCAAAAATAAGCATATTGTGAACCCTCTTCTATGCTCATGTAAGAAAGTTACAACAGTTGAAAGCCCCCTAGCTTTTACTTTGACATTTATTGTAGTTTTGGGATTAAATTCAAATAAAAAGATGTTACTTCATTAAACAAAGTTAATATTTTTTAAGAATCTTCTACGACAAATCCTTCTTAGGAATCTTTTCTGTCAAGTGTCAATTACAACCAGGCTAGAATGAATAATAAATTTTCAAGGAATAAACAAAATAATTTACCTCTAACATATGGGTAAAGAAATCAGGTTGCACATTTTGAATATTATCATAACAGCTATTAACAATTCTTCTAGAGCTGCAGTTAGAACTGCCATCCGCAGCTTCAGATTCTTCCTCTCTTTGTCTCTCCATAGCAACCAGCTCCAGATCATATGATGGACCATGAGCCAATTCTTCTTCCAAGTAGTAGTCCCAAATTGCCAGATTGGATATATTAGAATAAGGTCTCAAAACCTAATTAATAAATAATTTGTGTGTACAATTCATATAAGCTTAATATTATACAGAACATTAATATTTAATTGATATGTATATTATTTCTCAAATAATTAAACTATTATCATTAAAACTGTAATTTAACAAATTACTTTTTAAAGGGAATATGACATATAAAAGGAATAGAATTTTCTTTTACGTATGATCCCTGAAAATCTCATATGATATCAATTTATACACAAATAGTTCTACAAGCTACATAATAGCTAATGTTTTTAAATAAATTTCTTTTCCATGTAAACTTCATTTCTGTTTCAACGAAACATACTATTGCTTCACATTTAGGTTCGGGGATTTCATGAAAATTTCAAAATTTAAATTCAAGATTTGCTGATATTCATAAAAATGTTATCGATATATAAGTTTTTGATTCACGGAAGTCAATGAATTAACAGTCTAGACTCCCTGAAAAATCACATGCCCTACTATTAGTTTTAAAACCTCGAAGAACTATACAAAAAAAAACTAGAATACAATCACCTCTTATCTTTTTAAATAGCAACAACAGAAACTTAGTTTTTTATAGTTTAACTAGTTTATTAATATTATATTTGATTTACAAAAAAATCATACTAAGTTTAAAGATATATCTGCAAGTGGGAAACACTTAACTGATATGCAGGAGGTTAAAGTTAAGTCAATCATATTATACTACATTATTGAAAAAAAAAAGTATTATATAATAAGAATATTTACCCCATCTTCACTGTAGGGAGTATACCAAAAATTGAAAAATATAGGACTTCGAGCCCAAAGTTTCTCAACGTAATCCCAAAAAGATGGGCCATTTATTGTTGAATTAGTCAAAGAGTTGGTTTTGAGAGAAAAACCAGTCTCCTCATCTGAACCTCCATCTAATCCTCTATATCTGGCAGATCGGTCCTCAAACAGCCATCCAACTTCAGCCCGCTCATATTCACTGTCCAACAAGAATGTACGAAACCGGCAAGACACAGAATGATATGCCAGAAATTTCAGATAATATTGATTGAATTCAAAGGACATTGGAAACTGCCTGTGAATCTAAATAAATAACATTCATCACAAAATGAAATTAATATTTCAAACTATAGTTAGATGCTACATAAATACAAAACTAAGTACAGTGCACTCCCGATTATCCGGGTTAATCACCAGGACAGGTCGCACGGACAATTGAGAAACACGGATAATCTGAAAACTCCTTTTATTAAAGAAAAATTCAATATCAGTACAAATTACTGACATTTGCATGCATAACATCAAACTAGGAATTTTCCTTATTGAAAAATGCGTAATGCGTCTTCGCCATATATTGATACACATATTTTACGAGCCGCAGTAATGTCACCGTAATCAAATCCTCCCATATAATCTAATAAAGTTTCCACAGAGCAGCAGAATGAGAAATTGTATTTCATTCATTTACTACATCTTCTGCATCAGTTACTATCATCACTATTTGATTTAACAACATAACGATGTCTTCATCAGTCAAATACTGGAAGCCAGGCTCACATGCATCACTTTGAAACCAATCTTCTAAATTTTCTTCATCAAGAATTTCGAAACCTTAGATTTCTTTTGCTTGTTCGAGAATACTATTATCATATTTTTCTTGAACATCTGAAGAGGATTGTTCATCAAGTGGTATGATCTTTCTCCAAGATCTGGATAACGTAGACGATTTTACCTTTGACCATGCTGCTGATATTCCATATACTGCAATCCAATAACGAATATTGCTTCCAAAAATTTGGTAATGTTATAACTTCATGAATCAAATTTTTTTAATCTTGAAAATGTTTCTCTTTATATTTTTTGTGCGACTCAGGAATGAGCACGGATAATCGAAAGTGTACTGTATTTATTACACAAAAAAAAATTATAATTTTAACCACTACATTCTTGCCTTCTATAGAATTTACAGCAAAGGGCAACTTCAGAATAGGCATTTCTGAACAATGGCCGCCTCATTGCTAGCGTGAATATTATTTCATGCTTCTACATGTATTTTGTTAGCTTTTTTTTTTTTGAATAATCAATTTATTGACAACTCTGGATAGCGGTAAACTCCTAACATTGATTTTATTTTATAATTGGTGTTGAACATCCAACCCAATTTTGGGTTTAAGACTACTAATGTTTAACTCCGTAGCCTTGTAATTTTGAAACCAATCCAGAAGATAAGGAAATTCCTGGATCAAGCATTGGGAGAAATTTCCTTTTGTGGAAGACTTTTTGATGGAACTAACCCACATTTGCATTACATGGAGAGGAAAGTTACGGAAATCTCTCACAGTTAGCCTGATGGCAAGGGGACTCTAACCCATGATCCATCTACCACTGAGGATATTTTACCCTTACAATGATTACAGTCTCCCAATGGACTAAAGTTTTGCTGTAGTATTCAAGATTTAAAAGCAATAAAAACATTCAAGGAAAAAAAAGCCTGATCCTTAGGAGAGAAAAAAAGTGTATTTTCCTTATCGTCTTTAAAACATACTTCTTTCTTACTCTAATTATTATTATTTTAAATTCTTGCCTCCCACGCTATTCTATTTACAAAATACTTGAGAATTTAAAGAGAAGTACTGAGACAATAATGCTGATTTAAATAGAAAAAAAAATACAATTTTAAACATTAAAATAAAGTTGAAAGATTTTTCAAGAGAAATACCTGAAAATTAGCTTTCATATTTTACACAGATAATGAAAAAATTTTGTTCTTTATACAAACAGATGTTACATAAAAATTACATGTGTGAAAAATAAATTTAAAAAAAAAAAAACTGTTTTTTGTTATAATGCATAAAAATTTTATTAGTTGTAAAATTGTAAGCTAATTTTTAACATATTTCTTACAGAAAATATTTTTTTTTTTCCAATGGCAGGCACTAAATTTGAATCTTTGCCTATACTATGCCAGAATTCTTGCTCATTTCGCGTTACCCAGTGGGCACCTGTGAACCAAAGTTACGGAGGCGAGTAACATTGCCCACGCCACAAACCCGTTTATAGGGTGGGTCACATTCACACATCATGCACACACACAACAGAGGACAGCACAAAGAGAGAGAGAAACATCCATGCCCAGAGCGGGATTCGAACCCGCAGCCTATGGCTTCGCAGTCAGGCACGCTGACCGCTCGGCCACCTGGCCGGCTTATAGAAAATATAATTGTCTGAAAAAGTTTAACCATTTTATTTAACTACTATATACATTAGAAATAATAATTAAAAAAAACTTTTTTTCTTTAAATATCCATTACAAAATAGCTAATAAAATGTTTACATATCTTTTTCTTCTATAGCTATTCCACATCATAGCTAACTTTGAAGCAGTGTTTTTAGTTATTTTTAAACAATATAATGTGACACATTAGTAATTTAATTTAAAAATTTGAGCAAAAAAAAATTATGCATGATAGAAATAGTTTACCTGATGAACAGCATCCAAGAATTGTAAAAATATTGGTGCAAATCCACTAGCAAGAGTAGCAGCAGTTTGATTGCATCTATGGGTAAAACGATGACCAAAAGCTAGCCATTCCTTCTCTATTAATGTTCGAAATCCTTCAAAAGTTCTGTAATATGGATCTAAGCATATTTCAGCTAGTGATATAACCTAAAAAAAAAATTATTAAATGTTACTTTTTGAATTTATATTTAGATTTATGATTTAATTATTTCATAATTTGTTAAATTTTGTTTACCTCTTTGTTTATAGATTTCTTCTATTTGGGGAAAAAAACTTCCTATTTTTGTGTTTCAAAACTTAAAACAAATTTTACTTGGCTAAATATTGTAATTCTTGGAAATGCAGATCATGATTTGAAAAATGAACTAGTTACTTAGATAAATAAAATTTGCAAAACATGAGTCAAAAGAAAGATTTGTATACTTGTGATTCTACTCATGCATCATTAGCCTGGCTTGTAGTTGAATGTTTGAAAGAAGACTGTTTATTTCATAGACAATATCGCAAATCAAAATGTTTCTCAAAAGAATTTTGAAAGTACATTTACAGAAAGTAATAGTTTTCTTTATTTTCACAGTTAAGAGAGGAGCAAATTTAAGCACGAATCATTATGCAATTCCAAGATAGTTTTGAAACTGTATAACTGTTTCAATCTCTTGCTTTTAATACAGAACAATTTACTTCCAATCTATTTTTTATAAGTGTTTAGTGCAAGAATTTTGCACGATTATACTATAGTTTATGCAACATTTATATCAAATTTTTAAATGCCCCTTTCCATTTGATTTAACTAATAACTAAAGTTGCAACATAAAAATATAGAAATACATATTTAAAGAAGGGCAACTTCAGTTCTGAACGTCCTAGCTATACTAAAAGTTTTACTCGCCACTGATTTTTTGAAAAATTCATTTTTGATTACTAAAACAGTAAATTAATGTAGAAACCGAAAAAAATTAAAACATATTTATGGCAAAATAACAATAATATTAACTTGATAAAGGTTGTCCAAAATTTTAATGGTTCCATCAGATATATCAGTAAAATAGAAAACACATCAGAGAATTAAAATATCAGTAATGTACCCATATCCTTTGTGCTTGTATACTGTTGTATTAACATGCACATGGCATGGACAGAGAAAGAGGTTGTTGGTACTAAAATAGAGAGTGAGTGTAGTACAGACGAGTTGCTTTATCCACATTTAAAATAGTAGTAGAAACCAAAACAATGTGGTCGGCACATGATGCTTTAATTAGAGGACATAAGTTGATAGTTTAGTTGGATAAGTTGATAGTTTAGTTGGACTATATTTGCTCCCATGGGTAAGTTTAAGAATACCACGACAACCTAAGCAGCACACTTTATTGATCAATCTCATCAAAACACATTACGAAGAGAGATTTTTATCATCTATTAAATCAACAAACCGGTGAGAGTGGAATCTGTCCACAAAAAACTTACACCTCGATTGTATTTACGATAAAATACGGTTGCCACATGTCCTTAAAAATAGGTAGGAACTTTATTTATGTCACACTAGACCTGCAAAATGGGCTATTGGCGACGGTCTGGGAAACGTCCCTGAAGATGATTCGAAGGCATGCCATTGCAATTTTGATTCACCGCAGAGGAGATGGCTCCCCTGCTTTGGCAGCCCGACGACCTGCACAGTTTAACGAGGAACGATACCATGCACCCTCGGTCCCTATGCAGGCTGATCAAAGTTGGCACTCATCCCGCTTAGTGACTGCAGCTAGTGATGCTTGAATTCGGTGCTCTACTGGGAACTGTGTCTTTACTATACTGCGGGACCCCTTGAAAAAAAAGAAAAATTAATAGGATTATTGTTTGACATACTTGTGTAGTAACATCCCATCCATCTTCAAGACATATCATGACTGATGATCCTTGAACATCCATTAAATCAACAACAGCACCAGATAATTGTAGAATGCCTTGAAGCTGAAAAAAGTGTGCAATTACATTGATGCGGTTCAAATTAAATAAGAATGGAAGCATTATTTAATGAATGTTTGAAAAAGTACACTGGTGAAACAAAATAAATATACCTGATTTAACCATTCTGACTTTTCTACCGCTCTATGGAAAACTTCATCAGGATCTGTAATTGGTGCACTAGGTACACAAGCTCTCAATAGTTTTTTGAAACTAGCTTTTACGTGCCTAACTTCTGAAAATTCAACTGGTATGAAATCACAGTTGGGAAAGGATTCCGTTTTGATCCCCTGTAAAAAAATATAATTTTTTTAAAGTACATTTTTATAAATTAAGTACACAAAATATTTCACTAAAGCTAACAATGAATAATAATTGTGCCAAAAAAGAGAGTGTATATAGACACAAATTGCGCTCTAGCACCGTATTTTAAAACTAGTGTACAATGGTTTTTTAAGTAAAACAAAGCACAATTGAGAAACAATAATACCAACACTAAATCGTTTATAAATTACATATGCAAGCTGCTTTATATTTAAAAAAAAAAAAAAACTAAATGCTTTATTGTAATAACTGAGAGTTCCTTTTGTATCGATCCAGTTTCAAAAGAAAAAAAGAAGCAACAAAATAATCTATAGGAAAACATACAAAATGCTTCTTTAAATTTATTCTAATAATAATAAAGAACCTTTGGAACAGTTCTTTCTTTAATAAACCACTATATAAAAAGTAGATTAGTGTGCAGCATTAAAAATGAACACTATTTTACAAATGAATTGAGCATTTTAAATCGAAAACAGAATTAGTGTTAAGGGAAAGACTAGTGCTATTCAAAATCACCCTCAGAAAAACTAACATATTTTAATAAAAGAAAACTCAATCAAATTGAAAAAAAAAAAATAAGGAACATTAAAAACACACATTTTATAATATTTTAGATTTAAGCTGCAACAGCTCAAATATTGTTTTAATCTTTTTTTCACAGTATGCAAACACTTTTCTGACAAATAATTATATAAAAATTGAGGCTAAAATCTGCAAAAAAAAAAAGTAATGCCAAGCACAGAATGTTCCAATTAATACAACAAATATATATTTATATATTTTACTTTTAATCATAACTTTATTTCAGCTAAAATTGTTTTAACATTTTTTCAGCAAAATTTATTTTAGAAAAGTTATAAGCTATTATTTTGGCAAATTGTGTATACTGGGATCAAATCACCTGTGTAATAAATATTTGCATGCTGCAAAAAAAAAAAAAAAAAAANAAAAAAAAAAAAAAAAAAAAAAAAAAAAAAAAAAAAAAAAAAAAAAAAAAATACCAAGCTAAAGTTAAGCTCAAAATTTTTTGTAATAATAATTGCATGTGCACCATAATTTTCAGTTAGGCATTACCGTAATAATTTCTCAGTTTCTTACTTTTTAGTCAATGACAGGCACATGTGGATTTTTTTTTATTTTATCCAAATGACAAACTAATAATCGGTTATTTAAAATAGATTGGGATAATTATCTTTACCTTTATTTGTCCTTTTTCACCAAAAACATAAAGTGCAACTCTATGTAACGTGTGGGTAGTGGTATCTAAGATGTCAGGAATATCAGATAGCCTCGTCGTAGTCCTCGAATTGAATTCAGAGCCAATATTAGTTGTTGATCCTGGTCTTCTTTCTTTTAAACTACCCCATCTAAAGTCATTAAAGTTGGGAGCACCTCTATTCATTAGGAAATCCATTTTGCTTGTACTAACTCCTACAAATTAAAAACATTTCAATGTTTATCATCATGAATCTCTTCCCTAATATTCACCTTATTATATAAATAATAACAAACTTACGACGTGCACTTTTTCCACCTGAAGATCTTAAGGTGTTCACTGCTTTCTGCAGAGGATTTGTTCTCCGTGCAATCTCTGGAGTCAAAGTTGGAAAATTATCTAGACCACCAGAACCCATAACCAGAGAGGTTATGCTTAACGTTGAGTCATGCATATCGTGCATATAAGTTGGGGTGGCATTTACAATAGCATTCATGAATTTCTCTTGTTCAAGGTGAACTGAAGTTTCACTGGAAGCACCTAAAAGACATTTTGCAATTGATTCATGATACATCTATTTATTACTAGGTCTGTTGGAACAAAAGGGGGAAACATAGAGTTTAATGGCAGAAGAGTCAGATATATTACCTCAAACAAATACATTATTGTCCTTCTAACAATATTAGAAACTTTGTTTAGTGTAAAAAAGAAAAAGCCTCGGGAATTCGAGAGGACATTTGTTTATGTATAGATCAGTTCTTCTGAAATTTAATAAATATAATAACTTTTTTGCCTTTACTGTCATTTGAGGTACTCGAATATCAGTATCAATACAAATCCTCTCAATCGTTCTTTCCCAAAATCTATCTGATCACTTTTATCATATACTTACTTGATTTACAAAGACATAACATATTGACATTCCTTTTTATCTCAATTTTGTAGAGATGTCAATAAAAATATTTAAAGGTATATTCCATATTTTTGAAGGATTCTATATTGATATCTGAATTTTTTTAGGATCTACTAGATTTATTAATATGCAATAAATATTATAATCTGTTAATTTTTTGTGTTTCTCTTTTACTTTATAAAGACAATAACAGCATAATTTTGTCAATTTTTTTTAATCTCAATTTAACTTCAGACAGATTTCATAATGCAGAAATCCTCATATTTGAAAAGTATTTCAAGAATTATTACTTTAATATTGATATTTGTTAATTTTTAGGAAGATCTGTTGAATTTTTTGATTTCGTAACTTTATTTGACTGACCAATATTTCGTATAATAAGCTCAAAGGGCAAACAGAAGAACCGTTTTTTGCACTTTTTTAAAACTAAATAAAACAATAGTGTTCTAAATTTCTAAAAAAAATAAAAAAGTATGGATGATTTATTAAATCAATTTTTAAAATGTTTGCACTTAATTTTATTTATAAATAATTCAGCAAAACAAATCATTACATTTAAAAAACAGAACGTAAGACAATTTCCATCAAAATAAACGTACTTGTGGAAGATGGGTGACTTTTCAGCATACCAATTACACCTTTGCCATGAAAACAGCTGGCTCGCAATAGTAATGATCTTGTGCGCGGATGTCGCCAAGTAATTACAGGAAATCTATATAAGTAGAAAAGATAGGTAAAAATGGCACTTTTCTTTTTACTGTAAGACCCAATTGCAACAATCTTGCAATTAGCGAAATTTCAAATTCAATGAGGAAATTAGGTATTTTTTTTTTATACAATGTTTTAAGAGAGTTAGAGAGAACTCTTATAGAAACCAATTTCAGTATACCCTCCAAGCATTTTTTGAAGGGTGGCCCCTGCCCTGCTTGCCCTCAATAAATGTATCCTCTTTGCTCTTTTTGTAAAAGTAAGCCTCTTAAAAACACTGCCTTTTTATTCAGATACCACTTTTGCTTACCTTGGCATCGATTTCTAAAAATCTTTTCTTCTTTGCACCAGTTATCATTAATTTTCATTATGTATCCCAACCATTTAGTCCTTTTTCGATTTTAAATAGTTTATTATATCCTTGCTTTTTAGTGGTTTTTGTAATTCCATTTCTCTGACTGTTTCAAATATGGTTTTCAAAATTCTCCTCTACCAAACAATTAAAGTTTTCTCATATTTTGGGGTCAGATGTCCCACTCTCTGACCCATAGATAATCATTAGTTTGACAACTGTTTTATAATCCTAGAGTTTCGTTTTCCTGTAATTGCTTTAGGTCTTACTATATTTGTAGTGCAAAAAAAGCTACAGTTCCCTGTATTTAGCTTTGCTAGCTTTAATATATTTTAATTTATTAATAATAATGAAGAAATTTTTTAAGTTTTTTTTAAAGTTTAAATTCATTGTACTATTAATGAATTCAAATTTAAAGAGCAACCAGATCTAATATACATTTTTCTGTTTCCCCAACTCCTCGTGGAACAAGGCTCTTACTTTAGTATTGTTTTTTAAAATATATTAATAAGTAATTTCTTTTTTAATGAAATTCAGCAAAATAATATTTTTTTAAAAATCTTACCTGCCATGCCTATGACACCTGCAAATTTTCCTGATACTTTCATCAGAAACAGTTTGAGGCACTACGAGCAAAGCAGGATAACTAGAACACAAAAATATTTATTCTTAAAAAATTTATACAATATATTATTTAAAATAATTATTACAGCTCCACTAAGACAACCAATTAATATTTCTTCATTAAATAACTTATTTCAAACAAATTATGTTAAATAATCGTTGGATGCTTTCTCAATCTTTCACTAACACAATCATTTTTGGTCACGTTTTTTATTCTGTATAAAAAAATAAAAATTTCTTATAAATGAGCCATAGATTGATTAACTCCATATAGAGTAGACAGCACACGAAAAAATAAAAAAGACAATTTATAAAAAAAGACAAATTCAAAATGACTCCCTTAAAAAAAAAAAAAAAAAATAACAATTTGGGGCTTCTTTCTATTGTTATAAATGCCCAAATCACTGAAACTTTAATTTAATTGCAATTCAAATACAGTGCAATAGTAAATTGAAGTTGCTAAAGAATAAATTTTAATATTTCACTTTTCAAATTTCCTACAATTGAATTATTATCAAACAGTAGACTAGCTGAAAGTTTATGGAGAAAAAAAATAAAAACTAGAACTGCTATAATGGAGTTAAGTAGACACTGCAGTTATTCATTCCTTTCTACAAATATCACATATTCAAAAACATTGTGTGTTAACTTCTTTTGCTATTAAGTATTCAACCAACTCTTTTGTTATTAAGTATTCAATTCATAACCACATTTGAGGAATTCAGAAAGCATATGCTATTACTTGCCCTTCGGACAATCTTCATTGAGAAATCAGAAAAAGTCAAAACTTTTTACCTTGGGACCTAGACTTGATTTCTCACATCTTAAAATTACCATGTTTACAAAAAAAAAAAAAAAAAAAAAAAAAAAAAAAAAAAAAAANAAAAAAAAAAAAAAAAAAAAAAAAGAAACTTAACAAATTAAAATTTTTATGACTGATGATCTGCAAAAAGAGATGACTGATGATGACTACTATTTAAAAAAAGTAAGAAAGGGACTCACTCCTCACTCTCATTCAATAAAACAGAATGTGGGAAATGTATTATTATTTTAACTCCCTTTGCATAATATAAAACTTAAATAAAAAAAAATTATTTACAGGTGTTACTCTTTACATAATAAATGTAAAAAGCTATAACTGAACCAAGTATTTTTAGGCTTAAATAATGTTTCTCCAAAAATAAGGAGTTAATCGAACTGCACTGTGAGTGGTTGAAATATTAATATATTTTCCAGAATAAACTCAATTATTTCCTGAACATTTTATAGTAAGTAATATAAATGTAATGTGTATAAGAATAATGAAATTCCTTTAAATTCTATCAATAAGACATGGAAGATTATATGATTTCTTACAAAAAATATTTTTTCCAGAAAAACCTTAGAACTTTTAAAATAGCTGAATACACATGACCTCACACTGCAAACTAGTTATAAGAATCAACTTCATGTCTACAAATAAAGGGCAGTTAAAATATTCCATAATCAAATTTTTTGGCAATTTCGGGACTCCCCCTCCCCTCTTTTTAACAAAAATTAGCAAATCACAAACTGCCTTTTCATGCTTACGTCATAAAGTTGCCCCTCCCCCCAAGGCTTCACTTTTGCTTCAACTTTGATATTTACTGTAGTAATCTAGTTTTGAGATTCAATTCATGTAAAAAGAAATAACTTCGCATTAAACTAAGTTTACATTTTAATTCATTTTGAGTTGAATTTACTCTTTAGGAATCATTAGTGTTCATAATTCTTTACTACTGAAAACCAAATGTTTTCTTTTTTTGAATGAAACTTTTATTCCACATTGGAAATTTTTTAATGTGTAATTTTTTTGTTACGCTTTTCATTTTACTTTTTAAGAATGTTTTGGAAAAAAAGAGGATTTTATCGTCTTACATAAGCATTGTTTATACCATTCCTCCTACCCTTGTCAACAAAAATAAGCAACTCTCAAATCAGATTCCCCAACCCATTAGGGATTTACATAATACTTGTTTGTAGATTGCTGAGATAAAATAACAAAAGCTTTCACTCTAGAATTGTTTCAAATGGATAAACTCAAGTTAAAATACATAATTTGAAAAGCATAAAAAAAGAATAAATATCTCATTATAATATACCTGCGGCATACAGAGTACATGCTGTTAATAGATGAGATTCTAAATCCTTCAGCTTTATGCTTGTTGTTTCCACTATTCAAAACTCCTAAACCCAATCGCTGATAATCTTTACAATAGCTTCTTTCAGACAGTTTTTCTAATGTTTTTGAATCCATATGTTGAGCATAGGATGGTATGTGCGGTGTTGAAAGAGTCAGATCACTTTCTTCTATCACTATTAAATGATACATTAATACTTTAGACAAGAAAAAATAAACAATGCAACATAAACATTATAATTTGATTGGTTCATTATAATTTACAAAAAAAAAAAAAAAAAAAAAAAAAAAAAAAAAAACGGCTTTTTTTTTTTTTGAATTTTTTTTAAAACAAAACTTATTAAGTTGCATATTTTTTGTACCTAGCATCAAAGCCAGCTCTAGGATATATATAGTAGTCAGAATATTCTGGGGTAAATTAGAAAAAATTAATAAGAATGTATAAAATGATATGCTTTTATGAAAACTAATTTGTTTGAAAAACTATGTTATTTAGATACTGGAAAAAGAGATATAAAATTTTCCAAGCAAGAAATAATCTTCAACATTTCATAATACATTAAGTAGGTAAATATTGTGTCTTCTAGAAATTTTCTTTGAAAAATATTAATTAATAAACGATCTCAGTTTAAAATTTGAGCGTTATATAAATTTTGTTTTATTACTTTCACCACACTAAAATTTTTAACTACCACAGATATGAAACTATAAAATTTGTATGAAATAAATAAAAAAATGACATTGAGTTTCAAACCAAAAGACTAGATGAAACATTTCTGTTAACATTAGAAACCACCATAGAACATGTTTTATAAAAATGTCCTCCATTCATTTTAACATGTAATAAAAATTTGTTTAAAAATATATGATATACCACTTTTTTCAAGTCATTTTTTAATAGCGTAAAAGAAAATAAATGTAAAATATTAATTAAGAAATATCGTATTAAATTTTAATTTAGAAATTCTTTTTAAACAAAAATTAAAAATATTTTCAGCTGTCACTATTTTGATTCTTTTAAGTTAGGAAGACTTACTGGATAAGTCATCTTCATATAACGATGACGGTCGATCAGATTCACTATCGAATCCAATTGAAGGAGTTCGACCAGGGCTAGGTAGAGTTCTAAAATCATGAGGTCCCTGAATAACATATTTCTGCTTTCTTGAAGAAGGCTTTGGCTTAAAACCTGCTTTCATAGCTGTTTTTAAAAGAGTTTTCTTTGCAATTACTCTAAAAATAGAAAAAAAAGAAAATATTCATTAGCACATTGTTCATGAAGATTCCTCATGATTATTTTATAAATTGAAGAAAAAAGTATACACTCAACACTTAATATCTTTGAAATATTCCATTAGAATACACTTTGAAAACAAATTTAACAAGCTGCCACATGGTTTAGCCATTCAATTTTTAAAGATACATAGACAAATGACTGCTATAACTGTCATTAAAGTATATACCCTCTCAAACAAAAATCTTTTTTAGTGGATCAATTAATTTTCACTTCTTTTTAAAAACTAATTCCCTATTCCTCAATATCAGATTCATATAAGAAATTCTCTTAATCTTAAAATTAGTTAGCTCAAAAATCCTTGAAAATCATCGAATTTGGAAAAAAGGTCACAAAAGTTTTTGTGACTGGTAGTCTTCCACATTTCAATTAATAAAAATGGAACATTATTAGTGGGAAGTGGACAGAAGCATTTATTTGTTAATTATTCAGTAAGACATAAAAAAAATATCTAACATTCAACAAAACATATAATTTTTTTTCTTCTTTTGCTTGTTCAGGGAAAAAAAAAGATGTAGTCAAGAGCTAATGATGGTTAGAGTAATTGAGAGTTTTCATGAAAAAAATGTGATAATGTTCACTTCAAAACATATTACTGAAAATGTGTTTAGCATCTCGATCCCCAAATTTACAGGGCAAAGCAGTTGAACATGATAAATTTTTATAGAGTTATTATAAAAGTACCTAATTTTTTTTTATTCATAATTCCAATAAAGATACATATTGGCATAATTATGGGAAGAAAAGGTTTGATGGACTATTAGCACATCTTTTTAAATTTTTAAAAAATCAAGTCAAAATTTAAATGGACAAAAGAAAACATTAGAGAATGACTTTTGAATGTGAGATTTTTGTGGAGAATTTGCTTCTACGTATAATATATTATCCTATGTAACCAAATAAGTATCGATACACAGACTACTTATAATGTGTTAGTCTGACAGTTGTTGACTACCACTAACTAAATGCAAACTTTTGAATATAAGTGAAACGAAGAATAAAATAAACAATCTAGTAAAATAACAAAAATCAATACACAGGCTACCGATAGAGCTTTAGTCTGACATCTGTTGGTAACATTAGCCAAATACCTTTAAATATACGCAAAAAGAAAGTAGTAAAATAAACAATCTAGTTTTATTAAGCTAATGCAAAAGAAATCAATAAAAACTCTTTACAAAAGAAATGCACTTTTATGAAACATTTGTTTAAAAAATTAAAATTAGATTAATTAAAATTAGATTAAATAAAATTAGAGTACTTATAGATTATGTAGTAAAAATTTATTAATGAGGATAAATTAATTCTCAATGTTACTACCTATGATCTACCATCATTAATTTTTAAAAAAAATTGAATTACCAAACTTCATATAAATGCTAATTTTTTTAAAGCAATAACATAATAAACTTAATAATTTCAAGAAATTGTTAAAACATTCTAACAAATTAAAACCAACCTTGTTAAATAAATTTGCAAACATAAAAATTAATAAAAACCAAAAAACACATACTTCAAAGTTGCATTTTTCTCCTTTTGTTTGTGAAGAGGTGTTTGTGGCACTGCAAGATGACCACTAAATGCAAAGACATGAAACACATTAGGAGGGCATCGAACTCTGTTGATAAGTTTCCGAAACGTTTCAATATTTTCAGAAGTCACTTCTTCATCAAATGCAATTTTTATTAGCTAAAAAAATACAAAAGCTAATTATAGTAGTAATGATTAACGAATCAATCTAAGTTTTAAGAAAAATACACGGCTTATTACCTGAAATGTATGAGACCGCAATTGTAAGCCTTCTTGTAGGAACTGATCAACTTGAGTGAGGTGTTGAACATTGACTCTTTTCTCTTTAGTAAGAGTAGACACAGGAAAAGACCGAACTATTACTTGTTCACAAGCTGCAGAAAGTCAATGAAATTAAAAAAAAAAGTACATTTTTAAAAATATTTTTAGATGCATCTTTCTAAATAAAAAATTATTTTAAAAAATCTAAGAAATTGGTTAAAGTTAAATGGCCAAGCTGATATTAGCATCTATTTTATAAATTAGGATGAATGAAAGAAAAAGAATTCAGATCTGTCTTTGATGTTATTTTGGATAACATCTGGCAAAAACGATACAACCACAAATTCTTTAAAATTGATATAGGTGACAATATTTTTAAACTGTATGGAATGAGGTAGGCCGGAGATCTTCAGAGAATGAAAAAAAAAAAAAAATACTGCAGGTTTTCAACGTCATTCCTCTCTGCAGAAGAATAAAAAGATGATAACCTAAAAATCAATGGAAAGACAACTTAGATTAAGATTTTTTCCTGCTCAAGATCAATTTCAGGAAAGAGGGAGAATTGGGAGAGACTAAAAATGGCGAGGGCCTACAAGAAACTGTTGAACAAATGCTTATATTTATAAAAATAGTGAACCTTCAAGGGACCGAAATTTCGGTCCTTTGAAGTCGGGACTATAACCGGGAGTTCACTATATCTGTTAAACAGGCAATTTAACTAATGGTTCCCAAACTCTTCCCTTTTATTACACATTATTCAAATAAATGACTGAAAAATATTATGTAGTAGCAAAAAATGTGTTATTTTTTATTACTTTTCGTCTTGCGTACAAAAAAAAAAAATTGTAATCTCTAGCTGATGAGTAATACTCAACATCAGATATGGAAACATTTCCTGATTATCAAATAATTTTTCCGGAATTTCTAATATTCCGCTTTTTAAACCTGTCTAACTTGCCATTCGAGCATATAAAAGTATTCGAACAAAATTGCTTTGCAAATTCATCGACATTTGCCCAGATATTGGAAAATTGCGGCTTTTTTTAATGCTGAACCACTTCAATAATGCTTCTTCAACAGCCTTGTGATCTGCTTTTCTCAACTTTTTTTCTGCCATCGAAATGTTTTTCATGAGCAGAAATTGTTAATTGCCTATGTTTCCATGCGTTAAAAACTGTAGATTTGGATAGTTTATATTCCCTGCAAATATCAGCATGGTTACATACCATTTAAATTTTTCTGATTATGCCCATTTTATCACAGGGTGCATAGCCAAATTATTCAACAAAAAATAAGCACATTTTAAGCACTTAAATAATATTTTTAAGCACTTTAAAAAACACAATTAGGTAGGATTGGAAAATTTCTGACAACGGAAAATTTCTGACGGTTATATCTCGTTTTAACCGTCATGTCAAAAATTTTTTAAAAAAAACTTTCGGCATTGTTTTTGAGAATTGCCAAAATTTTTTAATCATGTTAATCGAATGGCATTTTCATAGCTATGGACTGACGATAAGCAGAAATAGATTGGGGTTGAATTCATTGTGAAAACGTTAAATAGAACAATGTAAACAGCGTTTTTCTGCATAATTCTTAGCAAAAATCAACATGGTAAAGGAAAAATCTCATTTTGGAAAAGGAAAATTAAGCACTTTTTATAAGCACCCAATAAAAAAAGCACCTTTAAGGGCTCTTAAAAACGAAAATAAGCACCTTTAAGCACTTTTTAAAAACGCTACGCACCCTGTCTCATCAATGGAGAATGTTTTACGTTTACTGTTCGCCTTAGTTAAATTTGAATCACTTGTTTGCAGGCTTCATTTGAACTGAACTGAGTGCAATAAGGAGTTGAAATGAGGACCTTATCAACACAGATTAGTGTCCAACCCTTTGACCAATAATGAATAATGACTAATGAGTCATTATTCATTATTTTGACAGATAATGCATATTGGTTCTACTGACAGATAATGCATATTGACAGATAATGCACATTGACAGATATGCCCTCTGACAGATAATGCATATTGGTTCCACTGACACCTTACAGGTGCATCATCTGCCTGGGTTGGAAACATCTGCTTGGTTTGTTTAGGGATGGGAAAGGGAGATAAAAGAAGCAAACAAGAAAAAATTATTATCGCCTCTATATATAGTCCCTCCATAGATGGTTTTGAAAATCGGTATATTCATTTATTTTGAAGTAGAAATTTCAAAATTATTACAAAAAAATGAAGAAAAAAATCAGTCAAAGACAGAAAAAAGTTCATTATATCCAACTTCCTCACTTTTTTGGTTCACTATATCCACAAAAAATAACATTATGTGTGTATAGCAAGGCACGGAACCGAACATTTTGTTCACTATATCAGGGAGTTCACTATAAACCGTGTTCACTATAGCGGGGTTTGACTGTATATATATAATGTAAATATTTAAATAAATATGTCAGCTAATTTTGTTCAAACTATAACATGTCGAGAATTATTGGATCTAAAATTCTGAAATATAATAAGGATATCAAATTTTGAAACATGAAATTTAATAATCTACAATTTAACAGGCCACAAGTGATTAACAGTCAATTGGTAATATTTATATCATGTCCTTGCCCCGCCCTAAAAGCAAAAAAAAATAAAAAGAGACACATAGCAATACAAACTTAAAATTATTAATATAAAATCTACATCTAGAATTTTGAAGAAACTAGCCAGCCCTTGCTTAAGATATAGTAAAAATAATAAAATAAAAAACTGATTAACATACTTTACATTGACTTTAAAAAGAGCATTTAAAAAAAAACTTAAAATAACTTAATATTAATGATGAGAATTTACTTTTTCAAAATATAAAACTACATAAACTAAACAAGAGAACAAAAAGAGGGGGAAAAAAAAGACATAAATGAAATTTTCATACCAAAAGGATCACATGGTGTTCCTTTGAAAATAATTCGATAATTAGTGAGAAATACAGCACCCTCTGCTGGCAAAAGATTAGGACCTCCAAGTATGCCACCTGTACCTTCTTCTCTTCCATCTGGAATCAGATAGACACGGAGACCTTCCATCAGCAAGTCTTCTCCTTGCAGCAAACTTGGAGCTAAAATTTTAGGCTACAGGGGGAAATAATCATTACCATTCAATTAACTTGTCAGCAAGATAAATAAAAACACCAAGCATTATTTATTAGTCAGTTTAGCATTGAATACATTTGCCTGAATTTGTTAGAAAATTCAAAATGTAGTATAATAACATTAAGACAGAAACTTACTTCACACAAAATAAAAAAAATTACAAAAAATTTTATTAAAAAAAATTTTATTAAACTGATCACTTTAATTTAAAAAATGCATCAAAATATCATGCACAAATAAATGTAACAAAATTTAATTAAATTTTTTTTCACATTTTATGATTTTTTTGCAGCATAAATGATTAAGATAAAAAAAATAATTTAAATTATATAAGAATGAAAAAAACAGCACTTTTTATTCAAAAAAAAAATATTTATTAACACATATTAATCTCCTGTTTTCAGATTATTTTATTATAACAGATTTTGATTACTGGAAAAAATTATTAATAAATGCTAAAATAACACAAGTCTAAAGAAAGTAAAAAATGATAGTCAGGCACATTTTTTTATATTATGTTTTTAACATAACTATTAAACAGTTTCGGTTCCTAGTATAATGTATCCTGTTAGATACTTTAATACAGCCTTCTGTAGCCTCAGAAGGAATTCCAAAAAGTCCTGTATGTATAAACAGTTATAATATAAAAATTAAAAATATTAAGAAAATTTCACTTAATAAAGTGACCAGAAAAATTCTAAAGCCTCCTACGAAAATACCTTAAGACGCAAAACAGAAGAACACCTTAAAATGTGTGTGTGACTAATCCCCTCACTGTCTAGCCGCAGCTAGACATTTTATATGAGTCCATACACTCTCAATAAATCCAGGACAAGCAAAGGGTCTGTCGCGAAAGTCTTTTTACAAATGCGAAAACAAGCCAGAATGTGCTCCGGGAACGCACTTTGCACAAACCGGGAAGACCCTGTTGCCATTGCTTAAGAAGCCACTCCTCAGGTGGCCGCTGGCAAATCTCGACACCGCCGTCTGGTCGGCTTTATCACAGGGCAATGGAGCCCCCAGGACATCTCCGCCAACAATCATGGGATGGAGGGACTCTCCAAGACTTTAAGTAATTGTTTTTCCTGATGGAGTAAATCTCGTCAAAAGTCAATGAGGCAACTGAATACAATGGCTCAACCGAGTCCTGCTTTGCCAAGTCGTCAGGGACCTCATTTCCGTAAATCCCCACATGCAAGGGAATCCATTGAAGGTGTACTTCGTGAACCACAGCAATCTGTCTAAGTAATTTCAAAATAGCGATACTAGTGCGGTCATCAACACTGAATCAGTCTTTCAAGTACTGCAATGAACTCTTACTATCAGACAAAATCCATACCTTAAAATGTTAAAACCAAGAGACTTAAATTCAAAGAATGTCATACTTAAAATAGTATCCAAAAATATTCATTAAAATCATTATTAAAATCTAGACCTATATTCATTAATGTCCTATATTCATGAAAATATACATTAATGTCATCATTAAAATCTAGACCTTAATGATGACAGATCTGATTAGTACACCTTCTTAACTGTATTTTTCTAGGAGAATTAGAACAATTCTTGTTCATACAGTCACAAGAATATTATAGCATAAGAATTAATAAAAACCACAATTATAATAAGATAAAATTAAACTGAGAGTGAGTGGCTTAAGTGTTTCAATGGATTAGCAACAATAAAACAGATGTTCGATGTGAATTACTTAAAATTATTATTACCTTAGTAATAGGAGGAAGACGTTTACTCTCTTTATGAACTGCTTCTAATGATTCCATTTGCATAGCAACCGCCACTATAATTCAAAAGATAAATGCATAATACATTATTTTACACAAGTTTTAATAAAATTCTAAAATTATAATAAATTAATAAATAAAATAAATATTGTGAGCACTGATGATATTGGTACAATCAAACAAGTTCTTACATATAACTAGTTATTATGGGTAAAAATTGTAAATTCAAATTATTAAATGCATTGTAAAATTTGATGAAAATAATTTTATATGATACTAAACTTTCAATAACTTTACTGTATTTTAAGTATTTAATAACACAACAAGTCTTGTAGTATGAAACAGAAACCATGGTCTTTATCTGTTAAGAGCTGTGAACTCAATATGAATATTATTATTTAAGATATTACAAAAATGCAAAAAAATTTCTTTAAAAGCAAAAATAGAATAAAAAATTGAATTATATCTAATATGTTTAACACATTTTCTTCTATTTAAAAGAGCATGAAAAAAAAAATTACAAAAATTGTAAACCTTAACTCATTACCCACTGAGGTTACGTTTGTGCAACACCTTGTAGTAGTATAATGAAGTATCTTAAATTAATGTTTAAGTTAAGCTGATTATGTAATGTGACAACCTCTTAACACAGCTTTTCTTAGTATTATTTGTATTTAGACACTTAGGAAAGTTCTAGTTTGTAGAACTGAAGCTATAGAATGTCTGTATTCATGTCATTATTCGTATTTTATTCATGCTGCTCTGTTTTATTCATACATTGCTCAAAGTACACTTTATCTTCATTATTTTTATTTGCATATCAGCACATTAAAATGTAATACTTTAGAGTTTATAAGCATCAAATATTCATTAAGGTTTTTTGGGTATTGTCTTACTTAACATATTATTCTTCTATTTGGTATCGTTCTTCATGAGCAGCTTATATAATCTTTAATAAATCATTCACAGTAGAATAGGCATAAAAACTGTGCATAAATTTTATTGATGTTCCAACAAATGAATTAATTATTTGTTACATTCGTTTTAAAGTTTAAATTCAATCAGCAAGCATAATTTTAAAAAAAAAATCTACTAAATGTTTAATAACTTTAAATTCTACAATGCTTGATGACCATTTAAATGTTTGATTTATGTGACGTTATAATGCACCCTGCTAAAAAAATTATATTGCAAAGGTATGTTTTAGATAAATAAATGGAAAGAAACTAACCTGGAATCATTTGATGCAAAGCTTTAATGTGGTTTTCAGTAACTCCAGAATCTGTACAAACTTTATCAACAAACCTAGATACAAACTTGATAACACTAGCACCAACTTCGGAAGTATCTTCTTCAAATCCACTTTCAGCATCAACGCTATCAGTCTCTGCCATACTACACGGAAAATAATCAAAAAAATATAAAGAAAAAATTAGGCTGGTATTGTGTAAACAGTTAAAAACTCCCTAATCTGAGATAAACACTGCACTTGTGGCGTAACTACCACTGCAAATATTAAATACCAAATCACTAGTATATAAGACATGTTAACTCAATTCTATTTTGAGGTACCTTTTGATAGATGAAGGTTGACATAATCGATAGTCTAATATTTAATTCCCTACACACTACTAATCAATTTTGAAAATCTTATTTGTTTCTTTCTAAGGTTATAAACAAATAAAGGTTGAAGAGAATATAAAAGTTAACTGTACACATAAAATAATAATAAAAGTAAAATGTTTCTACAAAAGATTATAATTACAATTAAAAGCAACAGTTATTAGTCTAGCAAATGCCGATTCTTGCTAATAATGGGACATTTCACTACTTTTACTTTAGAAGGTATTACCTAAAATGAATCTCACAACTCATGTTCATATGTGGTATACTTAAATATAAATTGAAGAGAAAAGCAGAAAAGCAAGTCAAATTGATATTCTAGGATTGAGGAACATGCTATAATAGTCAACTGCACTGACGTGATTGAAAGATGTTTTGTTAACATCTTCTGATGTTTCTCGATACGTTATAAAGCTGATTTTAGCCGTTTCACTAAAATATCACATTACATATTCTTTCAAGAAGGTCTAAAGTAAGAAAGGTAGATATTTCTTGGTTAAATAAAGAACTAAGGTTAACATATTCTGATGTTTCTCGATAGATTATAAAGCTGATTTTGGCCGATTCACTAAAATATCACATTACATATTCTTTCAAGAAGGTCTAAAGTAAGAAAAGTAAATATTTCTTGGTTAAATAAAGAACTAAGGTATATATTAAATTCATAAAAAGCACAGATAGAAAAGAAATTCATAATGAGTATTTAATATATATTACCTGTTTGTTACATTACTATTACTATTGCTTTCCCTTTCGAGATCATTAGAATTTTTGGCACTTTTACTGACATCAAGTGGAACTCGTAATGCCACCATTCTATTAGCATAATGAATAGCCTGACTATAAACAGTAGATTCCTCATTATTCATTAGTTCCTTCTGTTGTTCTGAACTTAAATTTCCCCAGAGTCTCATCTAAGAAATATTGATGTAACTATTTCAACTCATAATTAGACAGCTGATAAAAAAAAGCAATAAATAAAATGCTTACTTGTTCTGCAGCAATCTCTAAAGCACTAGGTTCTGGATGTCGAACTAAATTGTTGGATCCATTGTTGGAATATAAAGTACTTCTATTATCAGCCCGGCTCCATATGTTATTAAGTTCTTTGGACTTAATAGGGGAAAATATAACTACAATTAATCTTATTTGCATCATAAGAACAAACATAGATACATTGGACATTAAAAAATATATATATACTTAAAAAATTTTTGACCTTAAGATCAGATTTTCACAGACTAAGATGCAATCTAGACATACCTTAATGCTAATTTCAAACGATATTTTGATATAAAACACAAACACAAAAAAATAAGTTATCTAAATCAGCAATTTTTTTCTATCTAGATTCTGATTCAAAAAACCTCAGGAAGGGGTTTCTCCTTGGAATTATTTTCTCAATATTAATAAGGTAGGCCTAAGGGGAGAGGCATTATCGACATTATCAACTTTCATCTATAAAAAGGTACCCCACCATAGAATCCAGTTAACATATACTAGTAAATTGGAATTGTATTTTTGTAGTGGTAGATACGCTACAGTACTCCCCTACCAGAATTATATCTGTGATAGAATTCGATGGACACCAAGTTGATTCATTGACATGTTTTGTGAGAAGTCGGGAGAACTGTGTGTGTATTAAGATCACCATACTTTTGCTGAACCTGAGAGCTGTATTAAGTTCAAGGTCGTGCTTGCTCTTGTGTTGCCATTAGTAGTCGAGTGTTTGCTGGCCGACTTTGTGTGTGATCGACGCTGGGTAGCAATAGTGCGAGGAGGTGGATGTCGCAGACACAAGTAGCAAGTCAACTGTTTAATGTAGACCATCCAGATTAGTAGGCGTGTTCAAATCGAAGTGAGTGTTACTGCCGAGAAAGGGGTGTTCAAATCGAAGTGGGTGTTACTGCCGAGAAAGGCATGTTCGAATCGAAGTGGGTTACTGCCTAATGCGGGGAGTGAGTAATGGATAAAGTCAACTTTCAACTATGAAAAGGTACCCCACCATAGAATCGAGTTAACATGCCTTATATACTAGTGAATTGGAATTGTATTTTTGTTGTGGTAGAGACGCTACAGTACTCCCCTACCAGAATTATATCTGTGATAGAATTCGATGAACGGACACCACTAGTTGATTCATTGACATGCTTTTTAAGAAGCCGAGAGAACTGTGTGTGTATTAAGATCACCGTACTTTTGCTGATCTTGAGAGCTGTATTAAGTTCAAGGTCGTGGTTGCTCTTGTGTTGCCATTAGTAGTAGAGTGTTTGCTGGCCGACGTTGTGTGTGATTGAGGCTGGGTAGCAACAGCGCGAGGAGGTGGATGTCGCAGACATAAGTAGCAAGCCAACTGTTTAATGTGGACTATCCAGATTAGTAGGGGTGTTCAAATCGAAGTGAGTATTAATGCTGAGAAAGGCGTGTTCAAATCGAAGCAGGTCGAGCGATGAATTGATAAAGTCAACTTTCATCTATGAAATTGAGTTAACACGCTTTATATACTAGTGAATTGGAATTGTATTTCTGTAGTAGTAGATACGCTACAAGCCTTTAAAAGTTTGAACTATAAATATTAATTTATTATTATGCCTGCGTGGTTGTGCTTCCTAATTGTTTTATGCACAGCAACAAAAAAATGTTTAAACAATATAAAACTCATATCTAAAGTTAATTACATGCAAAAAATATTCTTAGCAACATCATTATTTGCCTTTTTTTAATGATCAAAAAGTTTTAACTGAAAAATACTCATAAGCTCTTCAGCAATGTAAATAGTAACTTTGAATGAAATCAGTCAAGTAGTCTTTAAACTATATTTTGATCTCCCAAGCTTAGAGCTCCAGGGCAAAATTTCATTGCAATTCTTCTGCAACAAACTTCTTTCTTTCTGAATAATATGTTAAAAACTGGTTTTTGGAAGTAGAAAGCCTGCAACTCAAAGTTCAGAAAAAGCTGGGACTAATGCTTCCAACAGGACATGAAATTAAAGATACTAGAAGGACAAAAATTAGCCAGACTACTATTTTCACAAATATATTTAGCAGCCAATGGTGCACCGACTTACAAGATTAACAATTTTTTAAAGAAATATTTTAAGAACTAAAAAAAGTTATAATTATTCAGAAAAATTGCATTTATGTATCTGATTTTGTAACTAAACAAATCTTGCGCAAGTAATGGAGCAACCTTTATGAGTTAAACTGTGTTACGTGAAAATCTGAATATTGGAGCAAAAATTATTCAAAATTCTTTTTTTTGTTTTTGTTTTTGCACAGTACATAGTTTTTTCTGGCGAAGTACTATTTTTCATGAAGAAATAATTATTAAAAAACTTTTGAAATTAGGTTTACAAAAACTACAAACTCAACCAAGATAACTATCTTATACCCCAGCATATAATTTAGTGTTTGATTATAAGATAGCACATTTTTGGTATGTAGGTGTGTATGATAGGTATTATTATGTATTAATATTTCATGTTCAATGAATGTCAAGCTTTATTGCTCGTGCACCTGATTTTGTAAAATTTTGGAAAGTAGTTATTTGTACAATAAATTGTCACAGAAATTTCAAGTATATGTTTTCAAAAATAATCTATTCCATAATCTTTTTTAAAACAATATGAAAAAATTATAAGAATAATAAGTTTTGAATACTATTTTATATCCAAAACTTAATGACATTTAGATTAATATTAGTAACAGCAACAAATTATGCTTTTAGCTAACAGTAAATTTCTGAAACTTGTATAGTCATACTTCACAGTATTACATTTAAAATTTAAGCACTCTAGATCATTAAAAAATTGTCAAAAATTTAAAAGAAGGTTTTATATGACGTGAGCAGACATGAAAGCAACTTAAATAAAATGTACCATGAATAACAGTATGATTTGATAATTAATGCACGGGCAAAAAAATGAAGATTGCAAAATTGTCATCTCTTTTTCAAAAGAACTAAGACACCTACCTCTCTAGGGCTTATAGGTGAAATTGCTGACTCTCGATCAGTAAGATATGTCCGTTGAGGAGTATAAGTATAAAGTGCTCGTATGTCCCTCTGGACATCTTGATAAAAAGCAGCTTCCCAGAATTGCTGATTCTGCCAAACTGGATGTTCTTGAATGCATGTATAAGCAAATTGTATTACATTAGTGCACAACTTCTGCAAAAGAAAAATGATCAAAACATATTTAGAAAATTTGGAAATAAAAATTAAATCTTTCAATTTGCAGAACTAAAATCTAGTTAGCAATTTCGACAATTGGAGAAAATAGACAAAGAAAAAATATTGGGTGATGATTTTTCCATTGACCTTTTACCTTAATTTCCTGTACATAATCTGCAGATCAACTGTTAAAAAACAAATGGTTGCACATATATACAGATGGCTCAAAGCTTGAGACGGATGGCGTTGCCGGTGCTGGTATTTATTGCGAGCATTTCTCCCACTATCTCTCGTTGGGAACAGCCAAGACCGCTTTTGATGGTGAAGTTAAGGCAATCAAAGTAGCTTTAACTCATTTAAATGCTCATCCTTCTTTTTTCGATCAAGTTGTCATCTTCTCAGATTCCCAAGTTGCGATTCTGGCCATTGCCAACTAATCTCAAGCCCCTAGTTCTTTGTCCATTGTGAAATGTAGATCCTTAATGACAGAAATGGGTGAAAAATATAAAACGATTGCCTTACAACGGATCCCATCCCACTGTGGTATCCCCAGCAATGAAAAACCAGATGCACTGGCCAAAAAAGGTTGCTTTGTTAATCAAGCCCCAAATAACTTGGTTAGCTATAAGTCCACTTCATTAATGATTAATCATGCAATTAAGACAACACATATATCATTGCTAAAAGAACGAACAATAGAAAAATCGTAGAAAAATGACATCCTCATTCTCCCCAATTGCCCAAGAAGCAGAGCTGTAGCTGCCTTTCGTCTTGCTACCAAGTACGATTGCTTATACGCTCATCTTTTCAATCTTAAAATAGTGGATAATCCTGCCTGCCCCTTCTGCCGCAGTGGTGCGACGATGAATGCTGAGCATCTCCTCAACTGTTCAGTTCTTACAAAGGTATCTACTCCCGATACTGGGAAGCCAAACACCTTTTGTTCAATTTAAATTCTTGATTTAATTTTTGTGTTTGGTGTTTTGATTTTGTATATTTCATCTCTTTCTGTATTTGTATTTCTCTTTTCTTTTGATCTCTGTACGGCGTTAGGATAATGTCTATTGCCTGCTGCATTGGAAATTTAAAAAAATTTTATATTAGTGACACCCTTATAAAATGTTGGGATCGTTATTTTATTGCTCCAAACCGTTTAAGTAATGATATGTTATGCAATTTTGTTATGCAAATAATGCTATCCATATGCGTACAATGGGACTTTTAAATGACTTATAAAAATTTTAAAATTGTTTATTTGTGTAAACCATTGAAAAATAATCAAAAACATAGCATTAAAGAAAATGGCAAAATAACTTGTTTTGTTATGAAACAGATAAATTATTCGACTTATGTTATGTGATGGAAAAAAGAAGGGAAAAAAAAGAAAAACTTAAAAAGAAAAAACTGTTAAAAACAATAAAACCAACACTGCAGATTATCTTGCAAAATTATTTTTTCAACATTTCCTATCAACTTTCATGAGCCATAAAAGTGAAATAGACCATTTACACTTGAAACGAAAAATACACTTGAACGCACCTAACAAGAGCCTTATTGGTAAAATTTATTAGGTTGTGAAAAACTTGCCAATCGGATTCTCGTCCACATCCCCAAACTGGTATATGTAATTTATTCGCATCCTTTAAGAATGCCTTTTAAACATTATTACATGTCTGCTCGCCTGTTTCACTGATGATGCCCATTGGCTCATATATGACGTAGATTCAATCACATGTGATGATATTATGTAGATTCTGACAGTAGGAAGGGCTTTGGAATTTTTTATTCCTCTTGCGCTAAATAAACCACTGTATAATCTGTAGATTATTGTTTGAAATTTTCCGGTTTGGTCTGAAATGCTCGTCTGTGGATTATAAGCTGTCACAGATATTACACAGGAAATAAAGGTAAGTAATTTAGATAAAGGAAATAAAAACTTACTCTGCAAAAAGCCATAGCCAGAGGTAAAATTGCAGCAGCAACACCATATTCATCCATTGAAGAATCATCCTTCAGTGAAAAAAGAACAACATTTAGTTGAAAAAATTCTAATAAAAAGTAAAATGTTAAAACAGAAAATATTAAATAATGCACATAAGCTGACCTGTAATGCACAGTTCATTAGTCGAACAACTAAATCAAATTGCTGATGTTCTAACACGGCTTTGTTTCCAGTTACATGTAAAGCTAATTCTTGAGTTAGCGCTAAGCGAGCTGTTTTGTTTTTCAAAGCTCTCAGAACTGCAGGGAAAGTCTACAAAAGTATTTTAAATTAGTGTTTAATAGTTTTAAATAAGCACAGTTAGAATATTAGTTCATTTCTTTGAAACTAAACTTACTTTGCGTGCATCAGATATTTTGTTTTCAAATATACAATTGACACAACTTCTTAGGACTTCTAATCGCCTGGTACTGTTTGTAACTAAGCCTCGATTATCAAGCCAAGAAGCTGCTTGAGGTCCCATAGGCACTATTCTTGGCTGCTGAGGTTTAATTGCAGAGAGTCTAGAACATTCAAAAAAAACTTTTATGAAACATAACTTAAACACTAAAATTCTGAAATTTTAAAATGTAATAATATGATCGACAAAAATATAAATATTATTCAGTCAAAATGTAAAATTTTTATATAAAGAAATGCGTTTATTTAAAAAACTAAATAAAATCAGTTAGATTATACTAATCAGAGTTTTCCCTAAAAATTTTCAATTTTTAGGCAGAAGAATTGAATGAATAAATGAGAAGCATTGAATGATTCTTGAATATTGAATGTATTTATGTTTATGTATAAACAAAAGTACATGTTTAAACAAAAGTATGAGTTTAAACAAAAATTACTTGTATTATTATTTGAAACCCAAAGTTGTAAGCTCTTTGAAAATAAAAACAAAGTAAACTACAATAATTTATTTAAGGAGAAAGGGTTTTGGTTATATGTTAGGATAATAAAATTAGATGTATTGAATGATTTTTGAATACTGAATGTACTTATATTTTATAAAAACTATTCACATTATTTGAAAAACATACAAAATTGGAAGCCCTTTGTAAATAAAAACAAATTATAATAATTTATTTGAGGAGAAAGGGTGTTGAATACATCAGAGGAGGAAAAAGTTTCAAATTTAAAAAGAAATGTATAGAAATAAATATGGGCTGAAATAATGATACAAAATGTGAGTTTCATTTAGAAATTTCATATCCTTTACCTGATGCAATGCATATCATATTAATTTTAGGCATAAAAAAGAATCAGAAGTAGTAGAAATTGGATGAAAAAAATAAATATTATACTTTGCCCTGATTGATTGTTTTGACATTCCTTCATCGATATTATCCTTTACAATTTTTGCATCAATTATAGGAAATGGAGGTTGATGAATTCTAGTAAATGCTCCTTCAGTAGGTTTAGGTATTTTCTGTACATATTGTTGCTTATTTGGATTTTCCTGCACAAAACACAATAATTAAAAAAAAAAAAGCTAATTCATCAACATCAGCATAGTTACAAATAAAATTGCAAAATAGGAAAGAGGATATGTAAAAGATAGGGGGGAAAAGATAGAAAAACAGTAAAACTGAAAGCACATTTTAGTTCCATAATTAAAAGAAATCCATGCTAAAATAGGAGCTGATAAAATAAATTTAAATTTTTCAGAATTATTCTTTCAAGAAAAAAATAAATAAATAAATAAAAGGTTAAAGGGGGAAAAAAAAGACTTAAAATGTAAGAATTAAAAAGCTGGGAAAAGCTCTTAAAAACATTTTCTCCTAATTTAAAAATAAGATACAATATTTTGTTATAATTATTAGTTGGGTTCATTACTTTTCCAAACAAATAATTTCAAAAAAATTCTATACCTTTAATGAAAGAAAAATTCCAGTCTCCTAAAAAAATTTAAACCTTTTGAGAAATTCCTTTTTCCCATTATGTATCCAATAAATACTCACATTCAAATACAGTTGATGGGCTAATTCTTGAACGTGATTTATTACACACGAGGAGTCCTTAACTTCAGCTTTTAAAGTATCTTGCATACTGGCATAAATCTAAATTAAACAAAGTTTACATATCATTTCAAGTAATCAGAATCAACAATTGAGCTGATTTGATATTAATATTATATTTTAAAAAACATATTTTAATAACCCAAATTGTTTATCTTACAACAACAATTTAAATAGAAAAGAAACAGAATGAATAAAAAGAATTAAAAAATATATATATATCAATATTAACCTCATCAAAAATATCACAGACTCTGTACGGGGGACCTCTTTCCGAAACAAATGTATTGAAAAACATGCAATCAAGAACTTTAACGATGAAGTCACAGTCAGAATATGTCTGAAGACCAAGAAATGCAGCCTGAAATATAAAATGATTTAAGTCATACACAGTATTTTAAACAATAAATTGAGCATTGAGCGCCATTTAAAATTAATTCCACGACAGGAAGTTACTATACATTTATCCAGCAGTTCTAATAATTTTTGTTAAAATAAGTCTTGGATAAGTCTTACTCATTCTAATTATTAGTAACTATCAATAATTTCAATTTTTTTTAAAATTAAAAACTGGGTGTTACAAACTTAACACAATTTTTTATGTCAATAGCAGCTAGTTTTAAGTAATTTTTGAATTCCATAAACATTATTCGACGTACTCAGATTTTATTAAAAGATTTAACAGCTTTCAAAATTTGCAAACACGGCATTCTTAAATGGTAGCATTGCCTAGTAATTAGTTTTGTAAAATATAAGCAAGAAAAATACAGTAAAGGTAAAAAAGAAAAAAAATTGAAAAAGTAGCAATGAAAGAAATGTAATCACTAAAAATATTTACTTTATGAAAAGCTATGAATGGTTTTGGATGAATGCGAATGATAGTGAGGCATGAACGATATCCTTGAAGCAGTTGGGAAAATGTGCGCAGAAAAATTGCTCTTATTTCTTTATCCTGAAATAACGATTACTTCATTATAAATACAATTAAAAGAGAAAGAAAAAGAAATGCAATAATGGAATACTTACAAGCATATGAGGTTGAGAGGGATTTGTTTGAGCAGGGGGAAATGCATCATCTGCTGTCCTTAATTCAGGGCGCAAGACCTAAAAAAAACACCATTTATTTTTATTACTGTACATAAACATAATCTCAACTTTTTTTAATTAACATCAAGATATATTTAACTAGCATGTACTCATGTCCTCATATTTAAGAATTTTTTTAATGTATCTTTAATATCCTAATAGATTTGGATATATATTTTACAAAGAATTTAAACATACAAGTTATTTTTTAAAAAAATATCTATTTTTATTATGTTCTTATATGCCAGTCACAACAGGGTAACTTCGTTTGATTAAAAAAAAATTTCTGAAGCATAATTTCCTCACAATTATTTATCAAAAATTGATTTTTTTTTTCCCCGTGCATCACTGTTAGATTGTTTAAGAGCTTTTTTTTTTTTAATGTGTTTAATTTTGTTCTAGAGTTAATTACATCAGTTATTTCTATAATAAAATAGAAAATTTTAGAAATACACAAGACATGAATGGGAACTAACAATTTTCCATACACAGCAAGCTACTAACCCTTCCAAAAATTAACTTGCTTGATTACAGAATTGAGTAATCTGTAACATATTATCACAATTACAATGTCTAAATTATTTGACTTGGAAATATGTACTAAGTAAAACCGACTTTAATGCAATTAAATATGATTCATTGTAATAAAACTTTATTTACTTGTATTTCACATTTTGATATAAAATGGTACATTTATAACATATTAATACACAGCTATATGTGTAATAAATTTTTCTTTTCAAAATTTTAAAGTTTAGTGGTTATCAATCATATTTACTAAAAGAAATGAGTTAAAAGTTTGTTTGCAATAATACAAAATAATTGATAAATAACGGTAAGGAATTTGAAGATTTTATTATCTATAGCTAAAGTTTAAGCAAAGAGTGGACTTTACCAGCGGTCAACAATAACAGATTCAGAAGGCATATGGAATGACGGGATCTCGGGAAAGAGAAGGATTGATTTCTTTTTTATATAAAATGCAGTATATAGCAAATCTATCAGACAGCTAAATTATTTTATTACTTTTAATAAAGATTTAAATTTATTTCATGCTCAATCGATTTACCTGAATCATCAAAAAACAAAAGAAATCAAAGGTGATATGATGAGTGTTAACAGTAAAACTCTAAATAATTAATGACCATGTTTTTAATCATAATTAGGTTATTTGCTTACATAGAGTTTAGAGTGCGAAATTATGGTTTATGATTTAGTAACGTAGTAATACACCATTGCTGACAACAATATTCATCAAACACTTTAAAGATTAAGATTTACAGAATAATTACTCTGAATAATTTTAAATTAGCAAACAAAGCTATGTAAAAGACTGATTACTCTGAGATTTAAAAAGGGGAAACAAACATTTTTATAACTTGCTCTAAATATATTATCTTATATTTCAAAGCCAAAATAAATAAAAACGATAAGAATATTTAAGTAATTTAACTTCTCTATTATCATCACATTAATCAAACTGTAGCAAAATTCTGATTTAGAGACTAAAATATTCAGAGCTTAAATAGCATTTAGTTTTTACTTATAAGCTTACCCCACACATATGAGAATACAGCTGAGTATGCAATGGTTCAGGGAGGCAGGAAACATTAATGCATTCAGGAACTATAAGTGATCCACCATCTAAATCAACAATGATTACATCTAACTAAAAAACAAAATGTGAACAATTTAAAATGAGATAAAATATAATTACGTTTCATCACAGAAACAAAATTATGAGTTATTAAGTTTTCTGAATGAAAACAACAAATACTCCCACAAAATTTTATTCAACTCTGTAAATGTATCATTGTTAATGTTATAGCTAAGTGGATAAGTTTAAGAGTTAAGATTGCACAAAAAATACTCATTGCATCTATTAATTATTTTAAAGTTGCTTTTGAAAATTATTGATCACAAACACACATTTATTAATATTTTGAAATAACAGTTTATAAAAAAGAAAAATGAATTTTTCAGTTATAAAAACCCCTCACAAGGAAATTTTTTTGTTCTACAACTGATCTTATGCTACTTATAGCAAATATTGAAAGGAGCTTATCAAAAGTTAGGTTTCAGTTATTTAAAAATTACTTTTTTTATTGACAGGCTCTGAACTTATCGATCTTTACTATGAAAGGTGCTTGAGGTGTTGCTCATTTTACATTGTCTAGTGAACACCTTGAGACCAAAGTCACACATGTGAGCAACATTACCCACGCCACACTGTCACAAATACCCATTCATAGGGTGAGCCACATTCACACAGACAGAAAATACATGCTCTGAGCGGGATTCGAACCTGAAGCCATTGGCTTCGCAGTCAGACGCGCTAACCTCTCAGCCACCTGGTCAACTATATTATTAAGTAAAACAATTATGAAGTTAAAATAAATATAAATAATATAATAAATTTAAAGTCATCATCATTAACATATGGCATCAGACTGTTAATTTTGAAAACTCTCATCTACTGTTTCATAAAGCTTTTCATAAAGAGGAAATGACTTTTTGAAAATAAGAAACTGGGATTGAGTTTTATTTATTAACAATTAATAAGTAGAATGAATGAAGCTTATAAATCAGGGATGAGATTAGCCAAAAGGCAAAAAAGCTGAATTTCCACGATAGTCAATTTTACGCAAGCGCAACCCTTTAATAATAAATTCCAGACAGTTTAAGGTAATAAATAATGTGTTGACATACAATTGTGTACTAATCTATTATTATTTAAATGATTACATTGATACTTAACATTTAGGGAAAATAAAAATTACCAATTGAAAAAATAAAGCTGGAAATTATATTTTTCCTCAGTTCACATAAGAGACAATTATTACTTGAAAAACTACCTGGTTTAGCAAATTAAAACTACTGAGAATATACATTAATATTTCATTTCTTTTAATAAATACTGTTATGTGATTTATAGCAAATATATCAGTAATATTACTTTTTAAATTATATTGGAAAAAAAACTTTAACAATGGACCGAATCATTATGTTCATATTATAGTCTAATCTAACTAGAGCCCTCTGAAACATATCAATAACAGTGAAGTAGAAATATATAGTAACTCCTTAACATACAAAAATTGCTATTTTAGTTTGAAAAATTACATGACAATCAGCAACTGTTTAGATAATTGTTTTTTATTTGATAAGAATTTTGCATTTTATAGCATAAATAACAGCAATTATAAATAAAATTTTGATGATGAGTTAATTAACTCTTTTTCCCCAAAAATTTTTTTTTAATTAAATCCCTTTTTAAGTGATTGCTTTTGTTTGCTATATCTTTTATGTTTGCTATATTTAGTCGTTAGTCCATCTTCAAACATCTTGTGACAAATCCTATTTTTTCTTCTTTGCAAGCACAGAATGTAAGTTTTGAATATATTCCCTTCCAGTTTCTCTGATGTTGTAACACTTACATATACTAATAATCGTCGTTAGAAAAACAGTCACCTTTATAGTAACTAATTTTAAAAAAAATTTACTTCTTACAAGAATCGCGATAGTTGATCTTAAAATTGCGTGAATATGAATAACAATTATGGATTTTGAAATCACATGAATATGAAACTAGATATACGATTTTGAAAATGAGAAAATACAAACTGGGATATAGAATTTTTAAAACACGTAAATACAAATCACGATTCATAATTTTTAAATCGCGTAAATATGAATAATGATGCGTAATTTTTAGATTGCATAAATAAGAATTATGATGCATAATTTTTAGGATGCGTGAATGTAAATCCCAATGCCTTATTTTAAAATCACGTATAAATACGAAAATCAATGTTTGATATTATACGCCGCATGAGCAAATCAAGATATCGAATTTTAAACTTTTTAAAAAGCGTGAATACGAATCACAATATCGGATTTTTAAATTTCGTAAATAAAAATCGCAACGTACAATATTCAAATCACATGAATAAGAATCGCAACACGCAAATATGAAAAGCCATGTTTGATATTAAAATCATGTGAATAAGAATTGAGATATTAGCAGATTCCAAGCTTGGGACCTCTAAAAGGCTTGTCAGAAGCAGCGTCGTTTGAACTACAGAAATCGGATCTATCTGGAGGGCGGGTAAAAAATTCAGAAAATCTTATCTGCTGCGTGTAAAAGGGGAGAAAATATCCAAAATAAGTAAAAATGAGAAAGGATTGGTAGCTATGTAGTTTGAATTTTCTGTTTCTCTTTGAAAATCGGTGAATTTTCTGAAAAAGCGGAATACTTAATAAAAAAAGTGAAATTTTTAGAAAATCTGAATTTTTGATAAAAAAGCTGAAATTCAAGAGATAAAAGTGAAAAAAGCGGAAAAATCTCATCCCTGATAAATGTAATTTTAGAGAATGAGAGTAAATTAGCTTAAAATTAGTTTGTAATAAATTAGTATCTTGAAAATAGGAAATAAAGACTATACTTTCTCTTTACATTTTATAAACAAACTTCAATTGAATATATTTATAAACCCCTAACACTCATTTAACCTGGTTGCATCATAGTATTCACACTCTTAATGTTTTAATTTGCCAGTAAAAACAGGTTTTCTAAGATTACTCCTCAGCAGTGTTTTTGTCAAATGCACTTGAAACCTTCTTCCGCTATGAAAACATTCTAAGATTAAGAAATTAAAGAACATGTTTGAAAACTTTAGATAGGGTACAAATTAGCAGCCAGATCTGCCCCTGAGGTAAATGATGCCCCATTAAAGCTTCAGTTCCTTTATTTTTAAACTAATAAAACTTCCTAGTCGATTTGTATTTGTATTGTAATGGTTAGGTTGTTCATTTTCTACCAGAGAGATGCGGCGTTTAAATCCCATTTGGGTTGATTGAATTTTGGTTCTAATTTTCTTTTCTAGAAAGATTGATAACTACTTGCAACGTTTTATTCAATAAATAAATTATTTTTTAATTTAAATTTTTTTTAAAAATTAAATTATTAAAAACAAAAAATTAAAAGATTTTATTTTTTAATTAAAATATATGAATTGTTTTAAAACATAAAAAAATTTATCTTAAATTTTTTAACTCAAATTCGTAATTTTTCAAAAAAATTATTAAATTTTAACACAAATTTTACGTAACAATATTTTTTGAATAATCCAAAGGAAATCTATTGAAAAAAAGAAAAATATATATAAATATGAAATTTTTTTTTGTTTTAAAATTCAGGGATGAGATTAGCCAAAACGCAAAAAAGCTGAATTTCCACGATAGTAAATTTTACGCAAGCGCAACTCTTTAATAATAAATTCCAGACAGTTTAAGGTAATAAATAATGTGTTGACATACAATTGTGTACTAATCTATTATTATAAAAACGATTACATTGATACTTAACATTTAGTGAAAAAAAAATTACCAATTGAAAAAATAAAGCTGGAAATTATATTTTTCCTCAGTTCACATAAGAGACAATTACTACTTGAAAAACTACCTGGTTTAGCAAATTAAAACTACTGAGAATATACATTAATATTTCATTTCTTTTAATAAATACTGTTATGTGATTTATAGCAAATATATCAGTAATATTACTTTTTAAATTATATTGGGAAAAAAAACTTTAACAATGGACCGAATCATTATGTTCATATTATAGTCTAATCTAACTAGAGCCCTCTGAAACATATCAATAACAGTGAAGTAGAAATATATAGTAACTCCTTAACATACAAAAATTGCTATTTTAGTTTGAAAAATTACATGACAATCAGCAACTGTTTAGATAATTGTTTTTTATTTGATAAGAATTTTGCATTTTATAGCATAAATAACAGCAATTATAAATAAAATTTTGATGATGAGTTAATTAACTCTTTTTCCACCAAATTTTTTTTTTAATTAAATCCCTTTTTAAGTGATTGCTTTTGTTTGCTATATCTTTTATGTTTGCTATATTTAGTCGTTAGTCCATCTTCAAACATCTTGTGACAAATCCTATTTTTTCTTCTTTGCAAGCACAGAATGTAAGTTTTGAATATATTCCCTTCCAGTTTCTCTGATGTTGTAACACTTACATATACTAATAATCGTCGTTAGAAAAACAGTCACCTTTATAGTAACTAATTTTAAAAAAATTTACTTCTTACAAGAATCGCGATAGTTGATCTTAAAATTGCGTGAATATGAATAACAATTATGGATTTTGAAATCACATGAATATGAAACTAGATATACGATTTTGAAAATGAGAAAATACAAACTGGGATATAGAATTTTTAAAACGCGTAAATACAAATCACGATTCATAATTTTTAGATCGCGTAAATACGAATCATGATGCGTAATTTTTAGATTGCATAAATAAGAATTATGATGCATAATTTTTAGAATGCGTGAATGCGAATCCCAATGCCTTATTTTAAAATCACGTATAAATACGAAAATCAATGTTTGATATTATAAACCGCATGAGCAAATCAAGACATTGAATTTTAAACTTGCGTGAATACGAATCGCTACATAGGTTTTTAAAAAGGCGTAAATACGAATCACAATATCGGATTTTTAAATCTCGTAAATAAGAATCGCAACGTACAATATTCAAATCGCGTGAATAAGAATCGCAACACGCAAATATGAAAAGCTATGTTTGATATTAAAATCGTGTGAATAAGAATCGAGATATTAGCAGATTCCAGGCTTGGGACCTCTAAAAGGCTTGTCAGAAGCAGCGTCGTTTGAACTACGAAAATCGGATCTATCTGGAGGGCGGGTAAAAAATTCGGAAAATCTTATCTGCTGCGTGTAAAAGGGGAGAAAATAGCTAAAATAAGTAAAAATGAGAAAGGATTGGTAGCTATGTAGTTTGAATTTCCTGTTTCTCTTTGAAAATCGGTGAATTTTCTGAAAAAGCGGAATACTTATAAAAAAAATTAAATTTTTAGAAAATCTGAATTTTTGATAAAAAAGCTGAAATTTAAGAGATAAAAGTGAAAAAAGCGGAAATCCACTAAAAAGCGGAAAAATCTCATCCCTGAAAATTTTAAAAAAGTTAACTTAATTAAAAAATAATAATTTATAAATTGAATAAAACATAATAAATAGTTATCAAGCTTTTTAGAACAGAAAATTGGCGATAAAATTCAATTGTCGCACCTGGGATTTCGGCCTCAACACCTCAATGGTAGAAGGCGGTCAACCTAAACCACTAATACACATCAGCTGGAAAATTTGTTGGTTTAAAAGTAAATGAACTGAAACTTTAATGGGGCATATTTTACAAAACAAACAGAACTGGCCACTAATTTATACCCTATCCAAGGTTTTCAAACATTCTCAATAATTTCAGCTTAACTTTGTTTTAATAGGAATTTCGAGATGTGTACTTCCCTAGTTAGTACATTCATTACTGAGGTGAGTAAAATTTAAAGGCATTGCAAAATAAATGAATACAGTAAAATTAAAGACTAGAATAAGATCTCCCCCGGGAAAACCTCAATTTTTTTAAAAATGTCACATAAAAACCTTTTTTTATTAAGTTCTTTCATTATGAGTCTGTAATATCTTTATGAATTATTTGATACAAAAATGACAAAATTCAGAACTATGCAATTATGAATTTGGCAAATAAACATGAATGCATTTATTTTAAGTCAAAATTTTTTCTGAATTTAGAAACATACCAAGTCTAGCACTTCATTTTTTAAAGATGAATGAACACCCATTATAAAAGGAGTAGGAGTACTTAGCACTTCCACTAAAGCTGCAGGCAGCAAAGGTATATATACATGACTGAAAAAAAAAGTGAAAGAATTACTAAACTGTTATCTAATAACAAATAAAAAAGTACAAATATTTAATGTGAAATCAGTTTAAGAGAAGTAGATTTCACTTGATACATTATATCTTCTATTAAGGCACTGGAGCTCGTTACAGGGCAAGGCAGCCCCAAGTAATCTTTGTGTCTGGTCCTATCCACAGCAAGGCTCTTCCAGTTTTCCTTATTTACTATATGAAAGTCCTACTCAACCAAGTCAAGCCACCTAATTGATGGTCTTCCTCAATTTCTGTTTCCCATGGGATTATCAGATTGGAATATATGTACAAGCTATTGCAGTCATTTTATGGTCAGGTTGGTCAATATCAGGTTGTTTATACTTTCGGTAAATTTCAAAGTTAAACAAGGATCTCAAACGATTATTCTCGTGAACTGCACCAAATAAAAAATTATATATCAAGACGAAATGCTAATCTACACTTGAGAGCTATGACAATGCTAGCTCTATGGTGAAAAGAAACTCTAATAAGTATATCTCCATAAATTTTGTTTCAATTTTAGTGAGTGTTTTTATTATAGAACACAAAAAACTCGAATGAAAATTTTGTTGTGATTAATTTCATTGCTTATAAAAACCATTTTATGCATTAATGAAACCTTTAAATTAAATCTTAAATTCCATTCTTGTCATAAAAACCTAACTACACATTACTAGATTTTAGTCAGCTGCATTAAATTTTAATATATAAATATAATATATAAAAATAATAAAATAAAAAAAAACCTTTTCAAAATGTAGGCTTGTGTTTATGAAATATTTCTGCAAGAAAATTTCATTTTCCTTATAGATTTAGCAAGATCAGCAGTGCTAGATTCCATTATAATAAAGAGAGTATAATAATTTAAAATAGATCAAACTTTATTTTTTCAAGACACGATGGAGATAAAAAATGTTTTCAGCTGAATCTTCTTACTGAATATGAGGATGTACTACAGTGAAAAATCTTGGAAATGACCACCCTCTGTTCCACAATAAAATGGTCAAGGTTGATCATTCTTAGAGGTTACCTCCAATGACCACAAAATGCTATGGAAAGTATATGATTTTTCGCAAACTTCAGTCGGCAACTTCAGTCGGCATCATTTTCTTGGGGCGAAAATGACACTTGGTGTCATGAAAACTAGATCGATGAATAAACTGTAGTGTCAATAAAAATGGTTCCTACTGATATGGTTATGTGTAAAAAAAATTTACCAATTATATTTGATAAAATTAATTTAAATAAACAATTATGTTTTTTGTTTAAGTCTACATTTAATTTTATATCACAAAATTAGTTACCTTTAAAGCTTGTTTGTTTCCAAAAATGGTAATTTTTCCAAAAACCATAAAATAAGCTTCAAACATCGAGGATTAACCTTAGAGTTTACGAAAGAATTGGAAATAAAGTTACAATTTAATAACCACACAAATAAATATGGTTTTTTATTTCCATTAAAAAAATTGCAAAAGCTAAATGTTATTTACAAATGAAAACATTGTACATGAAAACATTGTACATGAAAATAAGAGACTATTATAAATTCATAGTTACAGGGGTGATTGTGAGCCCATGTCAAAATTCCGGAAAATTTCTTGAGTTTAAAAAAAAAAAGACAGTTTAAATTGAAAAAAATTTAAACAAGGTTTTTTTTCTTCCTTTTTCTCAATATTTCTTAGTTTACTTAAAATATATTTAAAATTTTACACATACCNCAGATACTATTGGTGATTATAACATCTATTTACTGATAAAAAATGAATATTAATCATGAATATAAGCTTATAAAGTACCTCTCTGACTCTCCCTTACAAACAAATAAAATAAACTGTGTTTTTAAGTTCCACCTTTGAAAATTTGATTTCCGGAAACTTCTGTGATAAATGAATTTTTGAAACATTTGGACCTTCGATCTCCGGCAACTTCCGGATTACTGTTAGCGAAAATTCCGGAAATCCGGATTTTTTCCGGAGCACAATCAGCCCTGTAGTTATTAAAGGCTAATAAAATCCATAGTAGAAGATCCATAGTATAAAATCCATAGAAATTGCAGAAAAATCAATAATTGGTGCACCTTTTATTATTGTGAAAATAATTAAAATAAAAATTGAAATTTACGTTTTATATATTTATGAACTGTTATAACATATAAGCTATTAATGGCAACCTGTATTTAAATGGATACATAAGGGCAGTAACAGCATGACAAGCATCAGTCAGGCGAGAGTAGCTACTGGAATGGAACAAGATCTTGTGTTCTGTCATTGCAGCACAAAATAATGTGACAACATTGTGAATTCCTGCAGAAGAAGAAATTAAAAGATATCGCATCATAATATTATTCAAAATCAAAGGGGAAAAAATACTCAAGTTAATAATTCTGCACAATCAAAGCTCATTATATTACACTGTCCATTAGTCATAAAACTTAATAATCTTAAATAACCATCAAAAAGAATTTTACATTTTTCATTTCTACCATTTAAAAGTGGATAAATAAAATTGTCTAAGAACTAGAATATTTAAGAGTCATACCTTCTATACTTGCTGTTAATAAAGATAAAAAAAATTCTGACAGCATTAAAATAAATACAGGATGGTTAAAAAAATGTGTCAAAAATATAAAGAAAGGTAGAGATAACCTAAATAAGCATATCTCATACAAGAGTATGTGTGCAGAAATACCAGTTAAACCGTTAGAGAACTTAGTTATTTATTAATGAATGAAAATCCATGCACAGTTGTGAATCTTATATCACGGTTGGCATTCACTCTTTTGAGTGGTTATTGTAAACTATAATTGATTGCAATTTGATTATAAGCTGTGTATGTTCGTATAAAAATGTAGATGCGAAAATGCAGTGTAAAAGCGCTAGCATCTTTAGCAGTATTAATCATAAGTAAATAAAAATACAAGTTAGACAAAAGAAAACAATGATTTATGAACAGTTTACAATAGCTAACAATCAAACATTTTACAATAAAATTACAATCAATAACAGTTTACCATAGTTGCTCAAAAGGGTGATCATCAACAGCGCTACATGATTGACATCGACGCATGTATTGTAGTACATTAATAAGCAACAATACTCACAATCAACTTAACACAGCATTTCTATTAAAATTTTACTGTTTATTATTTCTAAACATTGATTTTAATTTATTTCAAATATTTTTATTGAATTGTATATTTATGTTACTCACATTATAGAAGATTTTTGAATTGTATATAATAAAAAATAGTGCGTCATACAAAATTATATTAATTAGAAAATTTAATTTATAATTAATTAGTAAAATTGACTAATTAGAAAATTGAATAAAAACAAAAAGAATATAATGGCTTGGATATCTGAAGTGAATGAGTGAGGAAAGAGCAACAAAGAAAATGCATAAAGGAAAATTAAAGGAAAGGTGGGATGCCCTAGAAAAAGATGGCTTGATGAGGTAGAAAGAGATCTGGAAAAACAAAATCAAAAATTGGAGGAAAAAGGCCAAGGACCGAAAAAAGTAAAGTTATGTGGTAAAGGAGGCCAAGATCCTTCATGAATTGTAGAACCGAGGAGTAAATAGTAAGTAAGTAAAATCACCTCTACCTGCTTTTACATTTTTGACATATATTTTTTAAGCATCCCGTATTTATATATCAACTGTATATACGTAACTATACTATAATCAAAATATTTCTGTCAATGTTTAGTACAATAACAACTATACTTAGACACAAAAAAAAAATTTCCTGTTATATGAAAGGTACAATAAACTAAAATCCCCATTCAGGTTTAGCAAGTCAAAATCAAAACAAAAGATATCATCCTGAATATCTTTTTTTATAATGATATCATTTGTATAACACACTAATATCAAACTTAGTCATTTAAAGGGTTAATTAGAGCTAACTATTAACTAAATAACAAAATAAGACACAAAAATAGCATTTCCCTTCAAAAACATACCTTTTTTTGATGAATTTAAATTTTTGATCATCAAAATAATGCTAGTGAATAATCAAAAAAGTTGAAATTTGCAAATGTGGCCCTATACGCGAAAAAACAGTTAAAAGTTTGGGTCCTAACTTTCTTTTGGCATTTTTCACCATACCTCTAATATTTTTAAGCTATTAAAAAGCTTTTTACTGACAATTATAAAACTCATTTATTTGAAAATAATTCCATGCCAAAAATGATTTTAAGAATTATTTTCTTATTATTTTATTTAATAATGGTTAAAAATATTTTAAACTAAAAAGCTTTAAAGTTTTGATATACTTTTAAACAACAAAACACAAATTGAGACTAAAATTAATTAGTTTCTGAGAGTCACAAAATTTTTAAAAAAAAGTCTGGTTTTATTTCTTATGAACTGTTTGACTGATTTTGCTTACATTTATACATTTAAAAATTAAATACTTGAAAATGGCATAAGAGATTGTATTTCTAGCAATTCAAAATTTTTCAACCAATATTAAATAAAATGAAAACTATAATAAATAATTATTAGAATTTTAAAGAAAGTCTTGTCGCATTACTAACAGAAATTAATAATCACACGCAAAAAATTTTTTAGTTGGCTTAAAAAATTTCAAAGATAAAGCGAAAATAAGTGAAACTAGCATTAAGCAGTCTAAACTATGGAACACTCGTCTGAGCTAAGCTATTGAAACCATATTTTCTAGGTGCATATGGTCCCTGTGTGTGTGTGCGTGTTTGAATTCATCCCCATAATAACACGATGATTTAGAATTGCTAATTGAGTTCTTTTTTCAAAAGTGTTCATTGTTAATTGAGAATAAAAGTTTATAATAATGAATCCTTAGGGTAAAGCCATATATATGAACTATTGATAGACAATTCCTAAAATTGAACTATTGAATTACGGTATTTTTACAATCATTATTAATTCAAATTAGAAGAAGTTGGATCAAAAATATAAAATCTTCAAATCGATTATTTTAAAATCTACATTTGTACATGTAGAACACACCCAAAAATCAAGAATATAAGAGCACAAAGATAAAAATTAGAACAAATAAGGGCAGAATGTTTTTTTTATCGGGAAAATCACCAACACTATGGTCGTTGGGCAAGTCTAATGTATTGGGGGCGGGAAAGTAATGTCGTTTCGGGCATTAAATATTCGTTAGTCTTAAAAACAAATTCATTTTTTTCCCTGATCTATTTCGGTTCATTTCCGATCTGGCACTGAAAGGTTGTTGCTAACGAGGGTGAATGCATTATTGATTAAAATTAAAATCTTGACATCAAATGCACAGAATATCAAATCAGAATCAAATGCACCGAAACGACATTACTTTCCAGTCCCCCAAATAATAACCAAAGCATACTAAAATTCCAGTTTGAAATTGACTACAAATAAATTTATTTTTATGCATTCTAACAAAAACAACTAAAAGTTAAGGCCATAGAAAAAAATATGCAAAAAGCAAAAAAAATTTTACAACACGTAAAACAATACAATATAAGCGACAATAGCATACTTGATTAATTTTAAAAGCGAGACATGCACACTAAAATAAGCTGAAACAAAAGTTTTCATGAAAATTATATGTAACTAAATAAAAATAAGATACATTACCAAGTTCTTCAAATAACTGAAATACTGTGGTACTAGTTACAGAAAGAGTAGAACTTAAAGGAGGTTGGAGAGCTTGTCTATCTCCAGCACCAATTGAAAATCTAACTTGTGGTCCACCTGGTAAATTAAAAAAGAAAATGGACTACCAAACACAGTTGATCATAAAACTTGTAAAACAACAATGGTTTTAAAAAAAATGTTTCTGCTCTTCAAGCATAGAATCCCTGACTGACTTTTCCATGAAATAACATGAAGATAACTCTGATTTTCTTTATGATGGAAAACAATCATTTTATCATACAAAACATGCATTTTAAAATGGATAAAATACAAGCAATCAGCTTAAAGCAATATGTCTGTCACTAGCAATAGAATATTGTTTATGATAAATTAAGCATTAAAATTGAGCATATCTTAAGATATTTTCAGATATATATATTTTTTTTTTAAAAAAAATATAACACAACCTTAGTACCTTGCACCATCTTATTCTCTTATTTGGAAAAAAAAAATATTATTTTCTTCAAAATGTCTAGGTATTTCTCACAGATGTTACATGATTTTCATATTTGAAAGGGATCAAATATGTTCAGCCTTATTTTTATTAATATTGTATTCCAAATATTTGACCATTCGGTAGGATATTGCTTTCTCACATTATCTACTACCTCTACATTTCCTAAAACAGGCCTTCTTATTTCCTGGAACAGGAAATAAGCATGCTTTGAACAGAAATACCAAGCTGACCAAAAATTTGATATTCAAGAGATTTAAATGCTAAAAAAAGGCTGTCAGTTTTTATTTTATTTTTTTGTGAATTATTTCTGGCTAATGCAGTGTTTTATTTTAATAAAAGTATTTTTTTTTATTGCAACAAAACAAATGAAAATAAAACATACTAATAAATTTTATAGGAGAATGCTTTAAGATCCTCATTTTACAGACTTGACTAAATGAGAATATTAATAATTTCTATTGAAGATTGAAAAAAATATTTTCACACAACTCAAATAACAAAACAAAAAAAATTCTCTATAGAAAGCAGTAGAGTTATGAAAAGTTCATTGAAATGACAGATTGTTAGCTGGTACGAAGCATTTATTTAACATGTAAAACTTTAACATAGTTTTTAGAATAGTTTCTTACTACAATTATTAGTATTTTTATCGAGCAAAAGTTTGGTAGTGCAAAAAGAAGCTTTTGTTTTTCTAATTTACAATGATTATAATAGCTATATATTATCATTTTATCTGGTCCTCAAAAACTTAAGATACTGAGCTGAACTTTACTACTATACAATACAAAATTTTCAGTGAATTTTAATTGCACAATTGTGAAATTGAACATTTTAATAGTAAAAATAACTAAAATAATTATTTCATAGAAAGGTAAAACATTACCGAGTTTATGTTAAAACATCAGTAAAAAAATTATTATTACCTGGAGGAGGTACTTGAATACAGCCTAATATGTTGCCAATTAATGTTTCTACTGGAACAGATATTGTATCTATATACACAGTATAAATTATGCCTAAACAATTCTGTAAAATAAACATACAAGAATTTTATTTCTTAAATAAATGAAAACACAACTAGACATAATAACAAAAAAAATTACAAATTTATCTCGTTAATATGTACATTTATCAATCAGGCAACTTTAAAAATTAGTGGTATAAAATATTTACTTGATTAAACAATCAAAAGCTATTCCAGCAAAAATGTTAACAGATCTGATAAACATTTCTTTAGTAAGCAACATTACTGGTTTAAGATATGCTCACTGTAAAACTACTGCATTTAAATATAAATTTGTATAATTTAAAGAAATGTGTGCATAGAAAATTCAGTACTTTTGATTTGCATAGGCACTTAATTAAAGAAAAAATCAGCCACAACTGTAAGTCACATGTTATTACAGGTTTATAATTTCTAATTAAATTCATGTTAACGTTACATGTGATAATTTAATAATGCTTATAATTATTTAAGTTAACTTATTAAAATAAAATTTAATAAAATATAACTGTTACTAAAACAGCCTACACGATAGCAATGCAACTTTATCTACTGCAACCACAATATCACCAGGCCAAGTGCCAACCTTGCCATAAAGCTCTATTGAAGGCCTCAAAATGCAAAAGATGTATATATTTTAGGATAATTTTAGTGCAAGTGCTTATGCGAGAAGTAAAATTTTAGTGATAATGCTTATAAACAGAAGTAACATTGACACACATTAGCACTGGTTGCGTAGGCCAGTTGACTAATTGTCTAAAACAATTATTAAAAAAAAATTCTGTTTCACTTAATTACTTTATTTCATTAAGATGCAAATTATCTAATTAACATGTCTTTTTAACTAGTGATTCACTAAAAAAAAGATACGGATCTTTTTTAGAAATCTTCTAAGAAATTCTCATACGAGTACTTTTTGTACAAATGTGAAAAACAAATACTGTCTGTCCATCTCAATATGAGCCCTACCCAGACATTAGACTTGTTGTCTGGCATTCATCTTTGTGTTGAATAGACAGTATGGCAATCAAGTCAATATAATCATAGGAGAAAAACTAGTAGAAAAATTTGGGTAATATTGCCAACTGACAAAATGACTTGAATAAAAAGAAACATTTATTCATAAATGATAATGATTTATGTTTATTGGTAATAACTACTTTGTTATGTTTATTAGTAATAACGACTTTGTTATGTTTATTGGTGCTAACAAGAATTATGATGTCCCTAAAACAGAGTGTTACAGGTAATGTGTAATATATCTCAATATATAGCAGAAATAGAAAGTAATAAATAAATAAAAAATTGAGTTTAATATAGTGAATAAAAATTTACCCGAAAGGTAGAAAAGTAATCTAGCCTTGAAACTAAAACCAGACATTTGGGAGCATACATAATGGAATGATGCTGTACCAGACCCCCAGATGGCTCCACTGCTTCCTCTTCAACTTCTTCATCAGGAGGTTTACTAGGTGTGATTGCAACAGGTTCATTAAAAGACAAACAAGCACAATAATGACGATTCGCATCAATATCGGTAAGCACAGATACAAAGAATGCCGGCTGTTGACGTACTGTTGACAGATTCCACCCTTGTGGCTGGCAAAACTGTAAAAGAATTCATTATAAATCAAATGAGCACAAATTTATAATTTTACATAGCTATGGAAATTATAGTTAATTAGATAACATGAAATAAGATAAATTACAATTGCATATTTTTAAATCAAAAAATCGAGCAATTACAAGACAATATAAAATAAATGTAAAAAAAGAAGGGAAAAAAAGAAAATTTGAAAAAAAAAACTTTGATTATAATGATTTTTAAAACAATAATTTGCTTAGGTAGATACGAAATATTTATAAACAAATGCACAAAATAAAAAAACATTAAACTTTTATCCTAATGATCATATTTTATTGTTTAAAAATTAAAAAAAAAGGTATGTTTATTCATAGAAAGTACATTTTTGTTACTGATTTTGCAATTTGAAATTAGAGATGTACGAAATCCTAAAATTTTTTGGGGTCCAGGTACCAGATGAAAATTGAATCTTTTACCAAGCCAGTTCTAAGAACCAGATAAATATTGGCTTTATTACCTAGCCAAATATTAAAACATTTATGCACAAAAATATAAAAATCGTTATAATTTTCTAGCAAACAATTATTTTACAAGATATAGCTCAAAGAAATCTATTCTACACTAATATAAATAAAAGCATATAGTTTCATTTTCAGATTTTTAAAAAAAATAAATTTCCAAAAGAAATTTGAGTTGACTGTTCGAATGTAAAGTGATTAATGTAAAACTTCACAGGAGACATTCATAGATAGTTGATTTTTTAATTAAATAAATTTTTAATAGCATTTATTAATGTAGCTTCTGCTTAATGTAGGATATTTTATAAATAATGGTACATTAAATGTTTCAACTATCAAGGTGCTACTTTTAATCATGCGATAACTATAAGCAATGATATGGGAGATCTGTTTTAGTACAATCTCTCAAACTTTTCAAAACTCGGTGAGAAATTTTTTTTCTTCTATTGTTCGAAAAGGTTCTGAACAATACTGATAAATAGGGAAGCTAGATAACGGGGCAAATGTTGAAACGAATGAAAGATCCAGGAAGAAAAGTGAAACTGATTTTATTTTAAATGGCATAAATCGGAGCTTTTTCCAAAATGCGAGAAATTCGTGAATTTTGAAATTGATTTATAGAATGCGCGAATTTCTCGCGGTAATAATTTTTTAATGCGAGAAAAGAAAAAAATATGCGAGATTCTCGTGCTGTAGTGAAAACACTGGATTACTTAGAACCCGAGTCCTCCCAAGATATATGTCAGATGAAGGCCAATTTTGTGGCCTCATTATTAGTCCTTTGCTGCCCAAACAAGGAAATCAGTCATTAAAACTTTGTTGTCACAATTAATAAATTTTACATTTTTTATAGTTAATAATTGTACCAAACATTTCCAAAACTACATATATAAATAGTTTTAAGGTTCTGTAATTCAAAGTACGGCTGTGAGTGTCAAACATAAGTGTTATCCGGTAAAATTGGCCAGGTCCAGGTACACGGCACTGATAATTGTGACAAAAAAAAGAAAAAGAGTTGCCCGTACAAAACTCCTTTGCCTGATCTGGATAATAAGCAGGTATTGAAAATCTAGCAGGGTAAGACGGGTATTTGCCAGGTATCCTGTACATTTGCATCCCTACTTAAAATATTAACTGTAACACAATAATTAGCATATTCAAGGATCATACATTATATATTACATCATTATGCTTTTAAGGTTAGGTACATTAGCACATTACGANTTTAATTGATCACTCCGATTCTTGAACAAGAAAAATCGATTCAAAGTACGTCAAGTCCGCCATAGACTTTACATGTTAAAAGCAGAATTGAGGAGTCTGCTTGGTGCAACACTTTTCTCCCGGCAACCACGATTCATGACCCTGATTTTCTGCTCTTTTGAGCGCGCCCCGTGTTCTTTGTTCGCCAAGCCCTTAATAATAGTGACTAATAATTGAAACAAAATTCTAATTTTTTTCTTTTATATATTTAAATAACAAAAATAAAAAATAACAAGAATATTATGTTATTAATACTTACAAGTTCAATGCCATCAATAAAAGGTGTATCATCCCAATCTAGTTCTGGGAACCTTTGTAAGACTTTGCCAGAACTCAAGCCACTTCCTGCCAAAACAATAATAAAATAACAAATAAAGTTATGGTAAAAGATTAAATTAACACATAACACACAAAATTAAAGTAAGGTAAAATAACACATAAAATTAAGGTGAAATTTAAAAAAAGGTAACACATAAACATAAGGTAAGGTTATTTCCGTTTAAAAAATTAAACATTCCATTTCTATTTAATAATATTGGTTAAAATGATGCTGAAGCTGTTTAATTTAGAAAGATATTAAATATATTTTTAACTCCCAATTATGTATATGGAGTTTTTTTCTCTCATTATTTTAACTTTACTAAAAACATTAAACAATATTAATAATCAGGGGTCTGTCCAGGGTGAATTTACTACCGTTTAGCAGTACTTTCACAAATTCAACTTTAGGAAAAACCAGGGCTCGAAAAACCGCCCGTTCTCCCGTCCTCGGTGGTCAAAAATTCCCCGTGGACAATGAATTCCTCGAATCCGACGTCCGCGCGGACGGCCATTTCCCCGTTAATGTTTGTGATACATTTTCGATTTTTGTTATCTTACAAGAGTCTAGCGTAGCGCCTCACTTCTAAAATGACTCTCTAATCTAGAAATCCTGTTAATTCCTTCGTCAGACCAAATGCAGCAAAATGACCCACAATACAGCAACATACTGCGCATGGTGGAATTGATGTTTTCTCCGTCTGNATTAGCACATTACGAGAAGATATTGCCCTATTCCCTTAATAATAGTGACTAATAATTGAAACAAAATTCTAATTTTTTCTTTTATATATTTAAATAACAAAAATAAAAAATAACAAGAATATTATGTTATTAATACTTACAAGTTCAATGCCATCAATAAAAGGTGTATCATCCCAATCTAGTTCTGGGAACCTTTGTAAGACTTTGCCAGAACTCAAGCCACTTCCTGCCAAAACAATAATAAAATAACAAATAAAGTTATGGTATAAGATTAAATTAACACATAACACACAAAATTAAAGTAAGGTAAAATAACACATAAAATTAAGGTGAAATTTAAAAAAAGGTAACACATAAACATAAGGTAAGGTTATTTCCGTTTAAAAAATTAAACATTCCATTTCTATTTAATAATATTTGTTAAAATGATGCTGATGCTGTTTAATTTAGAAAAATATTAAATATATTTTTAACTCCCAACTATGTATATGGAGTTTTTTTCTCTCGTTATTTTAACTTTACTAAAAACATTAAACAATATTAATAATCAGGGGTCTGTCCAGGGTGAATTTACTACCGTTTAGCAGTACTTTCACAAATTCAACTTTAGGAAAAACAGTAGTTTCACAAAATACTTTTAAAAAAGCAAGTTCTATGATTCTCCTCTCTGCTTCTTAAAACTTTGTTTTTGTATCCCCGTAAAAAAAACGATAAATTCCAGGTGAATTAAGCTGAATTTTTTAAAATGAAACAATGAGGATCTCCCTCTATAAACTTTACAGGAAGTCGAAATCAAAAAATTATCTTTAACATTATTGTAAATTTATTCTAACTGACCTTTACTTTTTTATGAAGCATTTTTTCCCCAATGAAGTTTTTGTCTGTATGAGCTAGTCGAAAATGTTATAATGAAAATAGCTTTTAGTGCTAGGGCTGTTAAATGCATAGTTTTATTAAATTTAAGTTGAATTCTAACTATCAACAATGATTTTTATGGATTTTTAAATTTAGATACAATTTTAAGGCCAACATTTTAGAATAGCATAATTGTTTTTGAATATATGAGAAAAAATGTATAGAAATTTACCAGTCATAAATGATTTTTATTTGTAATTAACAAGTTTTTAAAATATTTTCTTACTTTACCGTATTTTTGTGTTGGTTTCTTAACATAATTTTCAATTTTCACAAAATAGGCACCTCTCGAAAAAATCTAGAAAGGCCCCTGATAATAAAAATTAAACATATCGAAGCCATTACTAGATGTTACATGGCTCCTAGTATAAAGCATCACTTATGATTTCAATAAATTTCTGCATAATTAATTGAAATTAATAATAAATTTTTTTTTTAATTCTAATTCTCTTAGAATGAAAAATTCCCATCTTCAACAATTTTTTTTTTTTTTACGTCTAAATGTATTTTTAGTTATAGGACCATTGTTTAATCATTATTAATATATGCAGGATTTTGGAAGGGAAAAATCTTGGGCTTATATTGTTCTTTGAAGTCTTTATTGGCAAGTGAAACAACACTTTATAATTTTTGAGATATACTATTTTTATAATTGTTGTGAGTTTATAACGGTTGATTATAACTGCTAATTTTCCCAGCTTAGTATAAAAATGTCAATAAGAAGGAAAACCACAATTTCGTAGAAAATTAATTAATAATATACTCAATCTACCCTTTTAATTTTTTTTAATCACTTTAATGCTGCATTGTTTAAGGTTATAAAAATATTGAAACACTTTAGAACAATTCACTGATTTTATTGGTTTGATATAGGTAAAAAAATTAAACAATTTTTAAAGTTAAATATTTAAGCTATTTGTCCCTTTTAAAAACCAGACAATTTTTTTACAATATAGTAATAGTTTCAAATTAAAGCTTGTTTGCAAATTTAAGAAACTCAAACTGTGACTTTTAAATTTCCCCTGGCAATTTTACATATCAAAGCAGGTGTTATTGCATATTTAAGTTTTGAAGACATGCTTAATAAACATGCTTAAGTAAACATGTTTAACAGATTATATATTTTAATACAGTGTGCCTTAACTTTTTATGACAAATTTATCAATAAAAATTATGTCAACAAATAATAAAATTTATGCTTATAGCTTATTATTTCATACCATGTTTACATTTTGCAATCATTAAAATTAAAAACAATTTACAAACGGTACTTACGTATTAACGCAACCAGGCCAAAATTCGGATAAATCGCCAAATTTGGCAACCCTACGTGTTTTTAATAAAATAATACGTGGTTTAAACAAAATAATACAAAAAACTGTATTTGTTATGAGAAATAATGCACTATGTGATGTAATAATATGTAATCTAAAAGGTTATTAAAATATATGCTTATAATTTTGTTTATAAAATACTTTGTTTTATAAAAAAAAATTGATTTCAATTTTTTCTACTTACGCCAAATTTGGCGATTTATGCGAATTTTGGCCTGGTTGCGTACTTTACAGACTACAGAAAAAAATTTCTCAAAAAATCCTTGCTCGGATGCACGTCTCACAGCTTTTAATATGTTTAGTTTAAAAATAAATGCTCATTAAATATATATTTCAGTCAAGTTATCAAAGCACAAGATGTAAAAATTTCATTGCAATATGAAAAATAAACATTATTGTTGATTTATTATTAATCATTCACTGAAAACACTGTTAAACTATTGCACCAAAACTTAAAACTCATTTCAGTTTATATAGCAAAATAAGTATACACTTTGCTTGCTAATTTAATTCTAATTGGAAACTTTACTAAAAAGAACCAAAGCAAAAATTAAGTTTAAAAACTGTGAGGCATCAATTCATATTATAGACGTCAAATTTATAAATAAAATAATTTCTGAATGCAATTGTTTTGCATCTAAATGTTGAACGAAAGTATAGTTCTATGAAACGTATAGTACTATAAAAAGAAATACGCTTAGCAGCTCAATCTATTATAATATTACATTCGGAAATACTGTTTTTTTGTTTAAACCCGGTAAACTACTTGTTTACAATGCTTTAGTACATAATGTAATGCAATACTAGATCATAACAAACACTGATTCCTTTTTTTTTCTTTGGGTGGTTTTATAATTTCTTGGAATCATACAGTAATAATTATTGACAAAATTAAAAGTTTTATAAAACAGAAGTTCGTTACACATTTAAAACCTTTGAATAGTAAATAAACTATGCAATGCAGGGTCTAAGATCATTGTGTTTGGAGATTTATTTATGAAGTATGAGTCACCATTATTTGCTAAGAGAACTTTTTTTTCCCCTTCAAATACTGATCATAAGAACAGGATGAATACTTTATTCAGAACCACTTACGCTCTTTATCGTGGTCGAAGCCGACTACTACAAAGTAGTCAGCTAGGCGTGACATGACTCCCACGCTAGACAAAAATTTGTTACTCCCAACATAATCATCGTGAAACCTCCATTTTTTGAAAAATTATCACTTTATTTGACATCCCGTTCCCATGCTTGTTAGCAGACAACTTTAAGTAAAGAAAGAAAATTAGCTTAGTAGATTTCCATCTTTTCAAATATAAACATTTACATGAAAGGTTGAAAAAGTTTGAGAATTACTCCGCTAGATGACAGGATTAAAAATTTGCAGAAGAGTTTCTCTCCACTGAGTGCATTACACTAGAATGCGCCATCTTGTGATCATTGTACTAAACTGCAAGAGAAGTCTCTTTCGTTATGACTAAGAATAAAATATATTACAAAACATGAAGACTAGATTTATGATTACTCAGTCATAAAGTGCAGAAATGTAGAAAATATTTTTAAAGATGTTAAATATCTTTCTTAATTATAATGGAGAAAATAGAATTGCAAGTTTGTTTTGTCATTATTTTCCATAACTTGCACTTAAAAGGTCCATATATTAAAGAACTGATCTAACTTTTACCCAATTGTCGAAAATAAATTTTTATGTCGGGGGAGAGGTAAAAAAGATCTTTTAATAAGAAGAATTAACAAATAGGGTATACAAATCACAATTCTACTCAGTATTCTCATCGGGAAAGTTCGATCTCCTGTCGAGAGAAAATATTAAAAAAACTTTGTGAAATTCCATTTAGTTGAGTTCAATTGTCTTTTGTATTATCATACGCAAAGCTTATTCCTAAATTTTCTATTGGTAGAGCAACCCTAATTTCATTAATTGAAGCATTACATTGCATGACTGCGAAATTTAAAAATATGTGTCATAAATTTTTCATTGTTTTTAGCTGCTCTTTAAATATTAAATTATTGTGGATCCCGCAGTGGACTGATAGTTAAGACACGGTTCCCAGCAGATCACCGAAGTCAAGGATCACTGGCTACGGTCAGTGTGCGGGGTGACTACTTGAATCAGTCTGCGTAGGGACCGAGGGTGTGCGGTATTAATCTTCGTTAAACTGTTCTACCGTAAAGTGCTTGACTTCACGTGTAGTTCGTCGGGCTACCGAAGCGGGGGTGCCATCCCCTCTGTAGAGGATCAAAATCGTGATGGCATGTCTTCGGATCATCTATAGCGGGGTTTCTCAGACCGTCGCCAATAGCCCATCGTGCAGCTCTAGTGCGACGTAAATTAACTACCACAACAACAACAAAGTATTGTGGTCCTAGCATGGTTTGTGTGATAAGAGATTTGAGAAGACTTTGGTTTGAATCCCGGTGATACCAGATCAATCTGTATTTTGTTTTCTTCCTTTGTTTAATCTGACAGCAGTGCGCACTGTTATCGCTAACATGCTTAAAATACCTCCACTATAGTGAAGTTTGTCCTCAGGCTTGAAAAAGTGTTCTCTTGTACTACTAGTTGGGATTAAAAATTTCTAAGCTAAGAAAGATAAACATTAACAAAAACTATGTACGAATTAAATTAAAGAAAGTAGCTAAATTCTTGTAATAAATTACTTAAATTCAATTTTTTTTTTACTTAAAAAGAATGCCGTATGAAAAGATATGTCCCTATAATCACTTCGAATTACCTTACTTTCACTTTTTGAAAGTAGACTGGGAAGTTAAACCCACCCAATACTTTTTTTGTGGTTAGAAAACGAACAATTAATATTTGTTCTCCTTTATATGTAATAAAACTTTAAAAATGCACAATCATCACTCAATTTGAATTTTATAAAAAAGGACAAAATATTAAAGTCTGAATAATACTTGATCAGAGAAAATTTTTACATTATATACAATTAATATCGGACAATTTCGATAAACCCTTTATTTCTGCAATATTTTATTATTTTAAATCAAAATTCCGTTCTCTTTGCTTAGTAATTCTTCAATATTAAAAAAACTTTAGTCAATTTAAGACTCTAGTATTCTCAAAAAGGAAAGAGATTACAATAAGAAGTTCTAAATTCTAAAATCTGAAGACACGAAATTCTAAATTTCATGCGTTTGTGCTTTATTTATGCTAAATGCACGTTTTGTTCTAGAGCAAGGGTTTCCAACTTACATGAGGCCGGGGGCCGCAATTAAAAACACCGGTCGAATGGCGAGCAGCAACCTTATAAAAAATTTATATAGAACTCTTTTATGTTTGAAGGAACATTAAATATTACTGTCAGATATTTATCAAGTAGTACGAAACAAAAGTATTGAATTACAAATTAAAATAAGAAGTAAATTTTTTCCTGAGAAATAAATATTTTTGCACCGTTGGTTTTTTACATTTCACAGAAACGAAGAAGTTAGGTTTTTTTAGCGAAAGAAAAGTATTTTAAGCGCATATAGATTTTTTGCGAAAATTGTCAGTAAAAAAATGACAACTAATATATTTTAGTTCACCAGCCACAAAAAAAGCTTCGCGGGATGGATATGGCCCTCCAGTTGGTGGAGTAACAATCATCGCATTGTAATCATTCTTAGCAAAAAGAAAAGAAAATTCAGCGCGTCGGCAAACATGAAAAAATAATCACTTTTCATAAATATAAAACTAACAACAATTCTCTAACAACAAACTCTAAACAATTACAGTTAGTTTAAATGACTAAAAAAATAAAAATAAATCTGCAACCAAGCTTTTTCACTACATTCACCAAAAAGAAAGGAAAAAAAAACAGAGTAGGAACCAAACTTAAACTTGATTATATTTCTACAGAGTATTTGCTAAAAATGGAATCATAAAAACCACTAGAAAGACACCAAAAATCTCCGAAGTCAATTTTCAACCAACACTGACCTTTAAATTTTAACATTTCATTATTAGGCTAATTATTGAAAATTAATATATCCATTTTGTTCAGCATATAATTTCTTTGACGATTTGTCTAGTGATAAAATTTCTGAATGAATCAACTACACTTATTTAGAAAAACATTTCAAACTATGATTTTTAGAAAAGCTAATAAATAAAGATGTATTTGATTTGTAATCTGATGTTATTTTTCATTTAAAGAATATTTTTTTTCGCAAACTGTTAGTTGTTGTTGTTGTTGTAGTTCATTTACGTCGCACTAGAGCTGCACAATGGGCTATTGGCGACGGTCTGGGAAACATCCCGGAGGATGATCCGAAGACATGCCATCACAATTTTGATCCTCTGCGGAGGGGATGGCACCCCCGCTTCGGTAGCCCGACGACCTGCGCGCGAAGTCGAGCACTTTACGGTAGCACAGTTTAACGAGGACCAATACCGCACACCCTCGGTCCCTACGCAGACTGATCCAAGTGGGTCACCCACCCGCACACTGACCGCAGCCAGTGATGCTTGACTTCGGTGATCTGCTGGGAACCGTGTCTTAACGATCAGCGCAAATTGTTAGTAAATATAGTATAAGTGAATAGATTCTCTTATAATAAATACAATAATGCAAACAAGTTTAAAACTAATACTACATATTAAATTCTTGAAGAAAGATCAAAGATTAAAATAAGTAGATATATAATTTAGAAAACGTAATTGTCAAAATGAAAGAAGAATTCATTCCTTTTCAGAAACAACGCTGTGAGCTCTAGGAAAGAGGTCACGACCCCCAAGCGAAGGGAGAACGATTTTGCGAGGTTAGGATTTTGTTTTACTATCGGACGGGGGTATAGAATAGACTCTGGGGAATAGTGACGTCACCGTCTATGTTCGAAGGCTGCAAGTTTAGGGCCGCTCAGGCTTTATCATGAATCAGGCATTGAGGAAGAACCAAAGACACGCAATCACGATTTTGATCCTCTACAAAGGGAAAGGCTCCTCCGCTTCGGTAACACGACGCGCATAGTCGAGCACTTGACTGTAGAATAATTTTACGAGGACGATACCATGCACCATCGGTCTATAAGCAGGCTAACCAAAGTGGTCATCCACCCGCTAATCGACAGCAACCAATGATGAGTAAATAAGTGATTTTCTGGGAATCCTGTCTTTACGATCAGTCCACTGCGGGATTAAAGTAAAATAAAACGTGAAATTGTCATAAGAAAAATACGTAACTGCAAAAAATAAATAATCTACAACTAATTATTACTTTCTCCTTCTATACGCTAGTGCAAATAATAATAACAGTAATGTTATCTTTGAAATATAATAACTCAAAAGCTAATTACTGCATCAATAGCATTTTTATGTAAAAATGCTTCTTAGCTTTTTTCAGATCGAATACAGATCTAAGTATATTTTAAATATATATTTCTCACCTTTCACTTTTTAATGTTTAAGTTTAAAGAAATTTATAATTTAAATTTTTAAAAAATTTATATATATATATATATATAATACAAAAATTAAATACTTTTGTATTAATAAAAGCATTAAAACTTCATTCGTTTTCATAAAATATCTTTAGTAAAAGATAAGGGTAGAAATTCTATTTTGGGACTTCAAGGCTAAAAACATGCCAATGAATAATAATTAGATTTATACTTCAANTGCACACTTACTCGTGTTTGCACGGAAAAAAAACCGCCATTCCTTCTCTAAAGAGTTGTCATTATGGGACGGTGAAGTTTAGTTCCTAGTTGAGATCAATCTTTTCTGATGCAGTTCTAAGAAGAGCAATCCTAATTTCATGATGAAATTTTAAATGAGTCAACTTTCTGTTTTTTCATTGAGTGCTAAAATACAAAAATTTAAATATAAAATTTATAAATGTAAAAGCCAGCAGCAAAAGTAGCCATATTAAATGCATTAATAACTGGATTCCACCATCATTTCATTTTGTGAAGTGTAGGCTGCTAACTGCCAAACATTCCATCCCATCCATTATCTTAACCCATTCCATACGTATTAAAATTTTCACATTTATTTAAAAAATGACCAAATGTGATTCTTTTCAATCAAAAGGAATACACTATGAAAAGGTTCCCGGATAACACTTTCTAAGACAGCAGTGACTCTGCCAGTAATTTTCTTTTTCAATTTAGAGAAACAATTTTTAAAGTTGAGATATAATAGAAAGTACCGCAGATTAGTAGCATAACAGAATAAATTGATGGTAGATAGATGAGATTTAAAAGACGTCAAAGTTTAAAGTTTTTGAATTTGTATATATTCTCACTGAATCCTAGAATCTGATTCCGATCAATGATCCATCCGATCGATGTCCCGCAGTGAACTGATCGTTAAGACACGTTTCCCAGCAGATCACCGAAGTCAAGCATCACTGGCCACGGTCAGTGTGGGGTAGGTGACCACTTGGATCAGCCTGTGTAGGGACCGAGGGTGTGCGGTATTGGTCTTCGTTAAACTGTTCTACCGCAAAGTGCTCGACTTCGCGTGCAGGTCGTCGGGCTACCGAAGCGCGGGTGCCATCCCCTCTGCAGAGGATCTAAATTGTGATGACATGTCTTCGGATCATCCTCAGGGATGTTTCCCAGACCATCGCCAATAGCCCATTGTGCAGCTCTAGTTCGACGTAAATTAACAACAACAACATCCGATCGATCCACGCGCTCGTAAGAATTATTTGCGTATACGAAAATCATATGTAGACGTAATTGCACTGGCGAATTGGAAAGAGCGAGAATGACATATACGTAAATTAATCAGAGATTATTCTCATTGCAACCAGTCCAGTCAATGTGGAGTTATTTAAATTGTACCGATTGCCTCCGAAAAGGCCAATCTCACTTGACGCGAATTTTTTGAATGAGTCTAATTAGCGAGTTTTACGTGGGTAAATATTTTTCCTTTATCTAACTTTCCATTTTGGTATGAGAAAAAATTGCATCCAGTGAGGTATACGCTTTAAAATGGAACCATTCTCACTTTATGTGCGCACGTGATTCAGCTATTGCTCGCCCATGCACGAATCGCTTTTACGCGCGTGTACTTACCTGTGCGAATCGGAAGCAGTGAAATAAGTCCTTTAAAACCATTCACACTGCTTGTAAAAAAAAATCACAATGATGAATTTTCAGGGGTGAACGCGAACATGATTGGTAAAATATCTGTGGCCGAAATCACATAAGCACTCTTTTTTCTCATGCCATGTGAATGGCCCTTCGCAAGACATTCTCACTGCTTTCAAAAATCCAAGGATGCGAATTCGGATATGCGTACCAGAGCTTGATTCGCGAGATTATTGTGGATAAATATTTCTCATATCTCACATTCATATCTCCGAATTCGCTTACCAATGATTATTTTTTTGCATACACTGAGAGCGATTCCATCGGCATAACACATTTCTGTAAAATACCCATCAATTTAATAATTGCAGCAAAAACGCAACTGTGAATGTGAATCTCAAATCACGAACCAATCATGTTTCTTCAAATTGACATTTCTGGAGCATTTCGATTATAACTATCGATACATTGAAATTTTTGAACAGTTTGAAATCTATTTGAATTTTGTCGTTCTGTAAATTTTACGAATGATCGTGAATAATTTTCTGCAATTTTTTTTGAATCAATATGCTGAGTTTAGTAATGTGCACTGATGATGAAATTCATGAAAGTTCCAAGAAGGTTCTGATCTAGTTCAGCATTGCACTGATCGCATTCTAGTGCATCACTGAATAACATCATGTTTTGCACTGAATAAACTGATGTTTCTATTGTGATAAAGGTTTCCTAGGTTGCGCTGAATATTTCTCAGCCTATGGTTTGTGGATGTGCTTTTGCTCTGTGATTGTTTAGTTTTGCAGTGTTATTCATTATTCAGGTTTTGCTTTAAATTTTTCTGTGATAAAATGTTTTGTCGATGAAAGTTTTCCTGGACAGTTAACTTTTGTGAATCAATTAGTAAAAATGGATGTTGATCCCAGTTCTTCTCCTCCTCTTGACGAAAGCACGCTTGACGAAGAAAATCATGGAGAAAATTCCAATTCAATGCCCGGTTCCACTGAACAAGTTACGGAAAGCGGCACTTCCATAGACTCTGAAACTTCCGAATTATGGCTTGAATTCAAGTGTGTTTTCTGCAATCAAGATCTTAAAAATATAACTAGACCTAAATTATTATCGTGTCTACATACTGCTTGTGAATCTTGTTTAACATCCGAATCGAACAATTCGGAATCGGCTGCATCATCATCTGTATCAGGTATTTGAATCATGGCTCGTTTTCTTTTGTTTTAATAAATTATTTTTAAATGATGTTAACTATAGAATCCTATACATGCAAAGAATTTAAACGAAATTTCAATCTATTATTATTTAATGAAACACAGTTCAGTAAACCACAGGGAAAATTCTAAAATTGTTTTTTGTTTTAAGTTTTATCTTAATAATTTTGCAATTTCGAGTTGATTCTGAAATATATTTTTGTTGTAATTACTGTATTTTTAAAGTGAACGCATCTATATAAATCTAAATAAAAGCAGATTATTTAGTGCTATTACAGTATCAATTTTTCAAGCTAGATATGTTTATTAAAATAGATTTGAATGACAAGATTCGAATCCCAATTTTTATATGGTAATTTTTGTTTTTATTGTAGGTCCCTGTCATTTTCCCTTTTTAGGGAATTAGTAAATGTGTTTAATTTGCCGAAAATGATAGTTGCATTAATTTTATCTCAGTAACAGTTTGTTTTACACAAGTGTTCTGATTGTATTCATTAGTTCTTTACTTTTTCATTTTGTTTTATCCCCATTTAGTCTTTATTGCATTTTATTAAAAAAAATTACTAAGGAAGAGGGCTTTTGGGGATACTTATGTATTGTGATTTTTCACACCAACTACAATCACTAAGGGGTCAACTTGCAATTTCTCCAAAAATGAGCATGTTTTCTATAAATGAGCATGTTTTACCTAGCCTGTTGGTTCCTTTCTGTGATGTTTTTTGAGTGTTTCTGTGGTGGTTGCCCAGAAGTTGTTGAGGCTTTGCGATTATTTTGATGCCTAATGTGATTTGGAAATCTTCTCTGGCTTTGTAATATAGTGTTTAAAATAAAAAATTAAATTTCCATGTACAAAATTGGGGATATTTCCATATCGTGATCTGTCACGCTAACTACAATTGCTAAGGTGCCAAGTAGATTTTAAACTAGCACATTTAAAAAACAAACAAATAAAACATGTAGATGTTTGCCCGGGGATGGTTACGAGTTATACTTACCTTTAGAGTTGGTCTCTTTCTGTGATGTAGTTTTTCTTAGTTTCTTGCGGGCCACTGTCCCCGTGGCAGAATCACGGCGACATTGTCACGGAATTTTATAGAGCTCATGCAGAAACATTTTTCTTTTGAAAAGTAAAAAAAAAAAATACTATTCTTTTCTACAGAAATTTATATTATTATGCATTTAGATAATCACTTTTAGATGCTCTCAATTTACGCCGATAGTATCGTAAATCAAAGTAATGTTTGATTTGTGTTTTCGATAGTTATTGATTTTCATGTGGATTTTAAATATCCCGATATATTTCAAACAATATGGAAAATTCGAATCGTGCATTTGAGTATTTACCTGCTGAACGCAGA